ATGATGGGGATGGGGGGGAATTATGGGTATTTGAATGGGAGGGGATGGACCTTAGTTCGAATATGGGGTGCTGTGCCTTATGGTTCTTTCTTTGTTTTCTGTTTTCTATTTATTTATTTTCCGTTTCTTTCTTTTCCCTCTTTTTTTGCTTTTTCTTCTTCTCATTCAAGTGCTGGTATATGTTCAACGGGGCTCATGCTCACGGTGGATCAAGGCTGGGGAATGTGGAATCGTAGATCGTGAGTTAATTTAATGCTTTCTGTTAATGAACTCTACAAGCTGAACCACTGGGTCGGGTGTCACTTTTACTTTGGGAGTGAATGAACTAGTTTCAACTAGTAAATACCTAGCTTCATGTTTATTCTGGGAGAATAGCAGATTCTAGATATTGTATTATATCATATATACAATCCCATCTCTTATAGGAAACAAAAAGAAAGAGAAACAAAAAAAGAAAAAAGGTCTGAATTTTCGGTTATGCTGGAACATTGAATCCCCCACGCCCATGTGGCTTGTGTTCACCTGCGACGTTACTGTATTCCTTACCAGTCTCGTGTCGTACGAGGACTCGAATTTCCCTCTTTCTTTTTTTTTTGTTCCTTTTCCTTTTTTATGATTCTTTTTTTCTTTTTCTTTTTTCTTTTTCACTTTACGGGGTACCTCCTTTCCGTTTGCCTACAATTCCACGGAGTAATTCTGCAAGGATGTTCCCTCCGAGACATGGCGTGTTCCAATTCGCAAATCACACGGACTTCACCTGGACTCGGATGGGACACGCTTGGAGCTCCCATTGTGGTCCGAGGAAGTCTAGACTCAGCCTCGATGGCGAACGCTTGTGCGCGTTTCTTGGATGCCTTAGTTTAGACGAACTGCATGGTCATCTTCGTCATTGCGCTTTTTACGGAGTAGTCAATGTCAGGGATTAACTACTTAGGTATGTAGACGGGGGGCTAGTGTAAGCTGTAGATTGATTACATGCTCGCTTTCAATGTTTGGAGGTTCCTTTGTGAGCTGCGTGGCTTGGCTTGAATCACTGCAAGAACTTGAACGCCACGAGGGGCGACAGGGCTGCATTTGAATGTACCTACATACTACTACATCATCACACTAGCTTGTGAGAATTTGCATGTCTGGAGTAGATTTGGCAAAAAAAAAGAAATCAGAAAATGGAAACAGAACTACAAATAGAAATAAAAGTGTCTTGGATGTACTATTTCCATGATGTAATATTAGCTAAATCTGCTTCTCCGGTCCCGTCTTCTCGTACAATCCCCATTTTCGGGTCATGTGCAGCTACATGTACTCACCATTACTGCATGCACTGCGCTGCAACTGTACATTACACGTACCTACCAGAGAAACACCGGGGTATCCGACTCGAAAGTACCCTGTACCCTGTACCCTACGGCACCTATGCACCCCGTACGCTCCAAATTACCTGTACTGAACGCACAGGCACATCACCGTCATACACCCCCAAGCCCTGCGTCATTCACACCCAGTGTTTATCTCGATGTCCTTTGTTGTACTCCGCCCAGTCTAGCTACCTACGTATAGATAACAATAACGATAAGCAAAGCAATGGCTCCCGCTCACAGACCCTGCCCTATACGGTATACCCCCTTCAATCAACTTGACTTGGCCCCAACTCAACTCCGCACCGGGCGGCTATCTTGCGTCTGCGCTGGAGTGGCGGCCTGTGATTGAGCCCGAGCGCCGATCCGGTCACCTGCTGAACCGCTCCTGCGGACTGGTCACTAAGGGAGGGGTGGAGGGGTCGGTTGGGGTTGGTTGGGGTGAAGGGGATTCTTGGGCCTGGTGCTGGTGCTGTGTGGAGGGAACTGTGTGGTGCTGGTGCTGGTGCTGGTGCTGGTGATCCGGGGCTCTGGGTTGGAGGAGGGGTGCGAGCGGTGGTGAAGCGAAGCGATGTACGGGTTTGTAATTTTTGTTTTTGTTTTTTGTTTTCTGGGAGGGCGAGGATAGCCGCAGGTGGATGTGGTGGGATGAGTGAGCGTGGGCTTGGGCTTGGGGGTCTATCGGATACGGGGACTAGTGCTAGTTCGTAGTATCGGAGTATATCCGTCTCCTTCTCTCTTTCTCGCTTGTGAACGCTGTTTTTCAAAGTGTTTCTCGCTCTCTCGCTCTTGATCCCCTGTAAACCTTGTTTCGGGCTTGCTTCTTAACCTGGTTCGTCACGCCTTCCCTAGTCGGTCACTTAGCGTGCAGTCATTTAAGGCGCAGAGGACTTATCACAGATTTGCGGAGTATGTTTCCCAGTTTCTGATTTTCCATTCTTTTTTTCTTTTTTATTTTATTTTCCTAGCATGCCCAGTTCCAGTGCGCATGTGGAGAAGATCGATGATCGGAATGTGCATGATCTATTATTTTCCATCTGTAGATCGAACATCCAAAACCCACGAATACAACACCCTGCATTACCCAGGCCGTGCATACATGCTATTTGCAATCCCCCCAGTTTATCCCAACTCTCTCCCCCCACTATACATGCACCTACGCCCTATCTTATCCTGACGCACGTCCTCTTATCGAATCGAATGAATATAGTGTCATATGTGAGGAGATGTGGAAACTGCAAGTGATCAAGCCACAAAGCATAATCATCCCAGAAGGGAGTAGAAAAAGTGTGATCGACTAATCATGTCCGTGCTGATTCCCAAGTCTGCCTGTCCTGGTCATGATCGGCTTCCCCTTGCGTTGGATTCCGGTCTGGCGGATTTGGTTCGCACGCTTGGGTTCTTCGCGTGCTTTGGTCTGGGGAAGAGCGTGGAATGTGGAATGGGGAATGGGGGATGCATGGGGCTTGGGTTTTGCCTTTCTAAACGGTCGTCGGTTTTTTTTTCTTCTTTGCTTTTTTGGGGGCCCTGTGAGAAACGGTTTGGTTTTTTTTGGGCAATGGTCAAGCTTTGGACTTGGGACTTTGGTTTTCGTAATTGCTGATGAATTAGTAAATCCTTTCATTAAGCTTATGTCGCCACTGTAAAAGGCCGCAGTCTGCAATTTCTCCACACGGCGCTCCGGGGATCTTTTTGGCATCGGGACTTGAAACATTGTGATATATCAAATGCGGCTGTAACATTAATATGGAATAAACCTTACTCGACGAAACTCACTCTTTGAAATACCACAGCCTGTGGCCCTAAAGACGTTCTCGTAAAGCAAAGACTTCTGTGTACATTGGATATCCATGCCTGTGAACACCCAACAATACATGTAGATTGCTTATGAAGAAATCTGGCCGCAGAGGTTAATGCAAGTAAACACCAATGCCAATTTTGCTGCTAGATCCCCAGGCTTAATGCCTAAGTCCTATAGGTAAGTCTCTCCAATCACATTCCCAGACAACTACATGTACATGTATCCACCCACGGTAACTCTATAGATACTATCCTGACTGTTCAAATGTTCTTTATATTGATGACTTCGAAGTTTGAACAAATCGTATTGAGCACAAAGTAACATCTAACACTATAGTTCTATCGGCAGTCCCGCCAGCATGGCCTTCTTGTTGATACTTATGCCCTTTTCCACATTTCTTTCAATCATTGAGCAACACGTCGAGCCTTGGGAGCTATTACCTAGCAATGGTACTTGGGGCTCGCTGACATTTGGAGTCTTCAGGTGAAACCAGCGGAATGTTTACTCGCCTCTTCGCCAATAACTCCCGAAGGCCATTTCTGAAGAATTTAGGACTTGAATTTACCCCATTTGAGAACAACGTAAGCTGAGGCCAGGGAGTCTAATATCTCGTGAATTACTGCGGTTTTTGAAAGCAGCAATTTGGCTTCGGCATTCTGTGAACATTGAACCTAGTAGTTTCTTGTATTTTCTGAGTGTTTATGTGACAAAATGACTCTATTGATTCAGGGTAATGTATCTGACGACAAACAGTGTTTTGTTCCCAGTACTTACTTCTCAGCCCATGTAGTCTAGTCCAAAAGCCTCCATCAATTTTCCAGCGCCGATGAAGCTACATGTAAACACCACCTCGACGAGGCGCAGTCGCATCCTCGCGACTCTCATTTCTTCTGAACTCTTTATGGCATGCACGAAACTATTCCTTGATCTACATGTCTTGATCCGACCAAGTCATGCAATGAGAGCTGGTTAGTTCATATCTTTATCTGGAAATCGGACAGTCCTCATAATGGGTAGCCCCGGATCTCTCCCTATGCCAATCTGCTCGGTGAAACTGAACATAACGACACCATTTTTCTCACTTTCGACCAAAATCAGAGCAACACACAAACCTCCAGGCCTCTCATGTGATTGATTCGTACATGAAAACCACCAATTCAGCCTACGAAAGAGACATGTCCGCAAACGATGGCAGATCGAGTTACCCGATAGATAGGACAGAATCGTTGTTCGCGATTTACTCGGCAAGATCACACTGAATGAAGTCTTGAAAGCGTGGGAGATCACAAGAGTCATGGCGAGATATAGACTTGTTGAGCGACTTTATCTGCATCTTTCCAGTGCAGCCAGCGGTCACGGTGCTTGAACAGACGATTATCAGGCTGTATGTATACTACGATTCTGATATACGTTTTTCAGGCAAGACGTTACTTTCTGTAGCGGATGGAGTTCGTATATTGAACATTTGAAGAGTGGACTGCTTGCGCAAAATGACTTTCGGGATTAAGTACAGCAGATGGATACTGACGAAAGAGAAGCTGATCACTGCGCGGACTTGGTCAGGACGGAAGGGGCTAATGAGACTAGGGATTAATTGGGGAGTCTCTCGCTTGGTATGAACAACGTGTCATTGTTGCGCGAAGTATTGGACTGGTTTTCTTCTCATAACTATCACGATCACTACAGCCATCCAGTCCAAAGTGCTGGATGGAACTGGTCAATGGGTCGTTCAACTTCCCGGATTCTCCAACTGGCAAAATTATAGCAAGGATTCTCTCATCTGGTTTCACGGCACATAGGGCTCAGGCAAAAGCTGCCTCACTTCATCCGTCATCGAAGAGGTCATGAAGGTCTTTGAAAAGAACGAGATTCACGCCTTAGCATACTTCTATTGCTTGCGTGACTCGGCCGAATCACAGCGTGCAAGCCCGCAGAGTATTCTGGCTTGTATAGCGCATCAACTCTCACGCCGCTCTCAGACTGACTCGATTGCTCCTCCTACGCTGGCGCTGTATAGCAAAATGAGCTCCACAGAGGGCACAAAGCGAACACCAATGTCGCGGAGCTATCTGGGCTTATCCGAGAATTGACCGAGATGTATGGTCGATCGATGATCATGATTGTGAAACGGATATATTGATTGCGAAGAAGCAGCTTTTGGCTTATATCCGAAAGAAAGAGACCAAAGAGGAGCTGTCGAAGTTGATCAAGAAGGAGGCCACTGCCAAGGCGAATGACATGCGGCGTGTTAAGCCACATCTGGGGAGTATCATGTTTCAAAGGCTAAAGGCTCTCTGTAGGTTTCGCTGGGCAGAGATACAGCTTCAAAGTCTCCGAGGTATTTGAGCCGAATAATACATTCGATCTGAACTCTCCCGTACCCCCCGAGACTTCACTGCGTTGTACCAAGACCTCTATGACAGAGCGCTCGAATCAACTCAAGAGACCGATCGAATCATATTCCAATACACACTGAGGTGGCTGGCCTGCGCACATGTATATCGCGCGCATGATGAGTTCTTCGTGGCGATAACGGCCTATACAGACCTGGACGCCGATGATTTAGACGAAGATTTTATCTTAGACCTTCTAAGTAACTTGCTCATATCATTCACGACTGAGGAAGAATATCAGTACTTCCGTTTTGCGCACCTCTCTGGACTCGAGTTTCTCGAGACTGTGTCTGAATAGTCCGTTGAGTCGACCAATAAATTTGCAGCGGAGGTGACTTTATTTATGTTATTCTGTGTAAGTAGCCCGGCCGGCTCGAAGGAACTCATTCGCAGGTTAGGCATCGCCCCTTTCGATATCGGGCCCTTATTTGACAGTGTAGAATCTGGAGATGGCATTAATACTTAGATCTGGTGGAAGTTGATCAAATATTTCCGGATACTTCAATATCGCTCGTGATTCGGTTTTTGTTGGTAGGATTGATAATTCCGAGTTTGCTCAAAGAGTAGTTGAGGCAATGACTAGCTCCGTAACGCCCCTTCCCAATGGTCCTGAGATATTCAAGGCGCTCTTGCAAAGGGGGCCTTCACGCATGTGCAGGTGACAAGTGAAATGGTTGCCAGAGTTCGAGAGTCTCGCGGTACATCTTCTCTGTTGGAAAAGCTGGAGACCTATTGCCAAAATGATGAAGACTTGGATACGGCAGACGCCTAACAGGATTGAGCTTTTGGGTTTTTATATGCTTTGCGGAATGGCCATCGTCACCTTCCAACGTTTGAAGGATTGCGATTCGTGGTGGATGGCTGCATAGAAGTAGTGTCAAGAACGGTGGCTTCTGGGGGGAACGTCTGTGTTTTCGGGCTCCTGGTGAGACTTGTAATCAAGTTGACCTTAGTAGGCTCATTGAGGCGATGATAGTGCATCTTAAATAAAGAGGTTGGATTGATGTTTATATGATTGAGGTGCTGTGAGTGGTCAATATAAACATTCTGTGGATTGTAGAGTAGAATGTTGAGTTGTGGACCTGGGTAATACGTATTTTACGTACTCCTTAGGAGGTACTACAAAGGTAAGTGCCAGACGAATGATTCCCAGGGAATCTCCAGGGCTATTCGCCAAACCACCCACCATTGAATTGATACCTCGGCAACTTTGAATCTAGGTACCTATGGATTGCGAGAGCAACCTCGTAGTTGACGCTATAAAATCTGGAAGCTTGTGGATTAGAAAATGTGAAAGAATATACATATATCAAAGCAGACAAATGTCCATACCAAACCCCAAGTTACCTATTGTACATTGTTAATTTCCCACGCGCCGTTTGTTGCTTCGCTAATGCCAGCATATGCTATATATCAATACATGTAAAAAACCAGCAGTTGCGTAACTGCGCTCAAGGCGATGACTGCAGCACTTCAGCCACAGCAGCATCCGTATCACTAGCCTCCTTGGTAAACCCTGTCCCCTTCCGAACATGCATCAGCAGACGCAGTGCACCAGCAGGGGTGACACCTTCGATGCGCCTTGCCATACCGACACTGACAGGTCGCACACGCTCAAGAGCCTGTTTCTCCTCATTGCTGATTCCATGGATGATGCTGTAGTCAAGATCGGCCGGCAAGAGGAGGTTCTCATCTTGCAGGAACCGCTGCGCCATCTTCTCCTGTCGCTTGAGGTACGGGGCATATCGTCCTTCAATCGCGACGCGGGCCCGGATAACGGGGTCGAAAGAGTCGGGGACGTAGGCGACGCCTGGCGCGGACTCAATGTGGGGGATCAAGGTGTTGATGTCAACACCGTCGAGACACAGGATTTCTAGCGCGGATCGGATAGATGTGTCGGCGCGCACCTTGAAGCCCTTTCGGGACCACGCGGAGGATGAGAGCTTGGTTTTGCCTAGTAGGGCCTGGAGTTCTTGGATCTGTGTCTCTGTCTCTGTGAAGTGGCGCCAGCGCTTGTCGGATACGACGCCGGCATCACGGGCCATGCGTGTCAGGCGAAGGTCGGCATTGTCGGATCGGGTGGAGATGCGGTATTCGCTTCGGGTGGTGAACATGCGGTATGGCTCGGAGACACCCTTGGTGATGAGGTCGTCGATCATGATACCGATGAAACCATCTGACCGTGTCAAGGTGAGAGGCTTTCGAGCCTGAGATTCCAAGCCAGCGTTTGTTCCTGCAATGATACCCTGTCCTGCGGCCTCTTCGTAGCCAGTTGTACCGTTGATTTGGCCCGCCAGGTAGAGACCGCTAATCAGCTTGGTTTCCAATGTTGGTCGAAGATTGCGTGGGTCAATGTAGTCGTATTCTACACCATAGCCAGGCTGAAGCATGATCACATTTTCAAGACCCTGGACAGTCTTCAGCATAGCATATTGTGCGTCCGCTGGAACAGTCATCGAAATTCCGTTCGGGTAAATCACATCATTCGGAGCAAATCCTTCGGGCTCGAGCCAGATTTGATGACGTTCCTTGTCCTTGAATCGCATGATTTTGGACTCCAGAGAGGGACAGTATCGGGGCCCCCGAACAGTCTCTCTGATGTGAATAGACTTGTCCAGGTTGGCACGGATAATTTCGTGGGCCTTCTCATTGGTATGGGTCATCCAGCAGGTCAATTGTCCTTCATCCCCAACATCGACCGTTTTATTCAAGTAAGAAAAGGGCTGTGGAGGAGAGTCACCACGCTGGACTTCCAGCGATGAGTAATCAATGCTCTTGGAGTCCAAACGAGGTGGTGTGCCGGTCTTCAAGCGTCCCAAAGAGAAACCCGCATCACGGAGAGACTTGCTCAGCCCATAGGTTGGGGCCTCTCCCATTCGACCAGATGGGTAGGACTCAAGTCCAATGTGGATCTCACCACCCAAGAAAGTTCCAGTGGTAATAACCACACGCCCTGTAGGAATGACCTCGCCAGACTCCAATCGAACACCAACAATCTTGCCCTGTGCGCCAGGTGTATTTTCCACACCATTCTTCGAAACAACAATATCCGCCACCTTCCCCTCCACAATGCTCAGATTTTGAGTGCCGACTAATTCCTCCGTCATATGCTTCCTATACAAATCACGATCGATCTGCGCGCGAGGCCCCCACACTGCCGGACCCTTGGAACGATTCAACATCCGAAACATGACACCCGCCTTGTCGATAATTCGGCCTGCGACACCATCCATCGCATCCACCTCTCGAATCATCGTGCCCTTTCCTATTCCGCCGAAACTGGGGTTGCACGAACACACGCCAATGTTCGATAACGAGGGCGTCACGAGTGCAGTGCGCGCGCCGGAACGGGCTGCAGCAGCACATGCCTCTGCGCCGGCGTGACCACCACCAATAACAATAACATCGTAGGCTCTGTTTCAAGATAAACTGTATTAGCAATGGTGTTAGATATCGATCAGGGGAGAATTGAATTTACCGGGAACCCTCGGCCACGGTTGCTAGTCCGCGGACTCTGCTGATAGGTAAGCGAGCACTGATGCGCGAGCGCAACAGAGTCACAGGCCGAGCTCGAAACGCCATATCGAGATTGCGAATATGATCAAAAAGACAAACACGAATGAAACGATCGAAAGTTTGGGAATCATTTGTTATCGCGATAAGACAAAAAAGTTGCCGGTGTCACGTGCGCCGATAAGATACTCACGTAATCGGATTAAGGCCCCCCCCTAAGGCCCCCCTTTGCGCCATCGGCCAATTGCGGGGCTAGAGATATTCAGCAAACTTAAGAAGTTGACAAGCTGACCCTTTTCTTTTTTACTTCTTCGTGTACTTCTTCTGCTTATTCTCGCTCAATAAACCATCTCACAATGAAGGCCTACTGGTACGATAACAAGTCGGTAAGCTTACCCACCTCGAATACTGCGTCTGAGGACCTCGAAACCCTGCATCTATATCACCGATGACGCAAATGGGGAATTTCAATACTAACTTGCGCTGAAATAGGGCGACCAGCGCGAGCCCCACGACTCCGGCCGTGTTGTCTCCGAGGACATCCTCGCCAAGCTCGGTGTTCTGTACAAGCACTGCCCTACCATTGAGGACGTGGACGTCATTGCGGCCGAGCGCGGCTACAAGAACCGTGACCAGGTCTGCGTCTCGCCGCAGACTATGGGTGATATCTACGAGGAGAAGGTGAAGTCTTTCTTCTCGGAGCACCTTCACGAGGATGAGGAGATCCGTTATATTCTTGATGGCGAGGGTTACTTTGATGTCCGTGGCCAGGAAGATGAGTGGATCCGTATCGACCTGGTCAAGGATGATATGATTATTCTTCCCGCTGGTATCTACCATCGGTTCACTACCAATGAGCAGAACGTATGTTATCTCGCATCTTCTGTTTGGGGCCATCTGCTAATCTGTTTTATAGTATGTCAAGGCTATGCGCCTCTTCCAGGAGGAGCCTAAGTGGACACCGCTTAACCGTGGTGCTGAGGTTGATGTCAACCCTTACCGCCAGTCTTACGAGGGTACTTACCTGAATACTGCGGCTTAGGCTGAGAGGGTTGCCTTGAGACTTGATATTTGGATGCTTAATGACTGAATTGACTTAATGGAATGGAATGGATTCAATTCATTCAATACATATATGTAGACATATCCACCTCAAAATGGGAGTTCTAGAATTTAGACCTTTTTTCGTGTTTTGCTTCACAACAACTTTCATGTTTCTCTTTCGATCCACGTAATATACATGATGTTAATCATGAAGAACTCCAGGGCCACTGAGGTCGAGGCTTTGCACATGTGTATTGGAATGTTCAGATGAATGTAAGGTTGGCTTCCAAGATTGGGGTTTTTGTATGTAGTAGTGTAACCTCAGAAGCTCCAGACTGGGTTGCTCAACGAGTTACAAATACATCCATGGATATGGTACTGCTACCGTCAATTGAACAGTACCAGTCGTTCGACTCGACTTTTACATATCCACAATCCTCTCAAGTGCTTCGATTGAGTATGTGTAGTGAAATGAGTCTATCATCAATATTTCCTTGATTTGCGGAATACCCCGGTACTATACAAAAAATGGAATCAAATGAGGCACCGTCGTAAGATCTGGCAAATACAATCAGAAATGGCGATCATAGCTCTCTGGGCGTGGTGCCCCCAGGCATACCCCCAGGCATTGAAAACTGGTCACTTGCACCACCAGCACTATCCTGTCGAGTCATACTGGGGCTGCGCAAACTTCCCATATCCGCATTGAAACTGCTGCTACGCGAGCCTCCCCCGAGTCCCAATCGAGGATCCAAAGGCAAAGGCCCGCGGAACCGCAGGCCCTCTGGCTCCCGGCCATCAGAGAATGAATACGGTCCCGCTCCAGCCTCGGCAGAGCCAGCACTGCGCGGAGGTGCGGTGGACCCGGCGTCGGACTCTTCGCCAGTCCTTACGCCAGTACGGCCCATACGGGGCCATAGATCTGGGAGTCCGACGACTTGCACACGGGGTTCGACGACGCGTTCTTCGAACCACGCGTGGACGCGGGCCTCGACCAATTGAGCGATTTTGGGTACATCTTGGAGACGGCTGCGTGAACCGATGAGGGAACGCACGGATAGATCAAGTCGGTAGTCTGGAAGGAACGAGAACGCGACATTGCTTTTGGGGCTGCTTTTGGGTGGATTTTGGTCCTGGGAGGATGGTCCTTGGGGAGATCCAGGGGATGTATTGGGACCTGATCCCGTCGTGGGCGGCTCGGGTGTTTTTGCAGGTGTATCGAGTGGGTCCTCGGTCGATGCTGGAATCAATGAGATACATAGAGTCCCTGAGAATCGGACAACTGAGACCGACAGCGCAACTGGTAGGATAGCGGATCGAGGCTTGGGGTAATTGAGTACCATGGAGGTTTCTACGGCAATGGAGAGGTTGTCGTCGCTGAGGTCAACGTCCAACAGGGCCTGTAACCTGCCGCCATCGGAGTTGGGGTCGTCCACTGCTATGATTCGACAATTGCTGAAAATGGGGAACTCCTCTCCTAATGAAATGTCCGTGACCGTGATCTTGTCAATGAAGGATGGCTTCTTTTCTGGGTTGTTCATAGAGGCGTTCAGAGAGCTCAGGATCGAGGCTGTAGGGGAGTCTTTCAGCACGTAGGCAGTTTGCCTATATTGTGCGATCGTCTGTGCGATCAGGACATTGAACCAGTCCAATGACTCCGGTTGATGGGAGGAGTGGTGCATTCGGTGACGGCCATGTTTGGACGGATTGGTGGGAATTGCGCTGTAGTAGGTCTTTCGGAGAATGGAGCGCGTATTTGTGGAGGACGCAGGTACTGGACGAAGGACATTCGAGTTTGAAGGTTTCTCTCGGAGTGTTTTTTGATCTTGTGGAGGGTTGTAGACCGAGCTGTAGCGGCGGTGTGATGTGCGGTTGGATAAGCCACGGGAAGGGGGCGGGGGAGCTTCGCCAAAGATGAAGAACTTGATGAATGCGCCGATCAGCAATACTACAGAGAGCTGTCCCAGAAGAAAGCCCTGTGTGAAGGACAAGCTTTTTGGATCGAGGGGTTAGCGATCTAGATCTCTCTTTCATTTCGTCATGAGGTGGGCATACGATGATTGAGGCGCTACTAGCGCGGGGTCAGCTAAAAGATTGACCGTCAGCATACATCATTCCAGTAGTTGGATTCCCTTCGACTAACGTTGTTGGAGCGCCATCATCAGCGGTGGGCAATGCCTATTTGTGGTACACCCATCCCCACTGTGAGTTGGAGGTTCCCAACTTCGCGGCGAGTGGATCTTTTTCTTGGCCCGAACCGCTGATCGCTTATCGCTTATCGTTGACCTTTTGGACACGCTACGTGACTCGGATACCCCAGTCACCCCACTGAGCTGAAGCTACTGCACAACAGCTATCACAGCTATCAAACTTTTATAAAGCTTGACAATCTTGAAACACCTTCAAGATCTGAATCCTTCTATACTTCCCTCTCACACTACACCCTGAGCTGGTAACAAAAATAAACATGCGCGGGCTTGCATCGGTCATCACCGCGCTGCTATTCTCATCTCAAGCACTATGCGCGAGGAGCTCTGAAGACCGTCCAAACAAGAATGCCATTCTCCTCTCCACAGTCGAAACTCTGACGTTGCGTGCTGACCGCATGACAACATCTCGTCGACTCTCCCCCATCCCGCAGCTTAATTGTGTCGGTCCATCGAAAAAGATATGTTCGCTCTACCAGCCAGAAACAATACGCTGTACCAACCAAGGCCATGACTACGAAGAGGAGGATGTACAGTGGACTTGTAAAGCTTCACTTCCATCCGAGTTCAAGCTTGGTTCAACAGATGTCGTGTGTGAGGGATATCGAAACGCCGACGACAGATGGGTTCTCAAGGGGAGCTGTGGTGTCGAATATCGGATGCTACTCACAGAGCTTGGTGAAGACCGATTCGGAAAATCGGGCAAAAACATTACGGGCACTGATGAGGTAGTCTGGGAATGGTGGGCGAATCTTTTATTCTTTGCTATCTTCTTTGGTGTTTTCGGGTGGATTGTTTGGCAGCTGTGCTGCGGTCCCGCCTCGGCTACGAGACGTAGAGGTCCACGGAGAACAAGAGGGGGACTCTGGGGCGGTGGTGGTCCTGGTGGTGGTGGCGGAGGAGGCGGAGGTGGTGGTGATGGCTATGATCCTTACTCGGGGCCACCTCCTGCTTACGGCAGCTGGTCGAATGGCGATAAGTCTACTACGCAAAGTGGACGTTCTGCCAGACAAGGCTGGACCCCTGGATTTTGGACTGGTGCACTTGGTGGTGCAGCCGCTGGGTATGGTTTAGGACGACGACGTTCAAATGGTGGATCATGGCCAAACGGGCGGTTTGATAGGAGCAACGCAGGCGAAGGCAGCTCGAGAAGTCGCTCACCACCACGATTCTCCGGCACGTCGAGCAGCAGTGGGTTTGGATCGACTAAACGCAGATGATGGTTGCCAAAGGAACTGGGCGAAATATCAAGTTGATTATTTCAGCCAGCTATCATGAATACGATTGATATGAGAAAATATGTATACGTAAGGTTTTTGGAGTCACTAGCGGTATGTATAAGACCCTGAAGGCTCATTTATCTGATCGGTGACTCTCATACTTTGAAATTATGTAGGCTAGTCAAATAGTAAAACAAATATGTAGCAAGGGGAAAAAACCATAGCATTCTTTTCTATGATGTTAGCTGCCCTTGGCTCAAGCGCTGCATAGTAGAAACTTCATATCCACCTGTGTATCATTCGCTGAACGCAGCAAACGCCGTTTAGAATAACAAACCACGGACTATCCGTGCAAAACGCCCACTGGACTAAAAAGAACCAGCAAAGAAAAAGAAAAAAGACAAGAAAAGGTGAGGCGAAAAGTTTAAGACTCTAGTCGTCGATAGTCCCCAGCACCTCTTCTGTTCCACCGCCGGCACTCTTGATTTGCTTCTTATTGCTGCGTGATTTGCCCTTGATGGGCGCAGCGTTGTCTTTATCATCAGCAGCGTCCGCCCCACCCGTGGTAGGGTTTCGGATCATTTCTTCCTGAAGTGCCTTTTCTTTCTCGTGCTGGGCCTCAATCTTCACCTTCTCTTCATCCAATTCTTTTTGAATGACCTTGGGGTCGTCATAAGTTGTATTGGTCATCTCTGAATATGTTTGGATGTCAATAGACTCTCGAGGGCCAAGCAGAGTATCTTTAATTCGATCCGGGTTTTTGCGTTCTTCGTTGTTGAACTTGAGCTTTATTTGCCGGCGGTTTCGTCCAGGGAACATTTTGCTGATGACCATGAAATCGGTTCCGAACATGCGAAGCCCACGGTAGAATAGATCGGTCATGTCCTCATCCCAGGATTCTGTTTTGGTACGCTTGCCATAAGTGTCCTGGTTGACCTTTCGAGTGAGTTGGTTTTCCTCAACAACGTCCATATCACCGGCATTCCTGGCTGCATCCGCGTGTCGATCCACTTGAAGTGATGCGGCATCCAGCACAATCTCACCATTGACGATGCGCATAACGGGACCATTTGCCTTCTCCGGCGCAGAATCTTCTTTGCTCCCCTCGTCTTTGGCGGCCTGGGGGGTTGCGGGCGTTCCACTCTTTGCCTTCTGCTTCTGCTCTAGCGCCTCTTGATCGAGTTTTCGGAGTGCAATCTCTCGCTGCGATTTTTTACCGGACTTCACATCCTTGCAGAGTTCTGACATTTTGATGACATTCGAAAGGATTTCTACCGACTCCGCACCTTCGGGCGTGGGTTGACGCTTACGTCGGCGAGCCTTTTTGGGCTGTTCGGATCCATCGACGTCCGAAGTTCCTGCCTTTGAAGCTTTGCGCTTTCGTGTTGTTGATGCTTGACTTGGCTCCGGAGTTGAAAGTGTCACGGAAGAGCGTGCCACGGAGTTTCCGGGCGTTGCACTTGTGCGGTCTGCTGCCGATGCCCCGGTTTGAGTGCTTGGCGGAGTTGCAATAGGACCTCTAGGACGTGGCTGGACCCTAATTCTAGTAATTTCAGAGGTTTTCTTTGCTCCCTTCAATGATATAGGTGCTGTCGTCTGAGGTTGAGGGCCTGGTACTGGAGCAGAAAGCGGCTCTGCGGTTCTGATTTCTTTAGGCTGTGCAGTTTCGAAAGCGACTTGGTTTGCAACGGCATCTTCAACGTCATGTTCAATGGATTGCACAACAGTCGGCTCAGAGGGTAGAGTGCGGGGAGAAGTCGGTTCATCTGCGGTAGAGATTGGGGTGGTTGTCGTAGGGACTGCGGGTGATGGTGCAGGAGTTGGGAGAGAATTTGGTACTGAGACTGGTGGCTTTGCCTTCGGACGGGGGATCTGAATAGATGTAGCTGGTTTCGGTGCTGTGCGCACTGGCTCTTTAGGACGGGGTACTGGAGCGACGGGTGCTTCTTCAACGACAGTGGATTGCTCGGATACGGCCAGAGGAACCGAAGATGGAGGAGTGGACGATACAGCCGTGGTCGCATCCAATTTTTCTTTTGTCTGTTCTGCAGCTTGAGAAGCCTGAGCAGCTTGGGCTTGTGCTTGTTGAACAGCGCTGGGCCGTCGCGCCGGCGCGACAGGCGCAGCGCGACGAACTGGCGCCTTCGGCGCAAATTTTTTGCCCGATTTATCTGGAGCGAAATCTCGTTAGCAAGATGAATCTGTGGGTATGAGAAAGATATGATAGGAACGTACTGATAGCTGAGCTCGAGAATGACTTCATGATTGCCCATAGCTAAGGAAGGTTATCGGGGGTGGGGTCAAGAGATAGAAAAAGTTCGAGACTGATACGCGACCGATTATGCAGCGGGTCACGTCACGTGAAAAGATTGGATAATTACGTAACACTCAAATACCCACTTTTGTGAATGTTGAATATACATGAGTGGCATGTTATACTGGTATATTCAAGTAGACAAAAAAAGCCCCAGATTCAAATATTTGAATGCACTCATTGCTTACATTTCAATATCACCTACATGTTTTTCTGACTGAGATTCAGTTATGAGTGGGGGCTAAGGCAAAATCAAGTTTTGCCAAGTAAGTATACCATGATTCCAAGGTTTTGACTCTGTAGTAATTACTAGTAGATACTGTAGTCTACTACTGAAGAGGAAAACCATACAGAGGTAATCTCGGAACTTCATATATGAGTATTCAGGCAATAGAAACTATACACCTGAATGCGTGTCAAATTGACGAACCACTCAGATCACACTTAGGCAGCTATTGTAACCAAGCATCTGCACTAATTGCCGAGTCATTGATCCACTCGAAATATTGGCACATGAGTTATATGGAGTTTTTTTCAAGTATAAAAAATGGTTGTTTTAGGACAATTAGGCAGGAAGAGGAGCCTAAATGACATGCTTCGGGCCGGGAGATAATTTCCCCCTTTGGTATGAACCCATACCCCAGTTACCAGTACAAGCTTCCCGGCATTTTTTTACTGGCGTGATGTAGTTGACTTGACAATCGGTATAATGTAAAGAAAGACTGAGAGAAAAGATTAACTCTAGATAAACTAATAGAACTAATTTAATTACTCTTATTGCTTTTCTCTTTTCTCTTTTCCTTACAAAATACCATTGACTATATTTTGTTGGGAGTTGAATCATGTTCAGCAAGAGTCACCTGATGGCTATCAAGCACACGAGACTCATTTCTCGTCATGTAATTTTACGGGGAAATCTCTGTCTACCACCAGAAATCTGATCTCACCCATAAATTGCTTTTACAACCCCCTCAATTACTAAAGGCTTCTTAGATCTTTAGTCGTTGACTTTTTGTTCTTTTTAAATCCTTTATTGTCTCTTTATTTTCCTTAAATTCATCACCTAAAAAAGCCCTAGATCGTCATTGTTCCCCACTCGGCAGGCGACTTATCGCGGGACCCAGAAACGCGCTGAAAGGCCTTGCGTCCCTCCTTCACCTGACTTCCCTTCTCCTCTTCCACCCATTCATTCGGAGCTTCCCTGCGATTTTCCTCCCCCTCTCCACGTTTTCATATTCCAATCCGTGCCATCATGGGTCAGACCTTGTCGGAACCCGTGGTCGAAAAGGTGAGTTGGTTACAATTTTCCATTGCTTGCCCCTGCCCCTCCCCACACTGTGCTATGGGATCTCCCGGCCTTTTTCTTCGCCCGAGGCCCATCAACCACCCACCCCCGGGCCCGCAGTACCCTGATAGATATTCGAATATCTTCTTCCTTACTTATGCGATGGGGGAGAAATGGGATCCACAGGGTCATAGTCCCTTTCTTGCTGAAAAAGCCAGAATCCCACTTTTTGAGGATCGACCATGCGGGGTCCTGCTGACTCGGAGGGGCTGAGATCGCTTCAATCACAAATGGGCCTCCACACCCCCCTTAATCCTAGCCTTATATGACACTGTCGCTGTGACCGATACAAAGCTTTGATAGCATGGCTAACCTTGTCTCGTTTTCCCCCTCCCATCTAGACATCGGCCGAAGGTGGAGATGATTGCTGCATCTACGGCGTTTCCGCCATGCAAGGCTGGCGAATTAGCATGGAGGATGCCCACGCTGCCGTGCTTGATCTTCAGGCAAAGTACCACAATGAGGAACAGAAACCGACTCATCCGGATCAGCGTCTAGCCTTCTTCGGCGTATATGATGGCCACGGTGGAGATAAGGTGGCGCTATTCACTGGAGAGAACCTCCACAAGATTGTTGCCAAGCAGGAGGCATTCGCCAAGGGAGATATTGAACAGGCCATGAAGGACGGTTTCTTGGCTACCGACCGCGCAATCTTGGAAGGTTCGTGTCATTCTTTGGCTCCGAAAAGCATAGATGGATTGAGCCCCATCTATCTTTCCTCCCCCCGCTCCGACATAGGGGCAATTTGTTTCTAACCATAACTCTCTTTCTTTTACGGCGCAGACCCTAAATACGAAGAGGAGGTATCTGGATGCACTGCTTCAACCAGCATTATCTCAAAGAATAAGATCTGGGTGGTACGTTGAATGCAAACTGTCAAAGGCTATGAAAAGATAAGAGGGAATCATGACTAACATGACAAACAGGCAAACGCGGGTGACTCTCGGTCAGTCCTTGGTGTCAAGGGCCGCGCAAAGCCCCTTTCCTTTGATCACAAGCCCCAGAATGAAGGTCAGTAGTGATTCTATTCGAGCATCCCAACCCATCTTGTGCTCACAATTCTACGTAGGCGAGAAAGCTCGTATCAGTGCTGCGGGTGGCTTCGTCGACTTTGGACGTGTTAATGGAAACTTGGCCCTTTCCCGTGCCATTGGTGATTTCGAATTCAAGAAGAGCCCCGAGCTATCTCCCGAGCAGCAGATTGTCACCGCATACCCCGATGTGACTGTGCACGATCTCACCCAAGATGATGAATTCCTCGTCATTGCTTGTGATGGTAAGTTCTGTTCTCCCAATCACATTAGTTTTTCTTAAGAAGAAAACTGGAATATCCCCAATACTGATATGTTTCTTTTTGCAGGTATTTGGGATTGCCAGTCTTCCCAAGCCGTCGTTGAGTTCGTTCGGAGGGGTATTGCTGCCAAGCAGGAGCTTTACAAGATCTGTGAAAACATGATGGATAACTGCCTTGCTTCTAACAGTGAAACCGGTGGAGTTGGATGTGATAACATGACCATGACCGTCATTGGATTGCTCAACGGAAAAACCAAGGAGGAATGGTACAACCAGATTGCAGAGCGGGTTGCGAGCGGAGACGGTCCTTGTGCTCCGCCCGAGTACGGCAAGTCTCACGAGGAATCCGAAGGTAGTCCCTCTTCGTGCTGACGGTCAGACTTGCGCACAGCCGAATTCCGAGGCCCCGGCATTCGCAACCAGTTCGAGGATCAGCCAGATGACTATGACTTGGAGATGGAGCGTTCGCGGGCCTTTAGTGTTCGCTCGGCTGGGGGTCGAATCATTCTGCTTGGTGATGGCACCGAAGTCATTCCGGATCAGAATGAGGAGGAATTATTTGACCAGACGGAAGATCATGACCTTGCTAACCAGGTACGCCCAGGAAATTCCACTTGGAATGACCGTGAGGCAACCCCTGGCCCGCAAGGGAAACATGATGCCTCTCAAATATCCGAATCCCCCGCCTCTACAGATGACAAGTCCTCCGCTTAGGTTGTGATTCCAGGAGGACATATGGCCGAATGTGTCTCTATTGAACCTCTCTGTTAAACCTCCTGTCCTTCTTTGGCTTATTTACCCTCCTCTTTCCTCTTTTTTATTTGGCCTCCCCGTTTTTGTTTGTGTTATGAACGATTTCATGCGACCCTTACCCCTAACAAGCATGTTCCCATATCTTTTTTTCTGTTCCCTGCCTCTGTTTCTCTATTTACTTCTTTGTCATCTTTTTGGGCCTATTTCAAGCCTGTTTGGTGTAAGCTCGCCTTGGGATTGTTGTCAGAGTGTGGATTTGGAAATAGAAACAGGGGCATGGAGTGAAGGAGACTGGGTTGATCATAGGTATGAGGGAGGCCCTTCGCCGGGAGCCATGGGGCCTTTCATGAACACGTCTTGTCCTTTTATTTTTATGCCTTCACACCAACGAGATACCGCAGAAAATGCCTCGCTATTGACGAACCATTACACTTTATCCACGCCGTGCCGTTTTTTCTTTTTGCTCCTCTTTTGCAGTTTTTTTTTTCTTTACCTCATACTTTTATCCCATACTTCCAAGACCTTTTATGGTCCCTAGACCACATCCTAGTTAACTGGATCGAGTGGACTACGATGTCTTGGGAGTGAACCAAACACATGAAAAGGAAAAATAGGTACTCGATTTCTATCCTGTAAGTATATCTGGTATATGCTTTGAGAGTTGATATCTTGGTAGATATTGGACTTGTTTATTAGCAATGGAGTTCCGGAGATGTCCTGCGCGATACAAATAAGACCGAGTTCTATTTTTTTTTTTCAATTTTCCTACGTGATTTCTGTGCATTATATGTACGGCTAGTTTAAGCAGAAGCTGAGAATGATGCTAAATTAACAGATCTACAGGGTCTTTTTTGGGATTACTAGTCTCTCGTTAGTTTTATAAACAAGAAAAAGTGCCGTCATCAACAGCAAAGCATGGCGGGAGCGGCAGCCCCCACTCCTGTGCCCCAAAAAAGAAAATTACCCCTAAAACCGGATCAACCCGCTTGGGGACAACTTTACCTGGACCTCTCTCTCTCTCTCTCTTCTCATCTCTTTCCTTCCCCAGCAAAGAGGACAATCACCTTCTCTATCTCCGCCATGTCATCCGCAACTTCCCCCGCTGGCAAGCGCAAGCGCAGCGCCTCGCACCTCCCTGTCCCCCAAGTCACAACTGAACTCCAACCTTCTTCGCGCGACGCGTCCGGCGAAGAAGGCGGCGAGGACTCGACCGGTCCAACCAATGCGCCACTTCCCAAATCCAAGACACAGAGCGAATCCACTACTCCCTCTCACAAACGGGCTCGTAAAAGCTCCGGCGCCTCGTCCCTAAACGCCAACGGTGTCGACACCCCGATACACAAGGAGGATCCTGGCGAGCCCTCAGAGACCACTGTGGCATCATCCGACATTGAAAATACCCCTCGGAACCGACCTGGTCTTCACATTGATTTGCCGACGGATGTGAAGGCTATGCCCCCGCCGCAACGTGGTGTGTTGCAAGATCCGGTGGGTTACAAGACTAACCCGCCTCCGACGGGACGGCCGGTTCGAGTTTACGCGGATGGTGTTTTCGATTTGTTCCACCTTGGGTATGTTTCCATTCATATAATTCCAGTGTGATCCGTATTCAATTTGATCACACGTTCCATGTCTGTTGCTTTTCTTTTTTTGGGAAAGCTGGAGTGGTTTGCATGGATAGGATGCTAATTCTGTGGCAGCCATATGAGACAGCTTGAGCAAGCTAAGCACGCTTGCCCCGATACTTATCTCATTGTTGGTGTCACTGGTGATGAGGAGACCCATCTTCGAAAGGGTCTCACCGTTCTGAGCGGTGCTGAGCGAGCCGAGACCGTGCGTCATTGCAAGTGGGTGGACGAGGTGATCCCGAACTGCCCGTGGGTGGTGACCCCGGAATTTTTGTCGGAGCATCAGATCGACTATGTCGCCCACGACGACCTCCCCTACGAGGCTGCAGAGGGTGATGATATCTACGAGCCCATCAAGGCCCAGGGCAAGTTCTTGGTCACCCAGAGAACCGAGGGTGTCAGCACCACGGGCCTCATTACTCGGTAAGTTGACTTCCAACATTATCCAATCCATTCCCTATTTCAAAAACTAACGAGGGATATTGTGTCTTTTAGAATTGTCCGCGACTACGATCAATACATCTCCCGTCAATTCAAGCGCGGTGCCTCGCGCCAGGAACTCAACGTCTCGTGGCTGAAGAAGAACGAGCTTGAGATCAAGCGACACGTGGTGGAACTTCGGGACAACATCAAAAACAACTGGACCATGACTGGACAAGAGCTTGGCCGGGAACTACGACAAATCTGGCAGAACAGCCGGCCCAGCAGCCCGGCGCCTAGTACCCGCAACAGTATGGACTTTGGCAATGCCCGCGGTCCCCTAGCGAGCCCAACCGGTGGTAGCAAGTCCCACCTGTCTCGTGTGGAGGCATTGAACCGTCCCGATAGCCCAATGGGTGGTGCCCGAAATGAGGACTTTGCAACGGGTTACAGCCTGGGATTGATTGGAGGTGTACGAGCATGGGTAAATTCCTCCCTTTTTTTCTCTCTCACGATTTTACGCCCGAGCCAAATGACTAACTTCCTTTTAGATGATGCGTAGCCGCCTTTCCCTCGAGACCCCCAGTCAAATGCACTCGCCCACAGAAGAGGAGGAGCCCGGGTCCGAACAGACTAACGGCTACGAAGACGAAATTCGTGGTCGTGTCGGCAAGGGCGTCTCAACTCAGTAGGGAATGGACTTGTTCAAGAACATCCATCCAAATTTTGCATCTTCCCATCACATTTGCATTCGGTTCGTGTCTTATATTAAACTTACTTTCTGCTTTGGTCCCTAAATTGCGATCTCCTTTGTCGGGTGTTTGGCGTCGCTTGCTTTGTTCCTCCCTAATACTCCGGAATTGAACCCATCTCTGCTTTGCCGGCCGTGGTCGCCATTTGACCCATATCATTTCATCTTATCTTCTTGATGTGCATCTTGTTTTCTCTTTTACCTTTTTTTCTTTCTTTCTTACCTCTTTATTTCTTTGGCTCGAAATTGAGGACCGTCGGTCAGGGCGCGGTAAAAGCTGGGGTGGATAATGGTTCGTGAGAGGGTTTTGTATAGACTGCCCTGGGCATCTGGGTTCGGGTTTATCTCGGGTTATCAGGTATCAATTCGAATATTCGCAGGGTTCTGCTGATTGAGTAGAGTATAGATTATCAATAGCATAGGGCACGGCGTATGGTGTAGTAGCATGTCGTACAAGTAAAGTGTGCCGCGCGGCGTGCAGTTCAACTTCCAGGCATGGCTCCAGGTAGGTATACCTGGTAGTCCTGAGGTTATCTAACCTTGAAGTGTTTATACTACTTACTAGTACTTAATTATTAGGATGGGTCTATACTCAGTGTACTTGAGATGAGAATTTGTCTCTTGTATGTATCGGTTGTATCAATCAAATCTGGGCAATCATGACTTGTTCCACATGTGCAAAGTTACAAGGTTACAAGATGAATTTAAATTACCTTCACCACTTCCTCAATCTACTTGTACCTTCCTATCATCTCGCACTCGTTCGGTTTACCTTACTTCTCACACTTTTCATCTACCTTCATCTTACTCACCCTGCCTTCATTTCGCTCCCAAGTTTATTCGGCATCCCTAGCAGAATCTGCATTGTGGGAAAGCCGGAACCGAGTCATTTATCACGCATACCATGAGGTATACAGAGAAGGCATACCCGACAGCCATCCCTGTGCTTGAAGACTGAAGAGCTTTGGGGATATGGACCTGTTTTCAAGCGGGGAAAGCGCCACGGGTTCACTGGAAGACCAGCCTACAGCATGTGGTATGGCAAAGAATCCACACTCGCGGCTAGTGTTGTTGTCGTGGAAGGCAAAGGTCCCGACAAGTACAGCGAGGGTGTACCACGAGCACTGGTGCACATATATGGGTAAGTCTGGACCCTGTTTACTAGCTCCTGGCAGAGATCTCACAAGTTTACAAGCAAAAAAAATCACATGATACTATCAGGTAGCAGATCTCCGTGCACATTAATTTGGGGGCTATAATTGGGCATGAACCAACGCCTGGATATCAGGCCAAAATTTAGAAGCGGCTGCGCCTCTGGATGATACATATATCGAACTAAATTTTGCATTGCCAAACTTGGAATATTATACTACCCGTCTCACAGAGTTCCAAACTATCTCGCTGCCTCGCACAATGGCTGATCCACTCTCCATCACATCGGGGATTGCGGGGTTTCTTTCGCTTGGCATCCAAGTCACCCAATCCTTGGTTGATTTTTACACGACGTACAAAGGCCAAGATGCGGATCTGGCAAAGATCACAAGCAAGCTTGATGATCTTCAAACCCTCTTTCGAGCCCTCGAAGCTGCAGTAGAGGAACGCCGATCGCAGCCCAACCCGCAATGTATACTGCGTGACGTCGAGAACGCCGTACAAAAATGCGAGGAAATCATCACCGAGCTACAGAGCGAGTGCGAGAAGTTCCATAAAGACCCGACCGCCAGTCTAAAGGATCGTGTTAAGGTTGCTGGGCGTCGTGCAGCCTATCCATTTCGGAAAAGTACTCTACAGAAACTCGAAGAAGACATCAATGAGATACGTGAAAATCTGTCATTCGGAATCGAGATCCTGCAGCTTAAAGGCCAGACCCAGATTCAAGATAGCATATCGGAAATCAAATCCCTCGTCGAGCGAACAAATGCTAGTCAAGTCTCTTTTGAGCTTCGTTGCTGGCTTATGGCGCCAGATGCATCTCTCAACCACAACGCCGCGTCTGCGAAGTGCCATCCAAGCACAGGTCTTTGGTTCGTCAACGGCGATCAATTCCGGACTTGGCTAAAGGAACACAATTCTTTCCTATGGCTGAATGGTTTCGCAGGGTGTGGCAAGTCGGTCCTCTGCTCAACTGCAATCCAGCATACCTTTCATGAGATGAGGCATGAAGACAATGTCGGTATTGCGTTTTTCTACTTTTCCTTCACTGACAACGCAAAACAAGACGCCGACGGCATGTTACGTACATTGTTGATGCAGCTATCGGTACAGCTACCGGACGGTGAAAAAGATCTGGAGCAACTGCACATGTTACATAAATCTGGGTCCCCCCCAGTAGATGTGCTCCTTGACTCACTCCAGCGCCTCCTCAAGCGATTTCGCGATGCTTATATTCTACTTGACGCACTAGATGAGAGCCCCCGAGAACACAAAAGAGAGGGTGTCTTAAATGCTATACAAGTGATACGTGACTGGTCAATACCTGGCCTCCATCTTCTGGTGACCGGTCGCAACGAGCTAGATATCCGCGAAGAGTTAAATCCTTCCTTTGTCCAAGACATACCGCTTAGAAACCCAGAAACGGACAGAGATATCGCGAATTTTGTGTCCTATCAGCTCAAGAATGACACCAAACTTCAGAGGTGGAAAGAGCGTCACGCGGAGATCCAGGAAAAACTGGCAGCTGATGCCCGAGGGGTGTAAGTGTTCAACGAAAAAGACCTAGTCTCTACTATGCTAATCAAGATGGGAAACAGATTCAGATACGTTGAATGTCAGTTCAATGCGTTTCGGCGGGTGCGAAATCGGAATCAGCTGGACAATTGCCTACGCACTTTGCCCCGCGATTTGGATGAAACCTACGAGCGAATGCTGTGCAGTATTTCAGATGAATATGTCGATGACGTGCGCCGAGTTCTGACTCTGCTTTGCTTCTCCGCCCGGCCGCTCACGATCGATGAGCTGATCCACGCACATGCAGTTGACCTGAATGAGCCAGCACATCTTGATCGTGACGGTCGTTCGTACGAGCAGGATGGTCTTATCGACATTTGCCTCGGACTTGTTGAGGTTGTGTCCATGGAAAATGACGACGAAGAAACTATCTTGGCTGCTCGCATAGCGCATTTCTCGGTTCAGGAGTATCTCCAATCAGATCGGATCATTCAACAGAGATCAAGAATATTTGCCATGCAAAGTGCGCCTGCAAATACAGAGATAGCCCATTTATGCCTAGTCTACCTCCAGGACCCAACTCTCTCTGAGGTAGCATTCGATGGAAATCGCTTTGGGAATCGCGTTGGGAATCGCTTTGGGAAAGAGCTTTTTCGTCCAATATACCTTGAGCATGAAAGGCTGAGAGAGGAGTTCCCATTTGTTTATTTTGCAGCTGAATATTGGCTTCATCACCATGCACATTCAGAGGATGGGAAGACAACAATTGAAAAGGTAGCGTCGAAGGTTTTCAAAGACCGGACGAATCCTTTCGCTTTGTGCATACATTTGGGTAATGAAGATCCCCGATCTTCAAGGCACGGCAGTGAATATTGTCCTGAACCTAAAGCGCCTTTATACTATGCGGCCATGTTTGGACTAGAATCTGTTGTGAACAGTATCTTACCGGTTGATACTACACCCTCAGAGTTATTCGACATTGTAAACGCCCAGGGTGGATTTCATGGCCATGCACTCCAGGCTGCAGCAATGGGAGGCCATAAAGAGGTAGTACAAATACTGCTGGATCGAGGTGCCGATATCAATGCCCAGGGTGGAGACTATGGCAATGCACTCCAGGCTGCAGCAGTGAGAGGCCATCAAGAGATAGTACAAATGCTGCTGGATCAAGATGTCGATGTCAATGCCCAGGGTGGATTCCATAGCCATGCACTCCAGGCTGCAGCAGTGAGAGGCCATAAAGAGATAGTGCAAATACTGCTTGATCGAGGTGCCGATGTCAATGCCCAGGATAGAAGATATAGTACTGCACTCCAGACTGCGGCATCATATCACCATGAAAAGGTGGCACAAGATATGATTCGGATGCTGCTAGATCAAGGTGCCGATGTCAATGCCCAGGGTGGAAGTTATGGCAATGCACTCCAGGCTGCAGCAGATAAAGGCTATAAAGAAGTAGTACAAATACTGCTAGACCGAGGCGCCGATGTCAATGCCCAGGGTGGAAGTTATGGCAATGCACTCCAGGCTGCAGCAGATAAAGGCTATAAAGAAGTAGTACAAATACTGCTAGACCGAGGCGCCGATGTCAATGCCCAGGGTGGAGAGCATGGTAATGCACTCCAGGCTGCAGTAGCCAACAGCCATGAAGAAATAGTACAACTACTGCTGGATCGAGGTGCCGATGTCAACGCCCAGGGTGGATACTATGGCAATGTACTCCAGGCCGCAGTGGCAGAAGGCCACGAAGAGATGGTACAAATACTGCTGGACCGAGGTGCCGACGTCAATGCCCAGGGTGGAGAGTATGGCAATGCACTCCAGGCTGCTGCAGCCAATAGCCATAAAGGAATTGTACAAATATTGGTGGATCGAGGTGCCGATATCAATGCGCAGGGTGGATACTATGGCAATGTACTCCAGGCCGCAGTGGCAGAAGGCCACGAAGAGATGGTACAAATACTGCTGGACCGAGGTGCCGACGTCAATGCCCAGGGTGGAGAGTATGGCAATGCACTCCATGTCGCAGAGTGGCGCGGCCAGGGAGATATAGTGAAGATACTGTTGGATCGAGGTGCAACCTATGGCAGTCCACCCAAGGCCGCATCGCCTGAAGGCCACGAACAAGTGGCACCGATGCAATTGGATCAAGATGTCGACGCCGACGCTCAGGGAGAAGAATAAGATCTTCAGCCGTGACCTGCCCTGGAACCTCTGGAACTTCAAACTCCACTCCAGCTCTGAACATGTGGCTGTCATCTGCTTGTTCCTTTCAGAGAGTCTGAGCAATATACACCTACCGAGGTAGGTGTTGCTGACAGGGCTGCTCAAATTTCAGACCGGCCTTCCCAGGTTTCACCCTTGGATGTGGTCCCGTTTGAAGAATCTTTTTGTAAGACTTCCCATAATTTTCCTGCTCTTGCTTACAGAGTCACTGACCAGCAATCACTCGAGCAGTTGGGGACCGGTATTCTCCAGAGCTTGTGGTACGGTACTTACATGTGGAGTAGAGATTGTATATACTCTTAAAATCTCAGATTGAGGATGTGCTAGCTTCTTGCCAATGTAGTATGTACGGGGTGCATTTGCCAATCACTTACAAGTAAATAGCGCGGCACGGATAGCGCAACTCAAGTTCCAGACATTTCTTGAAGTACTACTAGGTACCTAGTAGCCCTAGCCGTAGGGTATACAATCTTCAAGTGTGCATTATGTACTATGCACTTGGCACTTGAGATGGGAGGTATATACTCAGTAACATTTTAAAGCTAGAGGAGGGTATAAAAATGGAAAACTGATTTCAATGTTGAATCTTTCAAACAATATTTCTAAATATATGCAAAGAAAATGACAAGGGGTATCACCAATGAAAAGATAAAAAGAGAAAAGAGGAAATGGAGCCAAACTCAGAAGAATATCAGCACGCAGTAATAGCCAACTGCCTCTTCTTAACCGGCACCTCCTTCAACGCCTCCAAAGCCCCCGCATAATCCTTCAATCCCAACCCCCCAATCTCCTCCAGTGGCACCCCAACCTCCGAACACATCACAAGCCTCAACTGATCCCTCAAAAGCCCCGCATCCCTCACAAGATCCCCCTCCAGCGCCCCCCTCGCCGCAGAATCACACCGCGCCGTAACCGCCAACTCAAACCCCTTCAACCCCCTAACCCTCAACAAAGGCAAAAGCCACGGCTCAGTAATAACCAACGGAATCCGCTGCTGTCCCCCAGCCACAACCACCACCTCACCCCCATTCCCATTCCCATTCCCATTCTCACCCACCGTCATCCCCGCAAACCGGCCCAAGTCAATACTAAGCCCCAGCTCCACCAGCCCCGGCAGCTTCGCAACAACATCCCAAAACTCAATCCACAGCGCATCGCTATGCGTATGCCCATAGATCGACCCCTTATGATCCTGCCCTGAAAGCGGCTGCCAAACAGGCATCCACTGCACCGTCACCCGCCGGATACAGGACAGGTGCCGCGGCGCAAGGCTGCGCGCGAACGCAATGAACGTGTACAGGTCGTCCACGTCGAATGTCGCGTCAACGTATAGCTGGTCCGAGGCCTCGGCGTAGATCGCCTGGCATGTGCGCAGCAGCGCTGCCTGTCCGTTGCTTAGGTTTGCCGGGAGCAGGTCGTGCGTGTGCGGGTACAGCAGTCTGTCTGAGTGGCCTGGGATGCGGCCGTCGTAGATGCGCCAGCGGGCTGGCGTGAGCGGGCAGCAGTGGCGGTGGTGGGTGAGGTTTTGATTTGGGTTTGCGGTTGCATTTGCGTTTTGGTTTGGGGATGGACAGCGCACGTGGCGGATTGTGTTTTTGATTGTTACGAGGTGCGTGGTTGAGGAGTTGAAGACGTGGGACCAGATCATGCGCCGGATTTCGGGCGGTAGGCGTGAGAGTGTGCTGGTGCTTTGGGGGTTCATGGGGTTGTTGGGGGTTAGGGGCTTGTTGGTTGTTTGGGGGGAGCAGATTGCGCGCTCTTGGATTAGGGATTGGATTGTTTCTTGCCAGCGTTGGCCGCTGGAGTAGTAGTGCCATATTGAGTAGGGGTCTCGGAGGACCCAGGTGTCGAAGTGGCGCATTTTGGGTTGCGGTGGTTTTTTAAGTGTATACTAGGTGCTTTTGGAGTGTGTAACATTGACATGTAGTAATATGCGTGGAGTATCAATGAGGGTATATAGTGTATGTATATGAGGACTTGAATGATCTGCAATGATTGACGAGATGCTTTATATGATCGAAGATTGGAATCTGACAGGCAAATCCGGGGCAAATGAATCCACCTTCTAAGGAAAAATGGGGCAAATGTGGACTCTTTATCTCTTTTTTTTTCTCCACTTTATGGGAATTGAAGCCTTCTGTTTTCGGGTTCGAACCGAACTCTTCGCCATTTCCCATTGGACCAATGAAAAGACACGGGCGATCTCGGATTTATGTCGCTGCAACCTTATGACGTCGGGGTTGGGAACTAAATGCGGGTTTTAAAGGAGGAAGAGAAAGAGAAGGAGGAGAAGGAGGAGAGTGCTCCGTTAGAGATAGCAGATAAGTTGCAGATACCAAGATTCTTAGTAAGACGCTACTAGTCGTGGCGTAGAGTCTGTGCACTTCATGCCCAATGATATGTTCAATCAAGTTACCAGCATGAGCTAACTGCGCCAAAGTCAATGCCCATCTCCCCATCCAACCTCAAGCCTCCTCGTCACCATCTTTGAAACACGGCTGATCCTCAACAACTGGATCCGGCTCGGATCGCCCTTCCTGCATAACAGCCACATATACCGCACAAGCAAGGATAAGCACAGACCCCACCGCAGGAACAACAGACAACGTAGTGCCCCAAACCACCTTATCATAGAAAAGCGCAAACAAAACCTGCATATACACCATGCTCGTCGCCCGCGACCCCTGTCCCCCCCTCCATTCCTTCCCACTCAACACCTCCGCCGGCGGCACATACGACAACCCCGCCGTCAAGAGAAACTGCAAAAGGAACCCGCAAACCCCCAACCCCGCCATAAACACCCACTCCAACCGCGTACTCGGGAACCGGAACGGCACCCCGGGCACAGCCGCCATAGCCACCAGCGAAATAATCGTCGTCACGCTGGAGAAATACGTCACGGAGACAAGCGGGTGCGCCCGCCGCCCGATCATCCGGATCGAAGTGTATGCGCCCGCCGCCCCGATCACGCCTACGAACGCTACGATCGTCGCCAGGATGTGGTGGTAGGAGTCTGCTGAGCCCGGCGAGCCGGAGCCGGAGCCGGAGTGCGAGCTTTCTGTGGAAGTGCCGTTGCCGCGCTTGCGGAATGGCTGCGCGATTAGAATCACGCCTGCTAACGAGACTAGCGCCGCGATTTGCTGTCGCTTGGAGAACGTTTCGCCTGGGATCAGCAGCGAGCAGGCGTAGCAGGTCATTATTGGTGCTAGGAACGTGATTACCGTTGCTTCGGCGAGAGGCAGGTATTGGACTGAGTAGTAGATTCCGTAGACGCCTAGGAAGCCGAAGGTTGCGCGCGTTATGAGGAGGAGGAGAATTGGGCGTGTGCCGAGTGGGCTGGGCACGCGCGCGTACCACATGTAGAGGTAGCTTGCTAGGGCTGTGATGGACATGCGGGCGAAGAGAATCTGGGTGGGTGGTTAGGTTAGTATGGGTTTGCGGTGGCTATGCTGGTAGATTGGATATGGGGTATAGGTAGGGTTAGGGCGTATAATATAGGATATAAGTTATGGGATATAGGATGGGATCTTGGAATATTGGGGATATAGAATCAAAGAACCATAGGGTCAAATGAACATCACGCCTTTCTTCCCGATACCAGATCCGCTTCCCTTCTCATGTCATCCCGATTCATGTAATTTTTGGGGCTATTCCTTTCTTCAATCCAACCTACCTGGAATGGATGCATGGAACTATTAATCTCCAACAACTGCGTCATAACGTTCATCGAAGCGCCGAACATCTGCGCCAAAAGCACCAAGAACATGCCCTTATTCCTCAGCCAGAATATACGCAATTTCGCATGTGTCGCATGCCGCGGCCGCGTCGCCGCGGCCGCAATATCGGACTCATCGTCTTCGATCGGGTACGGCTCGTATTCTACCAGTGATCGCGTTTCGTCGTCGGTGTATCGCTCCGTCGGCAGGGGTGCGTCGGGGTGGTCGTTATCTGCGCCTGGGCCTGAGGCTGTATGCGTGTCGTTGAGCTGGGGTGTCATGATTTTGTGTTTTGCCCCCGAGGCTTTTCTTTTCGTTAGGTCGTGAGGTCGTTAGATTCTCGTCTCGTCTATCGTGGTCCTGGGTTTGAGAGGCGCTTTTATAGTGCAATATAGTATAGGGCCCGGAAGTGACTGGGGCTCAGGAGAGGTCAGGAGGATATACAGGGTGGATCGGATAAGATGGTAGACATGAGTGGGGGTTGGGTGGACGGAGGCGAAGGTGAGGTTGGAGAAATGAAAATGAAAAGATAGTAGCGCTGGAAGTGGATCCGCTGGGTTAAATTCAACCAGATGACCTCCGATTACAGTCATATTGGGCATTTTCATCTTTTCGCTTTTGCATTTTTTTGGCTTGACAAGGTTGTTCTGCAAGGTCGATCTTTATACTACTGTATGCATCTGCATATGCGCATGTGACATGATAATGTGATTGGTATCGAGCGTGAAAGATGCTTACGGTGTATTGTGTTTTACGGTCCATACGGTAAAATCTGGGGTAGGAAAAATATCCGTTCGGGTCGTGGAACTCGATAATTCGATAAGCATCTTCTACCTCCAGGCTCACGAGTATATTCAATATTTTTCAAAACTTGGCACAGAGATTCTTCTGGTGAAAGTCTTCATGATGTCTTAAAGCAGTCCACATTCTAAACGACCAACCGTCATATGAACGAAAAGTGTGAGGTGCTCGTGCTGCTGCTGTCGCATTTTCATGAGTAGGGAAGTACACAGTATGAGATGGCTTCATCCACGTAACTTCATCTTTTCAATTCAGGTGTGTAGATCTGTTTAGTACTCAAGTGGCTCTATCTTTGTTTCTCGTTCACTTGAACTCCAGCGGCACCAATGTGGTTTAGTGGTTATCCAACTATTGTCCTAACAGTTTCATGTCCCAGGCCAGAGTCGGTATAAACACATGGTCTCTAAAACGAATGATAGAGAGAAATTTCGTCAGCTGCGACTCGGCGTCGGAAATGATCTCGGAAACGATCTCGAAAATGCATTTCAATCCTTCTCGTTTCTCATGAGAAATCCCGAAATGACTACATCTCTTCGCCACCTAAAAGTCCATGAAACCCGAAATATGTCTGGAAGCCGTGAGGTCGATTTCAATAATGTGCCGGCGCAGCCTCAAGAGCTGGAGCTGCATGATCTCGGGAGATTAAAGGCTGCCATCAAGACAGCGGGGCTTACACGGGGATGAGTCGCGGCTGGTGCTACATATGCTGCTACAGCCCTAAAAGGCGACTTGTACGTGTATCCAAACATACTATTATCCCCTTTCTCGTCATCTGCACTAACAGCCTGCACATATTGAACTCATCCCATTTATATCACATGGCCTTCAAACAAGCCCTCACAGCGCTCCTAATCGCCATCTCACCCACCTAGAGTCCCTGCCTTATCAACATCGGAGAACCCAGCTACAAGACCGAAGATTTCCCTCTCTCACCATGTTCTGCCGCGCAAACAGAAACAGGAACTTCGGTCCACCCCTGTATCTCCAGAACCTCAAGCGCGTCATCTTCCTTCCGGTGAAGAGGGGGATCCGTTGTTGAATCGGGGGCGTTGTCGGCCTGATCTGGATGTTGATGCTCTTTTGGAAAGGCTGGTGTGTGGGATGCATGATTGTTTGCCTTTGCTGAGGACAGTTGGGGGGTTGGATCCTGTTATTCCACGCGCTAAGGAGGTTCTGGAGTATGCGGGTGAGGATGAGGATCATCCTTTTCTTTGGGGGTGACTAAGAGGTGGTTGGGTTGATTGGAGTTCATTCTAGTTGGTATATAATAGTCCCTAGTACTCAAGACTATATGTTAGCTTTCGAATTTACAAATGGTGCTTTGCCTAAAAAGGAAAAAAGCTAACATTGCATTCAGACATACTAGCAGTCAGTGCGTCTAATAGAATGCATACTAGTACATAGGACTGCCCTAGGTATGTACTCGGGGACATCTGCATACATAATTCCAAGTAAACATTTGAATAGGAATCGATAACGATATACATTATATACATTCATCTCACAGAGTCTATGGTCTACATAAAAGTAAATGTATCACCGCCCTTCTCACGCATCATATTACCAATACGCGACGTTCCAACCACACGCTCCAGCTTCAAGGCATCCCACTTGGAGAATAGTACCCGCGCACCACCCTCCGCAGCCTCAGCCAACTCAGCCGGATCAAGCCCCAGGAATCCAAGAATCTCCTGGTAGAAAACCGGGTTCTCAGGCAAACCATACATGACGATACGCTTCACGCCGCGAATCTGGTACCGACGGAAATGGTGCGCACGTTCCGTGTACAAAAGTACCGAATGACGCCCGCTCATGAAATGACTGCGTGCCCGCGACATCTCGCTAGTCTCGCTGTACTCGGAGATCGCGCCGAAGGAGATATGCGTCGTTTGCGCGGAGGTGGCGAAGTGGTTGCGCACGCGCACGAAATCAAGGTACGAGGGGACGAAGACGAGAGTGCCTGAGCTGCCCTTGCCGCGTGCGGTGATGTTCTTGACTACTGTTGAGAGCACGGTTGAGGTGAAGTGCTTGAAGCGGGCGTCTGGGTCCTTGGCGGGCGAGAGACTGTCGATTCGGGAGAAGGTTTGTTTGACGGAGACGGGGAGGGGAAGTTCGGTGATCGCGCCGGGGTATGTGGGTGTGATCTTGACGCGGCCGGAGGCGTTTTGCATTTGCGTGGAGAAGAGTGAGTTGATCTCGGGTGTGATGAAGGATGCGAGGAGGATCGTCTGGCGCACGTGTCGGGCTTGGTCGTCTAGGTACCAGTTGCGGACTCGGCTGAAGTCACAGCCGTGGGCTTCCTTGGGCTGGAGGTTGAGATGTTGGAAGATATATGAAACGTGGTCCCAGTTCTGCATGAGCAAGGCATCGGCGTGGTCCACGATTACGACTTCGATGGAAGAAAGGAAGTCGTGGTCTCGCTTCTTGGCACTATGTAAAGGATTAGCATGGGGTGGGTATTGAAAGGATATAGTAGCATAAAGGCGGAACATACTCTGCTTGGTCCATGATTGTCCGCATACCCAGTGGACTGGCCAGAATGATGTCTGAACTGTAGAATTGCGAAAAGTACTTCACAGTCTTGCGGGTGAACTTCAGTCCCAGTCTGAACATATCGTCATTGTTACCTCCGAACAATTCCCGAGCATCCTCTGTCTTGTGATCCCATCCCTCATCGGATGAGGAGAAGGCATCGAGGAAACGCTTTTTGTTTTCTTGTTGGTCGACTTGGTAGAACTTGGTGATCGAGTTGATAGTCCGGACACAAGCCTGTCGAGTAGGCAAAAGGTAGAGAATCTTGGGTCGAGTGAATCCCTGGTCTCGACATTCAACATCGGTGTCAGGGTCCTTGACCAGACGAGCATTGTTCTTCAGCACCTGGTCTCGGGTCTTCATCAGGTGGTTGACAGCGTGGAGGGCCATAACATCGCGCATGGCATCGGCTGTGTCTGTGGATCGGGCGCCGTAGAGGACATCTTGATAATCGAATACATATGGAGCAATCTGCTGAGTATCGCCCTGGATGGAGGGCAGAGACTCTGCGATACGAGCCTTGAGCTTTTCCTTGACCTGCAAGGTGGATTAGCTCACATTACCATCTCTCTCTCTCTCTCTGTCGATGACGTACCTTAAGGCTGGTTGTGTTTTTCAATGCCGGAAGCAGATTTGAAGTGTCATCTCCAAGCTCGGGGACGGTGCGCACCAGTCGCAGTCCATCAACCTCCTTCTTAGTCGCGGCCCATTTGTTGGCATCGATTTGCGCAATCTTTTTGGTGAGTTCGAATCCCTCTCCGATATCAAAGTGTTTCTCGAATGGCCCAACCGCATCTTCGTCTTCATCGTTGTCTTCATCATCATCTTCTTCAGCTTCTTGATCCTCGTCCTCATCGTCTGAAGGCGCTTGAGCTTCCAAATCGTCGTCACCCCCAGACTCTTCTTCGTCTTCCATAGGCGCATCTTCTGTAGTTGATTCGGCGAGCTTTCTCCGCTTCGGGGCTGGTGCCTGGGAATCCGAGTTGGCGTGTAGTAGTTCGAGTAATTCGTTATAAGGGCGTCCGTTGGTCTGTTCTTCTTCTTCGTCTTCGTCGCTGCTAGATCCCTCATCCATCAAGGTATCATCTTCAACCTCCTCCAATTGATCTTGACCAGCTTCATCACCGGAGGAATCTTCCGAGCTGCAATTTATTAGCTGCTTTCCGGGCTGTTGCAAAAGCTTGCGATTTCACTTACTCAACGTCGTCCAATCGTGAAGAAGTGAAACCTTTGCGACCAGCACCACGACCACGACCACCACGACCGCCACGGCCTCCACGACCACCACGAGAGCCACCACGAGAGCTAGCACCACGAGAACCAGAGCCACGACCTCTGAATGAACCTCCGCCTCTTCCACCTCTTGGAGCAGGCATATTGAAAAGGAATTTTATGGTTGTCAATTAACTTGAAGTTCTTTTCTTCTTCTCTTTTTTTTTGTTCTTGGGAAAAAAGATGGTTTGGCTTATCTTATCTTAGCGCGAAAATTCCCACACACAAAGAATCGGAACAACCCAAGTCACGGCGCACTCCACTTGCTCCAAAGGAAAAATTGTCCCTCCGAAGTCTCCAAAGGTCGTGAGGCAAGTCGAAAAACCTCACCTCCCCACATCCACCCTTCACTCCCACCATGGCCGAAGACTCCTTCCTGCACCTCGCCCGCCCCTTGGGCCCTGTCTCTGTGGGGACCGCTCCCACCACTGCCCCTCTTAATGTGGTGATCCAGCCGCAGGTACGAATTTCAATTAAGAATCCCCTCAATATCGAAAAATCCCATGTCCAGACTTTTAATCCATCATCTTTTTTCTCTCTAGGCCATTTTCTCCATTCTCGACCACTCGCTTCGCCGTAACGCCGATCAGGAACGTGTCATCGGTACACTGCTTGGAACACGATCGGAGGATGGAGGTGAGGTCGAAGTGCGCTCCGCGTTTGCCGTGGGCCACTCTGAGGCCGAGGACCAGGTCGAGGTCGACATGGAGTACCACAAGCAGATGCTCGCTCTGCACTTGAAGGCCAACCCGCGCGAGGTCCTGGTCGGCTGGTACGCTACCGCCTCTGAGCTCAACACTTTCTCCGCCTTGATCCAGAACTTCTACAGCGGTCAGGGTGATGGCACATGGCCTCACCCCGCCGTTCACTTGACTGTCTCCACCGAGCCCGGCAAGGATCTCGAGACCCGTGCCTACATCTCCGCTCCCGTTGGTGTCACCGCTGAGCGGGCTGCCGACAGCGCCGCTTTCATTCCCGTCCCTTACGAGCTCCGATACGGCGAGGCCGACAAGAGTGGTCTCGAGGCTATTGCCAACGCCAAGGATTCAGAGGACCGTTCTACTTCTATCACTTCTGATGTTGAGGCGCTGGAGCGTGCCATTGAGGAGGTTATTTCTATGATTGACCGTGTGTCGCGATACGTCGAGTCCGTCATTGATGAGGAGGCCCCTGCCTCTACTGCTATGGGCCAGTTCTTGCTGAATGCTCTTGCTTTGGCCCCCAAGGTCGAGCCCGCTGACATTGAGCGTGACTTGTATGTTTCTCCTCCAATTCCTTGTTTATTTGAAACTCCGTCTTTGCTTGTCCACTTTCGGGGTGTTTATCTTTTTTTCTTTTTCTGTTTACTGACAAGCGCAAAACAGCAACAACCACATCCAGGACGTTCTCGTCGTTTCCTACTTGGCCAACACCATCCGCACACAGATGGAGCTGTCCAACCGCCTAGCAACTGCCCAGTTGACCCTGGGTAGCGGTGAGGGTGCCAACGCTGGCGGCGAGGGCCAGCGCAATAACAACAACCAACGTGGCGGTAAGGGAGGTCGCAACAACAACCAGCGTCAGGACCGTGCCCAGAACGAGGAGACCCGCGCCTAGAAGATATGACAGAGACACGAATCATGCGATTTCAGTGGAGCTTCTATTCCTCCCCGTTGATGTTTCTTATGCTGCGTAGTGAGGTTTCAACGCTGCAATTTCTTAGCAAGATAAAGGTTCCAGCGCCAAAATCTTTTGTTTTGTTTCTATCTACGTTTTTATTTTTTTTATTATGTCTCCCTTTTTCGACCTCCATTTTCTTTATGAGACAGCTTTTTCTTGGAGACGCAGCCTTTTTTCTCTGTATTCTGTCTCCCTTTTGGCCGGTCTCGCCCAGACAAGCCCGATCAGTCCAAAAACAAAAGCAAAAGCAAAGTGGCGCATCGGAGTCGATCTGGCTTTGTTCAGATAGATGTGGGGTTTTGGGTGAAGGTGAAGGTGAAGGTGACGATACTGCGAGTAAGCAGGGAGGAGTGGACTTGGAAGAGAGTCTGTTGCAGAAGACCATGTCGAGAGGACAATCCGGGCTTTGTTACTCCCGGTTCTTTTTCACGAAGTCGCATCTTACTTGGGCGCGGCGTTTAGTTATGATGAAATGGACATAAAAACGTTAGATCTTGTGCAGTGTAATACCTTTTCTTTGGTTAGAGATGCTGGTATCAGTTGGAGTTGTTGCGATTACCTACATAGGTTGCGTGTCACAGCTCTGGTACGCTTCTATTTACATTAGTACTAGACTATGACTCTGAGTGGTCTCAAATGCTGGACGATAGCATTGCAGAATTCTCGATGTCTCGATCCATATAAAAACCCAAGTGCTTCGAATCCGAAGGTACAGATTGTTTGCATCCATGGATGAGACTCGTGTATTGCTTATAAGCCTGCGAGACCCGAAACCTTCCAAACTAAGTCCAACCTAATTCAAATGTTACCTACTATACAGTACTACTACTACTCCGTACGGTTCATAGACATTCATGACATTTCCATCTGAGCATCAGTTGAATTTACCAATCATGACAATGCGTCTCAATATGGTACAATAGGTGCAAGTCCATGTGCAAGATACATCTCAAAACCTATGTACCGGATTTCCTTTAGCAAATTTTGGCTTCCTTTTCCGGATTAGTGCTCACCCCTCGCCGCTTTTACTCACTGAGCAGATCTGTCGGACTTTATAGACCTTTGCTGTTATTCATAGTCCAAGTAGAGTAGGAATACTATCGATAATAATTTCTTAAATCTGCGAACCAATACCATAACTCACCTGGATTCCTCATAATAGTGCACCCCCCACCGATCACTCGAGCACCAGATATCATTCTCATGGCGGAATTTCGTCGTTAGTCTAGGTAGATCCATCATCTGCAATGCGACAATCGGGTAAAACTCTTGCAGTAGAGTCTCCAGAGCCACATTAAGATACCCCTTAAATTCAGCGCCGGCCATATCCTCATCACCTAGGCCTAGCAAAGGTGGCAGACGTGGGGCGCTCGCTCCCTGAGATACCGAAACAACAAAAGGAATTCTTTGGCGCTCACGGCGTGGCGCGGAAAAAAGAAGTGGCGAGGAGAGGACAGACTCCATAGAAGCTGGCGTTACCAGTAGACAAGCGGAAGTGGCGAGTCCTTTTGGTAAGGCCATTTCATTAAAGCGTCTTCATATGATGTATCAGTCCAGTGACGATGAAATCGAGAATCAAATTTGAACCCAAACATTGAAGAGATGTACATACCTGGCCACATCCGCTGCATCTACACCGTCTAATTCGGGCTGTTCCACCCACTGAAACTGTAACAAATTGATCGCTCGGTCTACCTGAGGCAACGAGCCCCGATACGGGGCTAATCCCTCCTCGATCACCGCGTCCCACCGTCTTCGAAATTCCGCCCACTGCGTCTCATGCTCGGCCCCATAGGGAGTCGTACGGAACACCACAAATCCCCAATTCCCCCAGTCCTCAGTCGCGGCGCTTCGGAAGACGGAATTCAGGGGCTGAATAAAAGGTGCGCGGAGCTCCTGCTCTTGCAGCTTGGTTTCCTCTGACTTGGCGGCCTCAACTCGGGCCCGGTAGCGGCGACTCATCTCTTGCATTATTTCACGGAAACCATCTTCGCCGTGAGTGGCTTTCAGACCGTCGAAAAGAGTGCTGCGTTGGGTTTCTGACAGAGCCATCAGGTCTTGTCCGCTCGCGTTAAGAAGGCGTTCATGCGTCCAGCCTTCTGGGTAGAACGACATGATTGGATTTAGGTAAGATTTTTGTTGAGGTGAAGTAGGATCAATTGATATATTCATTCTGGCCAGATGGGGACTACTACGGTTGTTCAGTATGATAACGTAATTTACTACCGAGCCGCGGGTGGCAAGAGTTTATGTAGTGACCTATATACAAAAACAACACCAATGCCAAAAAAAAAAAAGTCAAAACACCCATTTACTCAACGCCCAAAAAATCATGCACCAAGAAACATGAAGCTGGCCATACCCACCAAGCCTCCAACAAACACCACCGTCAAAATACCAGCACCAGCCTTATCGCCCGTCGTAATCGGCGTCGAAGTAGCCGCGCTCCCCGCATTCTCATTCTCGCCCGCATTCACATCACTGCTACTATTTCCACCCGTCGTAGACGTAACAGGAGGCGCATCCTGCGTCCCGTTAACCCACGGCAACATCTGCACGCTGAACGCATTACTAGCACTAATCTCCTCCTCCATGCCCTGCTCGCCATCCCACGAGCCGGTAGTCCACCGGATCCCGCACGTGCTATTGCCATTTCCAGAACACGAGTTCGCAGCCCCCTGGCCCGAGGCCTGCAGCTTGGACAGAATCTCATCATACAGCGACGGGATCAGCAGCGCCGTCTGCGCAAGCCAGCTAGCCACCAGTCCCTTGAAAAGCACTTCGTTGTTGTTGCACTGGCCCGCTGCCGTCGTCGCTGTCTCACACTCCCAGTCCGAGATAATGTAGTTGTTCTTCTCTGTGAAGAATGTGCTCCACAGCGTGTTCAGAAGCCCCGTCGTGCAGTTCAGCCAGTACTCGTCGCCGGTCTTCGCGTACAAGTACGCGCACCCGCCAAAGTAGACACCGTAGTTATACGTCCACTGCACCTGGTCGCCGTTCGCGCATTGCTCCTGGCCGTTCGTGGAGTCTGAGATCGTCCATGTGTTGTTGTTCACTAGCGGCACTGAGCACGACCATTCCCACGTCTTCTTCGCCCACGTGTAGTACGTCTCGTCGCCTGTGTATCGGTATAGCCGCGCTGCGAGCTGGAAGAACCCGCCGTTCGATACCGCGTTCTTCATGTAGTAGCCCGTTCCTTCGTAGACGTAGATCTGCCAGCGGAGACCGCCGCCGCACATCGTTGTGTCCCACCGCGCTTTTTGAGTGTTGAACACGCCTTGTGCGAGCGAGAGCCATGAGAAGCCTGTCGGCCGGTCTGGGAGCTTGTATTCGACCGCTGTCATAGCTGAGAGGCCCCAGAACATCTGGTCGTCGTTACCCTGCGTGGAAAATATGGATTAGCATGTGTTCGGTTTAAGACTGTGATGTGTGATGTGCTGTCGTGTCGCCCAGGGCGCGTCGGGTGATGCGGTGTGCTGGATGCGTTGTGTTGCGTTGTGTTGTATTGCTTACCAGGAAACTACTATAGTTGGTCGGCATGTAATCTCCGTTCGTACCACTTTGCCATTGCAGCGCAACGCTCAGCTCCTCGTTGTACGTGTCGTCGCCCGTGAAATGCCAGTAGTTCAGCAGCGCCAGCAGCAGCGCGGAACCTTCCCACCATTTACTCGGGAATGCACCGGGGATGCCGCCCGTCTCGTTACCGGTATAATAAGTCATCATCGCGTACGTCGCCGTGCTGGCGGCATCTTTAATGGATTCTGGCGATGATCATGTCAGCATGGGGCGGAAATGGAATGAACGTGTGAGTCGCCCATTATGTACCTTCACTGGTGGCGACGAGCTGAAGCCCTGAAACCTGCTGCCCGAGCGCTAGTATATACAGCAAGCCCGCACATATTGACCTTGAGCCTAGAATCTGCATGGTTGGGGATATGGAGATGGCGAGGGCCTGGGGGGTGGGAAGGGCGGAAGTCAAGAGATCGAAGCGAACGGAGATCGCTTGGGGCTAAAAGTAGCGACAGACGGGACCGGGGCCGGGACCGGTGTGATGTGGTATGGTATAATGTGTATAACGGGTGTAATGTATGGAGGGTTTAAGGGTAGCGGCTCGGATTAATTGGGAGTTCAAGCGCGGGCTTGGTGTTCTAGATGGGGTTGGGTTGATGGGGGAGAAAAGACAGCATTCCCAGCCCCAGTTTGCCCCGCGAGCCTCAGTGGTCTTTGGTCCTGGGCCCTGGAAATTATGATAGACCCTGTGAAAGTGGAGTCGGTTTGAGGGCGGTGTTCATTGGTTGCGTTTTGTTACAGGAATTATTACAGAAAAGGGTCTGATTGAGGGTCCACTTGGTCAAAGTGGAGATTTTGGGCGGTTTTTTTTTCTTTCTTTTCGCCCTTGAACGCTCGTTATGGAGACAGCACGTCAGAGGTAGATCGTCAGGAGGTGTACAGCCTACTTGTTGGTCTTTCCTAAGGCTTTGGATTTATATGGGCTGGACGGTATTCTTGACTCCTTGACTATTGTACTTTGGATGTCTCACCTTTTCTTCCATTTAAATTATCATCATTTATTTTAGTTATTTTACTAAGCAAATGCCCTGTGTCATCCAATCAGGACTGACTCTCTCGCTTTCTTTGGCCTGTTTTGCGTGAGTTCCTTGGTTTTGGGGGAAAAAAGAATTCTAGAATTATAAAAAAGAACTCAAGGGAAAAGGGGCGCTAAGGGACCTTTCGTCCAATGGGGTGAGATGTGTAATCCCCCAACCTTGGTCCAGTTCGTCTATTTTTGGCTTAGCTGATCCCTGATGTCATTTTCCCTTTCAAGACGTGTTCAAGCCTACAGTTCAAGCCTTGTGTTCAAGCCTTTTCTATGCAAATGATGCTTTTATGCTTTTACTCCTGTTTTTGTCCTACCTGCTGTATACTGTACCACATACTCTGTTTACCTTGGTCACGTGGCCAAGGACTAGGCACCTGACACGAGGTTGTTGGGACCTCAGGCATACCATACCAGCCCTAAAGATATCGGTTCTTTATGAGGAATCAGGCTCATGAGTATATTTCAAAATGTTCTCCTTCATAGTCAGTGTGGCAATGGTCGGTTACATGTTTAGCTACTTATTTGCCAGGCGCATTTGGTGCCCATGTGGCAACCACAGTGCTCTCTTGAGTACATCACCCCTCTGTCACGCTCAAGGTACCTAACACAGCGAGAGAAACGAACCGACAGGCGGTTGAAGCCCAGATGAATAATAAGTGACAAAGTCACGGTCTAAGCTATGATAGCGTCAATCTTTCTAATGCTTGCTCTACTTGAATAATAATTCCTGAGTCCCAGACAAAACATTGAAGAAAGAAACAAGGAAATAAGGAAACATAATACATGTCCAGCATCATCTCTCGCTTTGATATTCCTTCAAATTGACAGCCGTACATGTGGTAGAATTGACAAGCTCAAGCGCTAGCTTCGAGTGAATGGATGCCATTCTGATCCAATGTTCCTAATTCTCCGCTAGACGAACGTGGTCATGAAGCATTATAGCTGGTCACCTGGAAGCAGATGTTTCAAGTGAATTCTTGAACTGAGATGGTATTATTCATCTTCACCAAAAAGAGCCACTCTTGCTGATGACCAAATTGCGAGTTTATCCTGGAGAAGTTCAACCACTTCAAGATGGTCATTGTCTGCTGCAATGTCGATTGCTGTCCGTCCGCTCTTAGCATACAGATCTGCACCTCTATCAATTAGCAGTTGGACCACTTCAAGATTGCCACATTCTGCTGCTAAATGGACTGGAGATAACCCATCGTTATTAGCAGTATTCAGGTGGGCACCTCGGTCTAGTAGCAGTCGGACCACTTCAAGATGGCCATGCGCTGCTGCTGTATGGACTGGAGACCACCCGTTGTAATCAGCAGTATTCAGGTAGGCACCTCGGTCTAGTAGCAGTCGGACCACTTCAAGATGGCCATGCGCTGCTGCTGTATGGACTGGAGACCACCCGTTGTAATCAGCAGTATTCAGGTGGGCACCTTGGTCTAGTAGCAGTCGGACCACTTCAAGATGGCCACATTCTGCTGCTATATGGACTAGAGACCACCCATTGTAATTAGCAGGATTTGGGTAGGCACCTCGGTCTAGTAGCAGTCGGACCACTTCAAAATGGCCACATTCTGCTGCTATATGGACTAGAGACCACCCATTGTAATCAGCAGGATTTGGGTAGGCACCTCGGTCTAGTAGCAGTCGGACCACTTCAAGATGGCCACATTCTACTGCTATATAGACTGGAGTCCGTCTATCATTATCAGCAGCATTTATGTCTCCACCTCGGTCTAGTAGTAGTTGTACTACTGTAAGACGGCCATATTCTGCTGCTCTAAAGACGAGAGTCTGTCCATGCTCATCAGCAGAATTTGGGTCGGCACCTCGGTCTAGTAGTAGTTGGACCATTGTAGGATTGCCGCGCATTATTGCTATATCTAGTGGAGTCTCTCCACTTTTGTGGGCAGTATTTGGGTCTGCGCCTCGGTCTAGTAGCAGTTGGACTACTCCAAGATAACCTCTTTCTACTGCTATATAGACTGGAGTCCGTCTATCATTATCAGCAGCATTTATGTCTCCACCTCGGTCTAGTAGTAGTTGTACTACTGTAAGACGGCCATATTCTGCTGCTCTAAAGACGAGAGTCTGTCCATGCTCATCAGCAGAATTTGGGTCGGCACCTCGGTCTAGTAGCAGTTGGACCACTTCAAGATGAACTCTTCTTGCTGCCAACGACAGCGGTGTCTGTCCAAGCTTATCCCTGGGGTCAATTTCGACCTGGTCATTTTTAAGCAGCAGCCACACCACGGTCACAAGGCCATTCTCTGCTGCCAATGACAGAGGAGAAGTCCAATTCAGTCGCACTGACTTTGAGTTCGGATTGACTCGTTTATTGCTGAGCAGAAGCCACGCCACAGCTTCATGGCCCTGTTTTACTGCCCATAACAATGGCGTCCGTCCCATCTTATCCCTGGAGTCAGGGTCGACTCTGCCAGTTGCAAGGAGTAAAACAATGACATCCTTGTGTCCCTTTTCGGCGGCCCAAGACAGGGGCGTCCGCCCCTCCCGGTCTTGGGAATCTGCATCCACTTTATCTGTTGTGAGTAACAACAATACCAATCTCACATGTCCGTTCTCTGCAGCCAATGACAGAGGTGTTCGTCCAAGGAAACCCACTGAGTCCATGTCATGTCCTTTCAAAAGTAAAGTGATCATGACCTTCATCAAGTTGAAATGCGTCACAAGGTGTGCACCTGTCATATGCCTTGGCACTGCTTGACTATATGTGAAAGGAAGATAATAGTAAATTTCCATCATCATTGCTTGATACGATCCAGATACTTTAGCCTCGTTGCTGAGAAACTCAAGCATCAAATTTTCTGGCTCCCCAGGCAATTCTTCGGCATGATACCCCCAGTATCGTGCCGCATAGTTGTAAAATGGATATTTCTGTATCCTTGAATCGAAACTGGCATCATTCAAGCAGAAACCATCATTGAAAGCTTCGAGCGAAAGGTATGTGAGACAGGTGGCTGAGATCTCGGCCTTCGCTTCTGTATATTGAGGTGCGCGCCCGAAGAACTCCTTGGTTGTGTAATGTATGAAATCAATGGTCCCATTTTTTTGGTCCACTATGATCAATCCAGCGCACACAGAGCCAAGGGTGCCTGCATCCGCAATAAACTTTTCATCAAAATCCGAAGCTCCTTTTCTGACAGCAAGAGCATGTTGTATCTCTAGAAGCGAAAGTGCTCTCTTGCTGTACGTTAACCAAGTCAGAATCCGTCTGGCGAGGTCCTTATGACCTTCATGCTGGCTTTCTATCCGTTCTACTACTTTGTTGTAGGTATCGTCCAGCCGTGATTCTCCGGAGGGTAGATTCTTCAGTGCTATCTCAAGATGCCCTATGGTCGGTTGACCCAGAAGGGATTGCATATGCAGGTTTGCAAGGAGAAACCTATGGCATATGTTAGTTGGCTGACTAAAGATTTTCCACATAATCTTTGGTGAATGAACGTACATTCCACCGGCTGATTCGATAATAGTATGCCGGATTGAATCCTGGACGGCTGGGTATTTTGACAGTTGCGGAAGGCGAAGCCGAGGTATCTGGCCATCAACGAAGCGTAGGATGTCGTCATTTTGAGCACTGATCTCTTTCAATATGCAGTCTTCAAAATGTGACGTGACATTTTGTATGTTTCGAGAAGTTGCAAACAGATTCAGTGCGGTGCTTTTTTGGACGCGGAATAACTCAGTGAGGAGCATATCGATCTCAGAATTCGAAGTGTAAAACTCATCCAAGGCATCAATCAGGATAATGGATCGGGAATATAAGTTATTGACCAAAATCAATAGGTCTGTCACCTCAGTCATGGTTGGTCGGGTCCCTTTCATGATATGATATGTATAGAGTTTTCGAATTTCTGAGGGAAGTTCTTGTCGGCCTCTTGTGAGTTGCATCAGGAGACTCAGAAACACATCTGTGGATGTTTTTTGTAACTGAGATCGATAGCTACAATAAACATATGCTATGCCAACATCTGGACAGTTTCCATGAGTGGAGTCCAAGTGGTCGATGACAATAGAAGTCATGAATGTCTTGCCCGCACCTGGTATACCTGGGCAAAATAATGTTTGTTTGCTTTCTCTGAGCCATTCTTGGAACTCCGTCGACTCCAGTAGCCACCGCCCTGTTCCTACTTCTCGGCGAGCAAGGAGCTCACTTTGCTGTAGACCGTAGTCGACTGGGGTTAGCCATTGGAGAATTTCATGCTTGAGATCATTCTCTCCCGTCTTCCTTATCTTAGAAACATTGATCTCCACATTTGACAGGGTCTCGGTGACTTAATATATACATATTGTTAGCAGAATGTATATTTTAGGCTGACCTTGGAAGATACTATGTAGAACTTGAGTGGAGTAACGTACAATTTTTCACAACATCAGCAGCCAGCTCTAAGTTCACAACCTCCCCTGGGTTGGTAACTCTAAGAAGGTCTTTCGCATAAGCAGCAGCAACAATTGCAGCATATGGTTGCCACAGTTTGCTTTTGTGACCATCTGAATAGTCACAAATTCCACGGATCACAATGCATGGGAAATGATTCATCAAACCTGCTGCCTCCATTTCGAAGCACAACACGTCATGGGCATCGCGTAACTCGTCTCGACGTTGCGCAGATCTCATGACAGCATTTCCCGAGGCGATCAAACCGTAATGAATGACGGGATTTTCGGACATACGATCGACCCTACTCTGGGTTTGTTGAATATCACAGTTTTGGCAGTCTTCTCCTTTCGCATGACGATAGTCCGCCTTGAATAAAAGATCTTGCCGTCGACCTGGGAATTCGAAGTCTTCAAATTCCGGTAAATCTTTCATTTTATCCATGACTTCCAACACATAGTCCTGCATTTTGCTCTTCTTGAATCGATGGTCTGACTTGACTTGCTTCAAGGCCTTCAACAGAATTGCTGGGGGTTTGTTCATATGTGACTGAATCAGGAATTCATTGTCGTCCTTCATTTTTCCCATATCGTATTGAATAACGCCACCTGGTACTAGTCAGCATTGGTTTCTTCCAAAATAATCACACTGGTCAAGAATCGAGGTACATACTGTGATCTCCATGAGGTTCACTCACTACTACATCCCCTAGCCGAATGTCTTTTTTCGGATCTTTGGAATGCGGGCTTTTCGGTGCACCACCCCCGACTCCTACCATCAAGCCAAACCGGATTCTGGGAAACGTTCGCATCATATTGTTAACCGTCTGAGCTGCCGGGCTTGTACCGTAAGATTCGGGACATGTGATGACAACATTGTGTTTTCCCAACCGTCCAAGAAGATAAAGATTATCATCGTTCAACCCTGGCTGTAACGGCTCATCCTCTTCATCTAGCAATGCTCTTGCCGCATCGAACTCAGCCTCCAGCACACAAACCCAGCCGACAGTATAATCGCCATGGGTGAGCTTTCTTGGGAACATGGCTTGAGCCTTTCCAAAGTTTTTCAACAACAACTATTGATTTCTCTTCACAAGATTCAATATGGGTACTATTGATAGTGAAGTGGATGTCGAGAGTCAAGACTTGACTTTCAAAGTGGGGTCTGCATGACACGTCAGCGCTGAAGAGCCTCCAAACTTAGCCCCCAAACTTGACCCCTCTATTAAGCAGCAGCCAAAGAGATCGTAAAGCTAGGCGCCAGCTTTCGGTTGGATCGCTGGAAGAGTACCAATCACGAACTGCCGATCTCAACTTGTCTCCTAATTTCAAGTACCTCGATTCAGAAAACATGTTTGCCAAGGTCTTCATTGGGTCTCTCGTAATTCTGCATTTTCGATGAGCCTCTTTCAAGCAACTCTGAAAACGGGCCATAGGAGGGTACCTAAATGTGTAGGCTCTGACCTGGGTGCTTGGTCTCGCTGGAGGGCGTCATTCGGGTGAGCAATATGTCGCTTCTGAGGCCATGGATGAATCATAAGATAATAAAATAATGGGCTTCCGGTTTCCATCTAATTCTTTGTCTTTATTGCCTCGTGACATCTGGCAATTTACTTCCAATGAAGATGGTGTTTGTTCGTGGGGGATAGCACTTGAGAGGAGGATATGCTTTCATAACAGATTAAGGCTCAAGTGCTGGCGCATAGTACGGTGGACGGGTCACGGGTTCGCAACTTTTCAAGGGAGCCTTATCTGTATAGTTATGGTTTTACTGGTGTGCCTTAATTTTACAACCTCAGATGTTCAATTAAACTGCACATAACATTTGAAGGACTATGGTGATCATATAGCAATTTGGTGCTAGTATCGGGATTGACCTTCACCGGCTTTACCCAGACCCTGTGCCGATGTTATCCAGATATCGCACCCAGTCACTATGCGAAACACTCTTATTTATGCACGCCAATTTATACTATCTCATCAAGGAGTCTACCTATATATGGTATTGACTCTATGAAATTCGATATGGCTAGTGATCCGGATCTGCTGCTAAAGATGAGTCACAAATTTTGAAGCACTAACTACTAGTAGTTCCAGTCATCTCTTCCAATTCCGTTTATGACGAAACTCCCGATTTGCCCCGAACATCTATAGCTGAAAAGCTCTTCAATCTTGGAAACATGGCGTTTATGCCTGATGAAAAGTCTCTCTTATCCCCGACACTGCTCGGCCAAGTCAGGCAATTTATAGAAAAGCTGGCAGAACATGAGAATTCCAAATATCAACAAACCCGCCCCAAGCCTGCGATGCTGATTCTGGCCTTTCTCGACGATGCCGCTTCTCCCGATTCATTTCTGAATGATTTTGTCTTCTACCTTCACGATAATTTATATGCTTCTCGCGGAGCTGGTATTGACATCGAGCTTGCCATATCCGACTTGGCATCTTTTGCTTCATGGGAACCACACAAGATCGATGAATTGAATGAGACTCTGCACGGTTTTATGAAGACTTTTACTGGAGGTATCGATCCGCTTTTCTATGCATCAGAGCATGGTCACGCCACAGCGGTCAAGTTGATCATCGCCACGGAAAAACTTCAGAATAGCAGCGCTCGAACGTATGACCCGGATGATCCGCAACCACTTTCGCTAGCAGCACGGAATGGCCATGATGCAGTGGTCGAGCTGCTACTCGCTGCGGGTGATATTGATCCCGACCACCGCGTGGAGAGCTGGGACGGCCAGACAGCGCTGTTATGCGCAGCGCAAAACGGAAGGAATCGTTAGGCGGCTGCTTGCGGCGCCAGGCGTCAACCCAGATACTGAAGACTGGAGTTACCAGACACCGCTATTGCTGGCCTCGCGCAATGGACATGGTGCCGTGGTCAGAGTATTGCTCTCGAAAGGAATCGATCCAAACTTTCAGAATTACTGGGGCGAGACGGCTCTTATAGTTGCTGCAGAGCTTGGACACGAAGAGATCGCAATGCTACTGCTGACTGCGGAGAAGATCCTTCCTGAGATCCAAAATTCAAAGGGTGAAACAGCCTTATCTGTGGCCGCTGAGCTTGGGCATACGGCCATAGTGAAACTCCTCCTTGCCACAGATGGCGTCGATCCTAGTTTCAAGGACGCGGACGGACATACACCGCTCTGGTGGGCGGCACGAAACGGTCATAATGCTGTTGTTAAGCTATTTTTGACTCTCGCTACTATTGATCCCGATGCTAAAGGTGCTGATGGTTTTACCGCCCTGTCATGGGCTGCACGAAATGGTCATCTAGAAGTTGTCGATACTCTGCTCGCAGCTGACGGTGTGGACTTCGATGCGAGATCCTCTGATGGACGCACACCGCTCTCCTTGGCGGCGGAGGCTGGGCATGGTGCAGTGGTCAAGCTCTTGCTCGCAGCAAAGGGAGTTGATTCAAATTCCTCGGATTCTAACGGGCGAACGCCGATATGGTGGGCTGCACAGAGTGGAAACGAAGATATAGTCAGATGTCTGCTTTCAATGGTGGATTTGTACCCGGACTCTAAAGATTCCAGCGGGGAGACGCCTTTGAATGCTGCTGCACGGAATGGACACATGCAAATCGTTCAATTGCTTCTGAGTACAGCTGGCGTCAATCCCAATTCCAAGGATTTGATCGGCCGGACACCTCTATTCTGGGCAACCTATCACGGACATGAAGGATTGCTCAAAGAGCTTCTTTCTATACAAGACGTCGATCCTGATTCCGCCAGTTCTGATGGACAGACACCATTGCTATATGCCGCGCAAAATGGCAACGAGGCGATAGTAAAGCTATTACTCTCCACTAAGCGCGTGGACCCTAAATCTCGAAACTCAAATGGAGAGACCCCGTTTTGGTGGGCAGTGCGAAACGGGCACGAAGCTGTAGTAAAGCTACTCTTTGCAGAGGGCGCTAACCCTGAGCACCATAACTCTGCTGGAGAGACACCACTATGGTGGGCAGCACGGAACGGCCATGAGGCAGTTGTTAAGCTTCTTCTCGGTGCCGGGGTCAACCCTGAGCCAAGGAGCCCTGGTGACTCCACGCCATTATGGTTCGCAGCACGAAGTGGACACGAGAAGGTGGTTGAGCTACTTCTTGCGACTCGAGGTGTGAATCCTGATTTCAAGGATTCTAGGGGAGAGACGCCGCTCTGGTGGGAGGCGCGTAATGGACATGAGACAACGGTCAATATGCTACTTGCAATGGGAGTCAATCCAGATTCGGAAAATTCGGATGGCCAGACGCCTCTATCTTGTGCTGCGGAGTTTGGGCATGAAGCTGTTGTCAAGCTGCTTCTTGCTAATGGTGTCCGGCGTGAGTCTCAGAATTCATGTGGGGAGACGCCACTCTCTTTAGCTTTGGAAAACGGATATGAGTCTGTGGTCAAGCTGTTGGATGAGGCAGCTATGTGACGCGTGGCGTCATTTCAATATACAAAAATAGTCACATGTAATCGCCATTGTTCAATCTTAGTTCAAGTCCGACAACTAGATTGTATGGAAGAATTGAGTTCTCATCTAGCCAAGGATTGATGACTATGTCAAGGGAGTCAGAAAAAAATCAAAGTTAAAATTCAATATTGACTAAATCCATGGGTATTCTTCTTCCTTGTCATATTGATCCGTACGCCATACTCATAAAGAAAACCATAAAAAATGCACCCCAGCGCCGGTAATGTAAGCTTCCTCAGCTCAGATCAAGAAGGGAAAGGAAAAAATGATCAAAAATCAAGTCTTCCTCTTCTTTGAGACAGACTCTTCAGTAGCATCTGACCCTCGTCTGGTCGCAGCTCTCTTGCCCTTGCCCTTCCCCTTCTTCGACGGGGCCGGCAAAACTTCAGTTGCAGCATCGGCATCATTCGCAGGAGCGGGGCCCTTCTTTCCAGCGTCCTTGGCAACCTGGTCATCATTCTGATCAAAGGCCTTACGCGCCTCCTTTAGTTCGCGCTCCATGCGCAGCAACTCTTGCACACGGCCAAGCTTGTTCGGGTCTCGGCGCAGCGCGAATCGAAAATCGTCAACCTTAATCTTCTGTCGGCGGGCGTGGTGCGCGACCTGCGCGGCACCGTGGCAGAGTTCCAGGATGAAATCAGTCACAATCTCATCTAGCACGCGCACGGTTTCCGGGAGAGGCTCTGATGAGAATGACGGGTGTGGACTCGGGTCGCCGTAGGCGAGGAGGAGAAGTCGGACTATGGGGAATGTGTGTTAGCTTTGATGGTTCGAAAATTTGTATAAATCTGTATATGATTCGGCTCGAGGAAAACATACGCTCAGACGAAAAGTTCATCTGGCCCTTGTGCCGGGCGGCACGGGCACGAGGCTCCGCCATGTCGAAATGAACGGATTTTCTCTTCCTTTTCGAAGAAGATGGGTTGGGAGTGGATTTGGCGGGAGTGGTGTTTGGATCCCAAGCGGCTTTATAGCCTGCGCGGATGAGGTCGGTGTCCTGGGGTGTATGGGCCCAGAAGAGTGAGAATTCACCAGGAACGTACCCTGGGACGAACGGGCTTGTTTCAGTAGGTGTCGGGGGCTGCGGGTCCCTGGCTGCAGGCGATGGAGTCGGGGTAGGAGCTATGTCGAGATCTGGGGGAGGCGGCATCCTGAATCGGATCTTCAGACTCTCCCGGTGGCCCGTGCGTTCGGCGGACATGGCGGGCAGAATATCGCGAGGGACAAACGATTGGTAAACCTTCTTCCTCTTACGCAAGTCGCTCTGATTTGAGATAAACTTCTTTGTTCCCTGAAGGCACCTGGGGTGCGGCTGCTCTTTCAAGATGGTGAGTTCGGTTATGGTTTCTGGGGAAATTCAATTTATTGGAGGTCGAGTTCGGAGCTGCCTGGCCTGCAATGACGCATATCAGCATACTGTGTACACTTTGTATACCTGTCAAAGACATCATTGCTAACCATGAGAACTTACCTAGACGGCCCTATTCAACCTTCAATCACTATTCCTGGTGATCCTCTTGCTGATCTGCACGAGCACCTATGCCCACTCGATCATGCCAGGAATCATGGACCGCAATCAGAACGGGTGAGCACCCTCGAGACTCTTGAGTGATAAGGGAGAGAAAGTGACGAGAACTAATGGTCCGGCTGTCGCAGGGTGTTTGGTATTTTCTGGAAATGCGCGCGTATAGGAGAACGACTCAGCCCCTATGTCAGCATATGCTGTTTTATGATGGCGGTAAGACTCTCGTCTTTCCCTTATAGACGACTCGAATACTCACTGCCGTTTCACCTAGGTTTCCATCTTTGTCGGTGGTTGAATATTTTCGCGATCAATTTCAGTCCAGTGGGTTTTTAAATCAAAGAAACTGAACGGTTGAAGATGAAACAAAGAGAGAAAAGATTCGCTGGCTCGTCTTCTAGCCTTTTTTATGAATTACTTCAAGCGCATGGCAAATTGCCGTAATGATTCTATGTATAGTACATGAGCCGAATTGACATCAGATTCACTAAACCAAACGCTTGCCTTCCGAGGCCCGAGCCAAGGCCTCTATGTGATGCATAAAGTACTATGTTACAAAAGGGTATGATACAAAATGTTCCATGTGAGAGATCAGCGTGATCCATTCTCACAGGTCAGGCTTCGACTTGGAGCCTAGCTTTTCCAATCCGCTGTCAACTAACTGATCATGAGTCTCTTCCTTGCTACCCGTTAGCTCGGGCTCAGGGGTGTCAAGCGCCAGGCTCGACTCAGTAGCTTTGCGGTCTAATTCATCAATAGCGACCCAAAGTCGTTCCGGGTCACGAAGATATCGCAAGCTTTTCATGGTGTGAGCGTCAATGGGGAACCCTTGCGCTTCCATCGCCTTAATCGAAGCAGCTGTCTCAGTGATATTCTGTGCATTGGCATAGCCATTGATAATGGTGTTCCATGTCACGTCGTTGTATTGAACATCGTGCTTGTCCATCATCTCCCGGATCTTCTCAGATGCGTCGAGTTTTCTGTGGAAGATGAAGGATGCGAGGAGGAGGGTCCAGGTGCGCACTGTGGGCTTCACAGGGACAATGGCCTTGCCGTTTTGATCAATTTGCTGGTATTCTGGACGCAGCATATCCTCAACAAGCTGTACACACGATCGCAAACCACGCGGGTTATTGCGGAAGGCAATCAGGAATTCATTGTAGGTATGATCGGTCTCAACCATAGGGGCAATAGAGGGATGCCCCTGAGCGACGAGCGCACGGAATTGGGTGTAGATGCGGTGCACGTTTGCGAGACGATTCTGGCAGCGGAAATAGGTCGCTAGCATAATGTATAGAGGAATTGGAGAGGGAGGAGCATCAGCACCTTCACTTCGAGGAATATAGCGAGGAGGAATGATGGAGAGTTCTTTGAGGGGTGTGATGTCGTAAATATGGTTGTACATGTCAAGCATTGAGTAGAAAACGTCTGACGGATCAGTATCCGAATCCATGTGCTTAACGGTGAAGAGGTAATGAGAATGGAAGATTTTGCTGGCGATCCATGGGTTATTGCGCAGCTCTTCCTGCGTCTCGACCTGGCGAATAATAGAGTCGACTTTGCCCCGATCTCCACGGGAGACTGCATCTTTGAGCAAGGTCAAATAGCTGTAACTGTCGAGATCATGGCCATGGTCCTGCATAAATTGAAGGATATCAGATCCCAGCTCCCCATTGGTTGCGAAAGCATTTGCAAGCACAATGTTGAGCATGTCTCGATCCGGTGTGACGCCCATCTCCAAAAGCTGAGGAAGAATCTTGAAATTGCGCTCGCCCGTATCTTCTTCCACGGTGTCCAGGGTCAAAAGTTTGCAGCAATGCCGATGAACACCCTGGGAATCCATAGAGAACCCATCTTCCTTTAGCTTTGAAACAATAACAAGAGCCTCCAGAGCTCGGTGGACGTCCTCGAACTCGGTAAATCGCCACATAAAGCACAGTGCTGTTTCAGCTCTAATGAATGTAGATCTTTGCTTGGCAGTTTTCAAGGCAAAAGAAACAGCGTTGTGACTTGCCCGTCGAATGTAGAGTCGAGCACCTTTTTGAGGCAATGAAAGTATAGGCCACTGTGTTGGGTGTAGGCATGATTCGATCACGGACTGGTAAGTGCAGGTACCACTCTGCCAATCTTTCAACCAATCTGCATAGTAGAAATTATCCAAATACAATAAACAATCAGCAACCATGCTAAAGTTTGGCTTCGCTTGGCCCTCTGTTGTAACAATGAGAAACTCCAAAAGCGCCTTGGGGTCATTCTGCAAAAGCCAAAATGCTAGGCGTTGCCAAGCATGTGCTTTGGCTTTGACGTCCATAGCTTGCCATTCTTCTGGAAAGCTTCCGAGGCAATCGTTCTGGATTTTTGCGAGTAATGCTAGTCCTTCATCCTTCAATGCTGGAATGAAAGATTTAGTTTCTACCTCCCGTTTGTAGTGTTTCGCTTTGTAGATCTCTGAATACCCTTCCTTCCATTGCTGAAAGCCCAGATTTCTGGAATAGAGACAGTTACCACGTTGTAGAAGAGCCAAACGTAGGGAACTGTCATCCACAAATCTATCTGTCCCCCGGTATTCTATTTCGGAGTTCATCCAGCGAGATACGCGTTCGCCAAGGTTGGGAGCAATGCCATTATTATGAAGCAGAGAGCGAATTTTCTTCTTGGAAAGTGGGCGTGTGACAAGGGTCTGACGGTTTGGGGGATTGTTTCCTTCGGTTTCAAGGCTTTCTATATTCTCCAGGGGGTCATTCGGTTGTTCCTGGGGCCTTGTCTGTTCTGATCTCCCCGCCGAGGATTGACTGGTCTTTGGGTGTGAAGATTCCGGCGATTCGTGGCTAGTAGCTTGTGGCTGTGAGGCGTCTTGAATTGGAAGATGGAGTTCTTCGGGGGCTCTCTCGCTCATAAACGGGGTATTAGTTGACACCTGGCGAGCTCCACATGCAATAATCGGTGTCTTCGACCTCCGATATAAGCCAGGAATTCTACATGGCGCCAACAAAAGCCCGTTGAGTCGAGCAGGAGCGATTAGATGCGCGCGCAATGACATTCAGGGATTTGCGACCGGCGACATTAGGGTATGGGGTATCAAAGAAGAAAAAAAAGAGCGAATGAGGGCGTAAATAATGTTGTGTAAATTCATAGACAAAGTTCAGATTGAGAAGCGCGCGATCCGAAAGACTGGAGCCCACCGCCCGATTTTGCTGTGGCTAGTGTGTGGCGCATAGTTGATCGTTATCGCAACATCATCAATTGTTCTCACTTTTTCAAGCTGCGGAGAACTCCAGGGCTTTGTTTCAACGTCGCTTTTGCAGTTACCTGTCTTGTTAAGGAACTTCAAAATATCCTTCATTCCAACCCTCTCTTAATAAGTCCACAAACACAATGTCGTCAAACCACGCCTCTCTGGATGCAGCTTCTAGCGACCGCAAAGCCCGCCTCGCCAAGCTCGCGGCCCTTAAGCGCAAACAACCCGAGCCCGATACTCAAGAACCTGGCACCGCCAATGACGAATCAAATGAGTCTATCTCCGATGTTACAACTCGGTTCCTCTCCGGTCGTAACTATGACCCCGAAGCCCGTGGACCTAAATTGGGCTTCGAGCAAGGCCCACAAGAAGGACAAGTGACTGTGGAAACGCAGGCAGCTCAGATAGCCGAAGCTATCAAGCAACAATCCCAGAAAGAGGAAGATGCCGAACAACCTGTTGATTTGTTCAAACTGCAACCAAAGAAACCCAACTGGGATTTACGACGGGATTTGGATGAGAAACTCAAGACTCTCAATGTTCGAACGGAAAACGCAATTGCTCGCCTCGTACGACAGCGGATAGAGAATGCACAGCGTATTGCAAAGGAGCGAGGGGCTGTTACAAATGGCGACGACCAAGGGGAGGAAGTGGGGATTGAGGGCCAGATGCTAGTGGAGGGGATCCACGTCCGTGAACAGGAAGAGGAAGAGGAAGATGAGGACTGATTTGAAGTGATACCCTATATTGCAGAACTACGCGCATGGACCCGGTCTGACCTGGCCTGCTCTTCTTGTATTTGTTTCTTCTCAATTTTTCTTTCGTCCATGTCTATTACCATAGACTTGATTTCATTATTTCTTATGAGGCGTCTGACTGGGGCCCAGAGCACTTGACAGACTCAAAATGGGGGCGTCGGAAAGGGTCTGCACATTGGGATGGATGATTATGCTATTAATACAAATTGTTCCATTTGGAACGCGAAGGTTGGCAATGTGTTCATCAAGAACCGTAAATTGCACCAATGAGAAATTTCCCCAGATTCGTCCAACCAAAAGCAAGAGAAAGTAGAGACAAATAAGATGCTTCCTCGATAATATTTTTTGTTTTTAATTCATGGCCGTGGTCAAGGCAAGGCGCTTGCTGTATGGACTCAAACTTCGCTCTTTGGGTGGACCTGGTTTAGCCCGTGGCTCTTGTCTGGATCGCCCCGATTGAGCATGCACTTGAGGATTCTCTCGGTCTCGATATGACCGCTGTCCGGAGCGGTCATGGGGAGTTCTGGGTGTCTCGGACCGTCTGTCCTTTGCAACTTGGCCATGGTCCACACTTGGACTGCGGCGGTGGTCACGCTGTCGGGTGTCGCGGTGTCTCCCACGTTCTTCAGGGCTACTTTCACGACGTCGTCGCCGAATGTTTCTATCTTCAGCCCATTCTCGAGACCTGGAGCGATGTCTCACTTCTCCCGAGTATGATGAACCAGAATAACTCTCGCCAGAGTCGCTTAGTCTTCTCTTGCGGGACTTGTCGGCATGAGGTGATACTGAGCTGGTCGTGCGGCCTTTCGCATGCGCCCTGGGCTTACTCCGGCGATCAGGCGACGCTGAAGCGGAACGTGTCGTGGATATCGTGGCAACTGAATTTGTCGAATGAGATGAAAGCGACCGTGCTCGCTTCGGTGAGTAAGTATGGCGGCCTGCGTCCTCATTATCAAGATCTCTTTTGCGACCACGCTCCTCCTCTCGTTTAGCCAATATTTCGTCTGCCACACCAGCACTAGTCTTCTGTAAGCCTTTCGATCTTGTTTTTTGTGGATTATAGTCCTCAAAGCGCCAGAATATTCCTGGTGAGAGTGAAGTCAAAACTTAACTTACGTTTGAAGCAACATATTCGGGTTCTCCGTCGAGAGTTTAGGCAATAAATTGGGGTTTTTCAATTGTTGGGTTCGCGAAGGTCGCGCCGTATATGGGCGCTCTTGCGCTGTTGCCTTGCATTCATAGCTATAGTGTCGTATTACAGAGTCAGTATGGGCCTATTCGAAGGTGGAGGTCACGGGGGACATATCTCGTTTTAGACATTTTTGGCATAAAGTATTGGCCGAGGCTTTACTGGGGCCTCGCAGGCTGGGGGCGTTCCTATAGCGGTTCATTGGTGTTTTGGAAGTTGTGGACAGCAGATGGGGAAGTTGGTTGAAAGAAGCTGGGTTATTCTGCGGATAATATCAAAAAAGAGGAAATTCACACCCTTAAGTTCTGCTCTACGGCGCAATCCACCGTGCCCGCGGCTGTTGGAAGGAAAACGTAGGCGCGCGTTAGAGGCGGTCGGGCGCGGCAATTAAATCACCCACTGAAACTCTTCGGGCGTCGAAGAATCGGAAATTCGATCTCCCAACGCTCCTTCTTCTCTACATTCTCCGTTCACTTGGAGCTTTGTCGAGATTACACTTAGGGCAGTGTGATCATTCATCCGGCCGGTCTTGGATTTGTTTCACCCCTCCTGGCTGAAACGCTCCTCCCATCTAAATTTGAGGTCTTAATCGTCTTGACCATGAACCAGATCTGACATCGTGTAAGACCCGCTTATCCTATCAGCCTCCTGTGAGCCACATTCTCTCCAGTGGGAGTGTTTTTGATCTCGTATGAATTCTAACATTTATCCTTTTCGCAGCTTTTCCTGATGGCGAAGGCCCTATACCTAAGATATGTCTTTCTTTCTGTGCTTGCGTGAAACGGGATTATCCAGTCACTTCATTTCGTGTCAATCGCCAATTTCCATGGGTAACATCCAAACCTATTAATCAACGCTTTACATCGGCTTGATTTCTACTCATTGGAAATCTAACAAAAACAAACTATTCTGTCTCCCCCATCTCGTGGGCTGCATTCCGAACATGGCATCAACAAATACATCGCAGGGGGACGGCCATTTCTCTTTCGCAAAAGTTTGTCATTCCATAAAGGTGGTGTCTCAAGACCCTGATACTGATGATTCACCCCAGATTGCTGCTATGCCTGCACCCCCTCAACCCCAATCATCCTCGATATCCGCCGTGAGCGACAACAATGCTCAACCGGAGCACACATTGACTTGCCCGGAACAACTCGACGCTGGTTCTTCGTTACCCAGCTCACGTCATTCAACCACTTTTAACTCAAAAAGTTCCCCCGAGGATTCCGTTGTCCAAGGCCTAGAAATGGCAGTGCAGGATATCGATATCAACCTGCAAAAAGACCATGAAGGTTCATCATTCTCAGTGGATGACCAAGAGAGCGGCCTTCCTAAAAGAGACACTTATTTCGACGATGATCGCACCCACCTATCTACTTCATCCACCAAAATGACCAATTTTGATTCGAAAAGCCTAGCATCGGTTACAACATTCGCAATGGACGAAAAAGACTCTGTGCGGCCCGATGATAGTGCCAGCGTTCAAGCCATTGATGAAGAGGAATCTCTGTCGGGACTTGCATCTGGTGCACCAAACTCGGTCACAGGCTCCGAGGCTGGTGGTCGCGGATACCGGGATCAGTTCCGAGACGGTAATGGACAACGACCCCGTGGTATTCTTCCCGTGTCTAGCCCGCTTTACAACGGTGGGATTCAGCGGACTGTTGGCACCATCCCCCCGGACTCTGTATCCAACAATTTTGTCATTCCTGCCGACCCTGGTTGTATACCAGACAACCCAGCCTTGCATAGCTTTCCCCTTGAGCCAGATGAGAAGCTGTTGGAGGCGATGAAATCTCCAAAGGACAGACTCATGATACTGCAGTTGGAGGACAAGATACGTTGTTTTATCCAAGACGACAGGTATTTTCATTTCTCCCGTCTTGACAGATCCTATCAATCATGACCATGGCTAACTTCCTCAACACAGTGAACAATCACTGGAACTACCACCTTCTAATGCATTTGGACGGCTTCTTGCACATAAATTGGGCGACTATTACCACCTTACACACTTTGTTGATAACAACGTGACATCAGTCCGGCTTCATCGGACACCCTTTTGCCGACTGTAAGCAATTTTTTTGGTCCTTAGTTGATTATGGAGACTTGTCAAAAGCTAACTTTGTCTAGCCCCATGCCCTTGTCCGAAATTCATGCGGCTAGCAATACTACCCCACCCCCAACTCTTCCCGCTATGAAAATCATGCGTCGAAATGATGGAGAGCGATCTTACAACGAAGGTAGTGTGGGCGCGAGCTCATCTGTACCGTCAAAGGCTCCCTCTGAAGCTGGTGACGGTCAAGATTCAGGATCCTCTGGAGAATCCCCAGCCAAAGATCGCCTGGCGTTGACAAGAGAGGAACGCGAGGCCAAATATAATCAGGCTCGCGAGCGAATCTTCCGTGACTTCCCCGATAGCGCAAAGTCGGACACAGCAAGTGGCGATTCCAACCCCAACATGTCTCGTTCGAGCTCGACAACTGGACGCAAGAAGAACAGCAGACAACGAACGCCGCATGACGATGGTTTTGAAGCCCGTTCCCAATTCAATGCCTATTATCCTGGGGTACCGTACAATAATGGTTCGGCCCAGTATGGTGGAGGTGCCAACGATGCATCTTACAACAACCAAGTACCTTATCTCGTAGGGCCAGGTGTGCCACCGCCAATCGGTGGCTTTGCTCCTTCCGGTGGGAATAGCATGCCGTACCCTGCAAACATGGGCGGGAACATGGGTGTGAACAACGTACCGCAGTATCCAATTGGGATGTCGCCACAAATGCCTTCCAATGGCTCGTGGCAAGGAGGAAATATGCCCCAGCAATCCCCATTCCCGGGGTATGCGTCTATGAATCAGCCTGGTATGATGAGCCAGCAATCATCCACCAAATCATCTCCAGCCATGAGCAACTATGCCATCCCTCAGCAGTCTACTCCATACCAGCAATCCCCCGCCTGGAATGGCCAGTCATATCAAGGCAATTACCAGCAAGCCCCCCACCATCAAGGTCTACAACAGCAAGCTCCCCACCCGCGGGCTCAAGCTCCCGTACATTGGCCCCAATACCCTGTTGCCCAATCGATGACCCCTAACATGGCATCGTATCCTTATGCTCAATATCCGGGCCAACATTTAAATCCTTCTCTTCAGAACCCAAATGGTTCCCCGATGTCTGGGAACATGGCACGGTCTCACTTCAACCCACAGACACGTTCTTTTGTCCCTGGAGGCGCTCCAGTGACACGTCATCCAATGGCACCGTATCATAATGGACCCCCGGGACCCCAGGGTCAATGGACTGGATACCCTGATCCCGCTTTCAATCGCAACATGGACCAAGGCAACCAAGCCCGCCCTTCAAACTCAATCTCCCGCGACTCAATCGCCAAATGGGGTACCCCGTCTCATCTTCCCCCTAAACCTCCGCCATCTGAAGTTCCATCTGAATTTGATTTGAAACACCGAGCTGTGCCTAACGCAATTTCCACATCACCATCGTATCCTAACGGAATGGTGGGAGCCAAGAATGGCCCATTTGTGGTTTCCGGAGGCAACCCGACTTCAAAAACACACTAAGCTTGGCTGGTAGCTACCTTCCTGCTTCTATCATCGTGTGCACTGTGCCGATCTGTCGATTCGGCCATAAAAAGATTGATGATGGCTGGTGATAGTTGTTCAAGGTGGGATCATGATAAGATCAGGTGGTCCGCTAGTATTGTACAGTTAATAAACTGCATAGCGCTCTAGGTACCTAGAGGGCAACAAGTCGGCTAGCTAGTATGGATTCATATATTCGGTTCCTAGCAGTTTAGATACGAATGCATTTTTTTCGTGCATCAAGCCTGGAATTTCTCGTATCAATCGTAATAACATCTATTGATGTATTGAACAGGGTCTTTGAGCCTTGCACATGTCAGTTGACTGGTGCATGTGCCCAGGCAGCTGAAGGTAAGCACCACCTATACCTATGTATGTAAATAACCTCCAACATTGAAGGGCTCAAGTGCTTGAAAGCTTGGATATTACATACTACATACATGGGTACCTACTATTGATGTAGTAGCCCTGGGGATATCCAACCTTGAATTGGCATCCTACCAGTCATATGTACTTCAAAGGTACTTGGGATGGGTATATACTCAATACCTACTATCTACTTGAGATGGATATTGTACTTACTACTCGATACCTACTTTCATATCTTACTACTTTCAAATGTTTCAACTACCAACTAAGAAAATCATACGATGAAAAAAACCATCCGCACCCGAGTAGTAGAGGGGAAGAAATACTTTACTATGTATACATGTGGCATAGTTGACTAGTTAATGTACTATCGATTTTTAGTCATCATTTACTACACAACTAACTAGTTAGGGAGTATGCATAGCAGAATCAGACCTTAGACCTCATCAACATCCACATGTGTAGCTCTGGGAGTTCTAGAAAAAATCATTATGGACTGTGTGTAGAATTCGTATGTATTACATGTTATGAATCGCAAGTTAGGGCTTGTTTTCTTGTGTTGGATCCGGCGCTTATATACTTCCGGGATTTTCTTCAAAGGTCCATAGTACGATCTAGAACCCTGACTACATATATGTATACTCCAGATGTCGACTTGATGAAATATGATGCATACATAGTCTTGAACATCTGAACATTAAACACAATCTACCAATAAAAGATTTGAACCTCTCTCGAGATCAACATCATAAAAATAAGAGGAAAAAATAATCAAAGCGCGTCCACGAATTCGCTTAGCTAAGCTTTCGTTGACGTCTTTCTGCTTGCGGCCATGTGATTCCATCAGCAACCTTGGAATCACAGGTCCTGGTTTCGTGATCGTGAAGATCGGTCTGTTTTCATTCACCTGGATTCGGTTTCCTCACTCCTTTTACCATCTCTAAAAATGAATTGATTTCTCCTTTAAACTCTGAAACAAAGCACGGATCTCTCCGCAAACCCCAACCCCGGCTGCCCTGGCAAGAAGCAAGCTCCTCGGGCCCCCTCTTTTAAGCTCCCTATCTTGCTTATCGCCTCTAAACGAAGGCTACATTCATTTGAGGGCACAACTGTGACTGTGCTGGTATGGAAATCCCCTGAGATTAGCGTCCACGGACTCGTCTAATCGCTTATCAGTAGCCTGCCCCGCCGCCTTTCAAGCAAACGCCTGCACCGTGTACAACCGCGTCCCTTGACTCGACGATGATGCGTCGTAACTCTGATATTGAGATTCAGCTTCCTGATGCAGGCCCGACCCCCCTATCCCCCGACTCTGCGCCGGAAGCCGACGTGGAAATGCTCTCCGACGACCCGATTCCTCCGCTAACCCTCCCGGCACATATCGCCGCGCGATTCTACCGTCGAAGCAGTAAGGTGCGGCGCTCATCTACCGCTTCATCGCGACGAAGCTCTATATCATCTTTGCATTCTCATCACTCTGGTATATCCTCCACTGGCGCCCCAAGCGCGGACAACATCGCTCAACACCTCCGGCGCACATCTATTCTCGAGACCCGCAAAGCTCGTCTCGCTGATCGAGCCCTGCACGCCGACAAGGTTAGACTGCGGGCTGCCTTGGCGAAAGCCGCGACAAGAAACCTGCAGATTGAAGAGCGAGCTCTAGCTGCCCAACAGGCCCGAGAGCGTCTGCTGGCGGATATCACGGCTAAGTGCGAGGATCAGGTCAAACGGGCCAAGAAAAGGGCCGAGGACCAACGGGAGAAGAAAGCTGCCGAATACGCACGTCACAGGTTGGAGATGGCAGAGAAGTTTGCAGAAGCTGAAAAGCGGCGAGCACTCTACCAGCAAACGCATCGGCGCCAACGCACCAGCAGCCTGCCAGCTGCCGAGGAAAAGAAAATGGCCCGAGCAGTCACTCAGTCGCTCACTCGGGATGCCGCTGCTCGAAAAATTCAACGAGTGTGGAGAACTCACCATGCAAAGCAGGTCATGCAGGAATTCCGGACTCTGAACCTGTCAGTGGATCGAATTCGTGAAATGGACTTCGATGACGTGGGTCGTTTCGTCTCAAACCGCGAGGTGCTTGAGACTATGACCAAAGTGCTCAAACTTTGCGGTCTGAATGATATGGAAGGTGGAGCCATGGGGGAACGAGGCGCGGTGCGCACATTCCTCAGCAGCTATCTGATCGTCACACACCCTGCTGAGGTCCTGAGCGGGGATGGCGAGCAGGAGCAAGATCTCATTGCGAAGGCGCGTGAGCTGCTCGTGGCTTTTGATCAGGTAGCTGGGTTGCTGTCCTCTGGCTGCTGCTCACCTACCGTGATTACTGCGGACCTCCAAATCTTGTGCGAATCCCACAACGTATTCTTCTCGGCATTCCACGCATGGAAGTCGCATGACTCTACTGTACTCATTGAGATTATGCTTGCCCAATTTGTCGAACTGGAAATGATTTGGCAAACGGTCAAAGGCGATACAGCTGGTGGTGTCGCTGAAGACTACCGAGAAGGCATTCGCCAAAATCAGATCATGCTTCTGGCCCGTCTCAAGCGTCTTGCAGGCTCAGACCGCGCCATGCAAATGGTCCGGGATTCGCTGAAAAAGGCCAAACGGGAACGGAAACGTTCTGCCTCAAAGCATGCCATTCCTCGATCGGCTGAAGTAGCACCATCATCCGGAGATGTCTTGACTGACAGTGTGACATCCCCTATCAGCGAGTCTTTCAACCACGTTGAAGCCGCAGTTCTCCAAGAGCTGGAGAAGCAGCGGTCCTCTCCACATGAACAATTCACCAAGATTCTCACAGCGCTCCCTGAGAACCGAGTCTTGGTTCATGAACTTCTCCTTAACAAGGAATTCAAGATTGAAGAGTCTTCATATGCTGACCCTCGAAGACGAATCATGGAGCACATGTGTGAGCAGATGAGACGAGATGTTCAGGCTGGACAAGGAACCGCTTGGACAGTCTCCATGGCTACTGTGATTCAAGACCGTCTTTTACGTTCACTTCGACCTGGAAATTCACTATATGTGCTAATTAGCGAAGTTCTGGATCCAAAGCTCGTTGAGAGCCAGTGCAAAGCTGGATCTTTCTCCTATGAGAACTTTTTTGACTTTATGAACAACATTCTGCCTCGTCTTTGCGCACCATATCGCGACCCTGTGGTGAAGGCTTTTGCCGAGGACACATCTGGAGATGCCATTGACCGATTAGCAAGACTTATGAGCATCATTGATCTGCTCTCCCTAGACCACACCAATTTCATGATTCAGGTAGCTGCCCCCCAGTTGATCCAAGATGCCCCGGGCTATGAGCAACGTACATTTGAAAGGGGCGTCACCGAGGGCTCGATTACATTGGGAAAAGTCCGACGATTCTGGCGAACACATCGAAAGATCATCGTTGATGAAATGAAGAAGCGAGACCCGGAGAACATCCATGGCGAGCCTCGTCCACCAGCCAGCCGAGTCTACGCCCACGGCCTCGCAGATCTGGTCTTCAGCAACGCTACTGTGTCGGAAGACTTGATTCCCGAGACCCTGGCGCTGGATCATCAACGACTGGAGCGTCTACATGCCAAGGTCTTCCAAATCGTCGCTACAGCATCCATCTTGTTAACTGCCAAGAATCTCCTGAAGCGTGATGCACGGTCTCAATGGAAGCCAGAGGCTGATCGTATTCTCTCTTTGGACTTCAATGAGATCCGCGCAGACCGCGTACAGTCTATCCTTGAAGCCACTCACCCCATGCCCCCCGCTGCTAGTGCTCAGCTTGCTGCAACTATTAGACGAGTGCTGGCGCCCGTCGCGACCGCAAGTACCGCAGCTGCACCGCGGGCTGGTGTCCATGTTCAACACGAGTCCTCCTCTGCTCCTCCTACGGAGTCCTCTGGCAGTGTAACTCCTGCGCCCAGCTTCTCGGACCCCGTGGCTCGGTTGATCCTGTCCCGACTTCGGAGCCATGTTCTCTCGAGACTGAGCGCTTCTAGTGCTTCGGAACGAGTCCGGGCCACGACTACGGCTAGTCAGAGTCTGGCTGGAGCAGGCATGCCGGAGTTTGTGGGTGAAGTTGGTCAGCTGGTGGAGGAGCTTGAGAAAGTGCGAGAGGTGGATTGGCTCTGTCATGGATCGGTTTATGATCGTCTATATGAAGAAGGGGACTCGCAGTAAATGACTTTGGAAGGCCTAGTCTCTCCGTATTAATATTACCTGTCTGGTGGTTTCAGTGCTTCAATCTTTCTTTTTCTTTTCCTTTTTCTTGTTGGCGGTTTGTTTGGGACTTCTGTACCTTGGATATAGGCAGATTGGCAGGATCGGTGGCATCATGGACTTTTCATAAGTGGTAATTGGATAGGCAGTTTTGGAACTGACAATGACATTTGAGTTCAATCGATTTACATGAAGTTGTACCTACTAGTACTCAAGATAGTAGTGTATCGTTTTTTAGTATGCTTCTCTGTTTAAATGAACTACTAGTAGATAAGCCGTACAACCTCTTTCTACCGCACAATTTCATCCGCAGACTGCCCAGCAAACAGTGTATCCCTCCATCTCTCACCCAGACCAGTTCAAATAGTCGCAAAATCCCTCTTCCAAGAATCTCGAGGTGTCTCTTAATGACCAGACACAGACACGTATAATGAGCATTTGGCAGAGTATTATTGTGCCTCCTTTCAGGTGCTGGTAAACATCCTCGACGGTGTAGTATGGGTTCACCGAAGCTGGGTCAAAACGAGTGGCCATGTGTTTCCTGGCCTTCCCGTCAGTACGGGAATAGATGTAATGAACGGCCGCACGTTCACCTTTGTAGTGATCAGCGTTGACTCGAAGTTTCTCCTTGATTGCAAGAACCCAGGCGTTGAAATCGCTCTTCTTCCCACCAGAGAATAGTGGGGCATCAGGAAACTTCGACGATCTCTGAACACGTTCGGTGGTGGGTTGTCCAGTGGCTCTAACAGATACGGTAGACGCTTTACCCGAAAGAATATAAGTCATCAACTCAATGCTGGTATTCTCCGCGTTGGCGAGAGCAGTTTCAAGCGCCATATTTTTTGCTTCCATGGCAATCAGACGGTCCCGAAGTCCCTGGCTCTGGTTGGTGAGTTTGACGATCTCCTTGTCCGTTCGGCCCATGAAATCCCAGACCTCATCCTGGTGATTGTCCTTAATGGCTTTGACAAAGTCATCGTAGTTGATTTGGGGTCCAAAGAATCCGCTGTCCTCACGAGTCAGGATTGATTCACGTCTACCACCCTCATTGGTGGCCTTTGTCGACTCTCCCTGAGCCACATGCTCACTTTGGGTAGAGTTATCCTCATTCATCTTCGATTCTCCGTCCATGACAGCAGCAATCGACTCCTCCCGCCCCGGAACAACTGGGTCTCTCTCGCCTGTTCGTTGCGCGTACTTGATTGCTCCTGCTCTGGTGCACCCTGCTTCGGGGTCTCTGGGCAAAATTCAGTTTAGATGGTGGTAGAATGGACAGGGTGGTTTGAGGGTAAGGGATGATAGGGGATTAAGAAGTTTTTTGAGATGTTGGGGTTCGTCGAATGGTTGGGATTTCAGGAACAAGGTTGGTACATCGAGGCTGGAGCATCGGGCACATGCCAGTGGCTCGCTTGGTTGAGCTTGGAGTTCCCTGATCTGCTCGGCGTCTTTCTTTGACAAGCAATATGCTTAAGTGTCTGTGTTGGTACTGTCGGGGATTGGCGATGAGTTCTGTAATAATGGGACATGGCTCGGAGCCTTCTTTCCTCTATTGTTCTAGCACTTCTAGGTATAGGATCCGCCAGCCAAGGCCCAGGGCTACCACCCTATCTAGTAGAATAGTGCCCTTAGATAAGGCATTCACCCTCTCTCAGAATAGTACTACCGACTCTCCTACTCTCTCATCACTCCTTAGAGGCTTGTTTGTTATCGGGTCCGGTAATAAAAAACCATCGCCAGGGGAAAAAACAAAAACTAGCAGCGACCGTGGTTCGAACACGGGGTCTTGAGATTTGCAATCTCACGCGTTACCACTGCGCCACCGCTGCTAATTATAGAATTACAAGGCGCTAGTCGCACTGTGATTTCCATGTATTTATCTGGTAAGATATAATAAGGTTGTACCCGAAGCTAACCTGAGGATCTTATTCCTTAGATTACCAAGTGTTTTCTGATTAATACAGAGGTTAAATCCTTGTTTGAACAAAATCATTTTTTAATCTACATCTACGCTAATCACATTGTATACAACTTTCTATCAAAAAAAATCCAAAAAAAAGAAGCTCCTACCCTGGTTCGAACAGGGGTTTGCTGAAGGCCAGGATTCCCCAGTCAAAATCAGCCGGGATGACCACTACCCCATAGGAGCCTTTTTCTTCATTCCGCCACTCGCTACCCTACATAATCCCATACTCCAGTTGCCTGCTATCACCTTACTTATCGTCCTATCTAATCAACCTTAACCCCACGTACAAACTCACTATCTTTAAAATTCCCCAATCCCCCTCCTCCCCCCCTCACCTTAAACACAACATATACAGCCATGACAGAACTACCATCAAAACTCACCCTCCTCTCGGACCTCACCCCTCCATCCCTAGAGCGCACATGGCTCACAGCCCCCCACCCCACCCTCCCCATCGTCGCAACCTGCAGCTCAGACAAGACAGTGCGCATATACTCGCTCACAAACTTCAACCTCCTGTCAACAATCACAGGCGGCCATAAGCGCAGCGTCCGCACAGCAGCCTGGAAACCACACGTAAAAGGCGAAAGCGTCCTCGCAACCGGCAGCTTCGACGCAACCGTCGGCGTCTGGCGACGATGGGATAGCTACGGCAACGACGCCGCCGGCCCCAGCCCCAATTCCAACCCCGATCCCGATGCAGAAATCCTCGGAGAAGACGAAGACGAAGAGTGGCGCTTCGCCGTCCTCCTCGACGGCCACGATAGCGAGGTCAAGTCCGTTTCCTGGTCGCCGTCCGGCATGTTACTGGCCACCTGTGCGCGCGACAAGTCCATCTGGATCTGGGAGGACCTCGACGACGGCGATAATAACTTCGAGACTGTCGCCGTCATGCAGGAGCATACAGGCGATGTCAAGTGCGTGGCTTGGCATCCTGCTGAGGAGTGTCTGGCTAGTGCCGGCTACGACGATACGATCCGGCTGTGGCGCGAGGATCTGGATGATTGGGGCCAGGTTGCTTGTATCAAGGGCCATGCGGGCACGGTGTGGTATTTGGATTGGGAGGGTGAGGAGTCGGGCCCGGCCGTGGATGGGGATGGGGATGGGGATGTGCTGGGCGCTTGGAGGGCGCAGCGCGCGGTTTCGGGGCCGCGGCTTGTTTCTTGCTCGGATGATCGGGCGGTTAAGGTTTGGGCGAGGTTAGGAAGGGAGAGTGTCGAGCATGGGGCTTTGTCGTCGGCTGCGACGGGTATTCCGAGTATTATTCGGCCTGTTGGGTCGGATGAGGAGTGGGTTGAGGATGCGGTTTTGCCGTCGGTGCATGCGTTGGCGGTTTATGCTGTTGCTTGGAGTAAGAGGAGTGGGCTTGTTGCTTCTGTTGGGGCTGATGGGGCGATTGTGCTTTATGAGGAGCGGATTGTTAAGGTTGCGGGGGATGGGGATGGGGATGTGGATGTGGGGGGTCAGGATAAGTTGAGGACTGAGTGGTCTGTTATTGCGGTTGTGAATGGTGCGCATGGTATCTATGAGATTAATCATGTTGCTTGGGCTAAGCGGGCTGATCGTGGGGCTGTGGAGGAGGAAGAGGTCCTGGTTACTACTGCTGATGATGGTAGTGTTAAGGTATGGGCTTTGCAGCGGTGATCTGCTTATATTCATGAACCTGTTCAGTACATACTTTATGGTGATCGGCTGGCTACTCGAGCGGAAAAAGAAAAGAAGCTGTCTCGAGTAGCTTTTTATAGATGAGGAAGAAAGGCCTGTATACTAGTGACTGGCAGAGATGCAACTAGAATCAAAAATGCCATATATTGCACACTGGAAAACTGAAGCGAGTCAAAAGTACATTCATCAATTGTCTTGATAATCTATGGGAAGATTCAAAAAAGTATACGCCTTTGTACAGATGCAGCCCAATCCATAAGGAATGGGAAACCAATCCAGCATACCATAACAATTAAAAAAAAAGATAATAAACCAAATCCATGTCAATACACCTCACCAACACCGACTTATGTGCTGCTGCTTCTTATCATAAAGGATCACGGTGATCATTTCCCACATTAGGCTGCTCAGATTCATGGTGATGATTCGGATGATTGTCCTCGTCATCGCTGACATCGCCAACTGCGTAGTGACCATGATCAGCGCTCGTTAGATGCAATTCATCTAGTTCGGACTCGTCAAAGTCACCGGCCTCAATGTCGTTAGTACGCTTGTTCTGGAACCGATCTAGGACGGATCCAGCGCGCATATCCATATCTTGGGGATGGACTCCACGGTAACCCTGGTTGGACCGACGACTGCGCCAGATGAAGAATCCCCAGACAGTGACACCGATGATAACCACCACCAGAATAGCCTCGCCGGACTTGGTGTAGGCGTGCATTTCGGTGTCCTTGATCTTTTGCTTCTCTTCCTGCTCGGCAGCAGTGCTGTTGGGGTGACCGCCGACCGAGGTTTGGGGAAGTTTCTCGCCGTCAATACGGGAATCAGCAGGCTTCCCACCGATACTAGCGATGTCCACGTTCATGAAGCGGTCAAGCATATCGCGAGTTTGACGAGGAGAGTCGTAAGGGACCATATGGCTGGCATTATAGAAGAGGACATAGGTGAGATTACGGGCGTGTTGGTAGATGCCAGCCGGTTCACCCTCGAAAGTCCAATCATGGCGTGGGGCCCACTCGCCCGGTGCGGTCTCAAAGCCAGTTGCGCCCTTCCACTTCAGACTGTGGATATAAGTCTCCGTACCAATGTGATTACAGATCATGTCTTTGTTGCCACTGAACAGAAGCACGTTGACATTGTCTTCAATCAGACCAGGAATCAACTTGCCAGCTGCCTGGGATTTCGAGGCACGGAAGGCTCTGCTCACGCCTCCAGAGCATTCCTGCCAGCCAGTCATCTTCGCGGGGTTGATGTTCAAGGCTTTCACCACGTCCTGTCGCTGCAGGTACGGTGAGACATTAGTCAGGTCTGTAGGCCAGTTCATGCCACATGCAGGCCAGCTGTCTTTCAACCGGACATCGTACACATTCATGCACTCGCCATCAAACTGACCGATCGACAACATGCTTTGCAGGACCTCTTCGCACTCGGGAACATTGACCTGACTCTTGACCCCCGGAAGTTCCAGCTTGGACAAGCAGACGGAGTTCACGGCTTCAATTTTTTGATATGTCGATGTTCCCTTTTCGATCAAACCTTCACGCTCGGCAAATTCAAAGTACGATGGATATTGTTCCGGTGAGATCCAGCCGTTTCCGATCAGGATACCCTTGAGTGGCCACTTTGTTTTCCCGTTTACCTCGGCGACCTTGTTACGATCTTTAATCGCCTTGGCGATGTAAGGGATATGTTGACCTGCGTATGATTCACCAGCAATATAGATCTATACAGTCCGGGTCAGTATGGATTTGGAAAAGACAAGAGAGAAAAGGCGGGTAGATACATACGTCGTCTCTTTCATACTCTGGGAATAATTCAAAGAATCGGACCAAGAAGATCATGAAATGGGCCGCCATTTCATCCAGCTCATGGAGGTAACTGTTTGTGTTGGCGTAGCTGAAGCCAGTACCGACGGGTTGATCAACAAAGAGCAAGTTGGCGAATTCATCCCAAGAGCCCTTATTGTATTCCAGTGTATGGTCGTCCTTGAGTCGGTATGGGCCAACCTCCATCAAGGCGCCATCCATAGAACTGCATCCCGGTCCACCATTCAACCAGATTACTGTACGTTGTCGGTTTGCGATATGTCTGTTCTCGTAATGCCAGAAGAAGAGGTTGCCGTTGGTCGCCGGATCGACTTCGATGTGTCTAAATGAAGCTGTAATTAGCCGCAAGGTCACCACTTTCCACTATATGCCTTTTACGACACTACGATCAGTGAACTTACCCGGCGTGCATTTTCAATAAAGGCCCTTCAGGAGCTCCCGGTAGATCGTGAACATAATAATCAGCTGCCGAAGCCGCAGCCGCAAGTGTCGGACCTAACATTAGGGAAAGAGCCCATGACAGCATGGTTAAAGCCCCGCTCTTTGAGCGCGGGCGCAAGGGCATCGAGAACATGATCTCCAAATCTTGCACCCTATCTTTTTATGTGGAGATTTTTGAAGCGTATTCGTCTTTTAGTGAAGATGGCGCGCAGTGTTGTTGGAGGTCCGCGACGGACTTGGTAATGACGGAGATCAAGTGGTCATTGGAATTTGGGGGCGGACAAAGGGATGGGGCGGAAGTGCGCACACGGAGGATTAAGAAGAAATAAAGAGAGAAGGGTAGAATTAAGCGACTCCACTTCGAATCCCCTGAATCCCTTATTTAAAGAAAGATCAATAGAAAGTGGAAAGAGACGTGAAGGAGAGTAACGGGACGATGGAGTTGCGTGGCCTGGACCCGGTTGGGTATTCTATATGGTATTTGTAATATGTGTAATATAACGGAGTTGTGGTTGTGTTTTGGGTATATTAGATATACCATACATGTATGGTACTACAAAGCCACCAATTGCCCGCGTTGCCTGATTAGGGACTCTATAGGAATAGTTCTATACTACGAAAGTACAGAGTACATGTCTCTAATGTTATTTCTCACAATGCTGGAAGCTACTGAATTAATCATTTCTTCCCCCAAGGTTTTGACTTGGTATCTTAAATGGATGAAACTTGGACTGAAACACGGCATTATCATATATTTGACGTTATTTTTTACTGGGTATTTTAAAAAGAGACCCTTTCTCAGAAAAGATCACCGACGTCCTTGTCGGCATCGTTTTTAATCAGATCCACCATCCCCTGAGCTGGTATTAGCCAAGATCCCCTTGCAGAGTGATGGGTGTACTTACAGCGGGCATGATCGGCTCGCCAGCAGCATCTTTCACGTAACGGAATGGCATTTCAGTCCGCTCATGCTTGTTGATCAGAATTTCAGGGTAGTCAACATAGGGAATCTCCTCTAGCGGGACTAGATTCAAAAAAAGGTTAAATCCAACAATCAAAAGAGATCTCGAAAGGATTTCCACTACTAGCACCTACTTTTCTCGTGCACCACCATGCGAGTCACTCGAACGGCAGTATCAGTGGTCATCTGCTTGGGTCCCAGACGACGACCGACGTAACCCTTTTTGCGCAGCTCAGAGGTGCGGTCTTTTTACCTACTGTTAGTATACTGTTTTTTTATATAGTAGAAGAATAGGAAACAAACATACCTCGTGGTGGGTCATCGCCTAAAAAAAAAAGTTACAGATTTAAAGTTAGCCTTTCCCTCAGAGAACCAATTCATCCATTCACCCATATATGGCTTCTTTTCTTTCAATTGCGGGGGTAATTGAGTATCCCAGGTTGGGAAGAGGGAAGAAGCAAAAAGAAAGGAAATTTATAGGGAAGATTCCATACCGAGAATGCCGCCGAACAAGAAGACATCAAAGGTCTCCCCATCCTCGGGGCTCAATTCGACCTGAGCAGAAGGATCCAACAGACAGACCTTGTCCTTGCGATCAGCAAAGATCTCCTCGACACTGCGCTGCTCCACCTCCAGGCCACGGGTGGCGGCGAGGTCGGCGGGCATCTGCAGCTCGGCGGGCACGGAGCTCAATAGGAATCGAGCTCCGAGGTCGTGCGATTCGCGAGCGATAGCAGCATATTCTAGGGCGGACCATGGACCCAGTTCAGGATCCAGGTGTTCGACCACAAAGGCCCGGGTCTTCTGATCAGTCATGGCGGGGAGGAATAAGTGGGAAGGGAAAAAAATGAGGAGGGAAAATGTAGAGAGTTTGGTCCCACTGACTTTGTGGAATTGAACTTTAGGGATGCGGCGATGCGGCGACTTTTTCTCTTTTTTTCTCTTGTCAAGGTTGGGCATGAATGTGGTTTTATTTTTTATTATTATAATTTTTCTCTTGCGTTTTACTAACTATTATCCTCTAATTTTACTCTTTTCCCTTCTCTTTTTTTTTTAAGGGAATTAATAAGAGTAGCTTGTGGTGATGACGTACGATGTGTTAAAAGTCGCCGCACACGCACAATCATATAATAGCATAATAAGATAGCGGATATATTTGAAACCATGGAAAGAAGGAAAATAAAGAACTTCCAATCAGATCAGATGATGATCAGTAATTCAAGGCAAGTGAAGGGGAGTGAAGTAGCCGAACTCTTAAGGTTTCCCCATCACAGATTGGGCGCGGATAAAGCGTTATCGATAGAGTAATCCAATTCCCCATCTTCAACTTGCAACTTGCAACTTGCACCTTTCAACTCTCTTCAACTTCTCTTATCGCAAATCTTGTGGCTTCAATCAATCTGATTTGTCCTTCTGCAACTCCTTTAAAATCACACATCATGAATCCCCTTCTCAAGAAGAATGATGTCGACGTTAGCGTGAGTCGTGGAGAAACCCCTCTTTGGTTTAGAGTCCCAAACTAACCTAACCTCTCTACTTGGCAGAAATTGAGCCCAGATGAGCAGCGTCTCTATGCCATGTATGGCAAGAGACCCAACAAGAAGGATGTGCTGCAGAACAAGCTCAAGGTGAGTTTCTAAAACTCCCATCTTCCCTCCCACATACCTACCATCCATATCCATCCAACCCCACCCCCTCCAACCACCAACATCGGCGACTTTTTCGAATCGCTTTACTTCACCATTCCCTCACACCACCAATATACCCGGGAAGTTAAATTAACCTCTTTTTTTTTCTCTTTTGCTACTAATAGGAGCGAAAATACTTCGACTCGGGTGACTACGCTTTGAGCAAGGCCGGCAAAGCTTCGGACGTCACTAACATCGGCTCCCGCCACCCCGTTCCGGAGAACATTCCTCACCTGACAGCCACCTCCCCAGGTGCCAACAACCCCGCTGTCGGTAACGGTGGCAGTATCAGTGCCCAAGGCGGACAGCAGCTCCCCGGTAGCTTCAGCGGTCACCCCAGCTCTATCGGCTTCCAGGGCCGTAGCCCCATCAAGGAGGGCGGAAGCTTCTTGCACCGCGGTTCTAGCCTCAGTGAAGGCTCCGTTGGCCCGGATGTTCAGGAAAAGGAGCTGAGTGTCAGCCCGCCGCCTGCTCGTGAGGGCGTGCCCATTCGTCGGTGATAGAACCTCGTTGTCTTGGATGCATTGCATGGAAACTCATGGGTTTTTTGGGGTTTTGTTTTACTTTTACTTATTTGTCTTTGAGCTTTCTCTGGGAGAGATTTGATATGCTCGGTTTTCTCGCGCTTTTTTTTTGTCCTTTTTTCTTTTTCCATCACACCTGGTCTCTTATGCTCTTATGTTCAAAAGCCTGGCGCTATGGGTTCATCGAGGGATGAGGTGCACTGCGGGACAGGGCCCGAGAACAGAGAGGGTGACATTTACAAGTGCAAAAAAAGAAGAAAAAAAATTACAAGCAGAAGGGGAACGCTGCAATGGGGTTGATGTCTTCTTTTGACGACTTCGACGTTATGTTGAGTCGGGTTCCAAGGTTGATACCAACACCCCCACCATAAACATCGCATCGTTGGCATTTGGCCTCTTTCTTCAACTTGTTCTTTGTTGTTTAGTTGCAATCTTCGTTTGCGTTTTACTCCGCGCACTTTACTTTATTGTTCACTTGCATTCGATGTATTCCGTATGCGTTTTCTTTCTCATTCCCCCTTGTCTTATATCTTCTCAAGCTATATCTTCCTGTATGTCTTTACAATAGTTTGATCTATATTTTTATTCGGACCAATATTTGTGGTAACATTTAAATTCATATTTGGCCTACCAAATTCGTGGTCAAAACCTATTTTTGGTTCGGCAACATCATACTCATTGGATGATGTAACTGGTCTCTAGTTCAAAGCGTGCGCCCGAGGGGTGAGATAGCACAGGAAGCATCCAGAAAATTTATTTATGTACAGAGTAGACAAGCAATGGTCAAACATTACTGGGTGAATCGGAAGGTTCAATTAGCCGAAGCATAGAGAAGCAGGTCAGATAAGTCAAACCAGATGAATGACGAAAGAAAAAGGGTATAGGAATCGGGCTAAGATAGTATGGCAATGCGCTAGCGAAGAAAATTGCAACTGGTATCATGGGAGGGGGTCATGACAGGAACAAAATGGACGAGACCTAGGTAATGTCCCTGGGGGGAGAATGGGAAGAAGTGGAAGAAGTACAAGGCGGGGAAAGTTGAAAGGTTGGTGAGAACCAAGCTCGATGGAATGGTAAATTCCCTTCTCAGATGTAAGTGGTGCTCCTCGAACATGGAGCAGCCACCTAGTCCAAGGTGCTCGAACAAAGAAAAGCAAAGGGGATGTTTCAAAATGATGCCCGTGTATAGCACCGGAGGAAGGGAGGAAGGGAGAAAGGGGACGGGAGGATTTGCCATGGATTGCAAGAGTGACTGGGATAAGCAAATGACCTCCATTTAAAATGAGGCTGGTGGCACATGGCATGGAACTTCCCCGGAAAAGTCCCAGTGTATAGAAAGCTAGTTCTTCAGTCCGTCAGGTTGTGAGAGGCGCTCAATGGTCCAGGTTTGACGAAATGCACACCGACTGGTACGTCATTAAATGGCAGCTATATTTTCCTCACGGGGGAGTAATTCGGATCAAATGTGGGAGAACTTTGACCTGAGAACACAGAAAGGCATTGGAGAAGAGAAACCCTGTAATCTTTGGGGGGACATGACCTCCAAGAAAACAAAAAGCAAGTCTCCTGTTTCCGATGGCTCTCTAGACGGCTGGCTAGGTTCTCAGTCGGTTTTCCAATGGCCAGTAAGTCCATTGTCAAGGTCGTTATGTTCTCCGAGCCAAAGCTCAACTGCATATAATGCTGTAGTGCAGGCTAGGTTGATCCACCGCCAGAGGTTGTTTCCGCCCGCGGCCTGAGTGCTCCACCATACGCCGACGCCTCCCATTGCTTGTGAAGTAGACGAGAAATGCTGCATCAAAAGACTGGTGTAAACAGCGATGAGGATCGACGGTGAGAAGTAGCTTAGGAGTGCCAGGACTTGGCCTGCGGCATCGGCATCTTCAAGAGAAGCCTCCTGAGAGAGCGCGCGGGCTCCGGATTCACGCACTGCTGGGATGATACGGGTTGATGCATATAGAACCGAGAGGCGGTAGGCGAGAGAGATCAAAACCGACGGTGTCACCGCACTGAAAACGGCCGTGATCACATTGAAGGCAGCGTGGATGATCGAGGGCAAGAGAGACAAGGCATGCATGAGAGTGGTATACGATGCCATGAAGATTGGTGGAAGCGGAGGGAAGTCACCTGCCTGAGTGGGAGATGGAATCTGTTCGACCGGGTACGATGGTTGGTAGTCGGTAAATATCTGGTAGATGCAGAGGACAATATAGGCGAACAGCAGGGAGCTTTCGACCGGGTTTCCACGCCCACTACCGATTCCCCAGGCGCACAAAATGACTGCGCAAGTGACAGAGACACCGATTAGGGCCGCATCGACGTTGGAAATCTCCGGGAACTGGAGAACGCGCCAAAGGAAGTAGACGGAGCTTGAGATGACCGTAGCCGATAAGACGAGGAGTCCAATCTGCAAGATGTTAGCTTTTTTTTTCGGTGCCTTTATTGGAGAGCAGGGGATAAGTGAGAGAGAAGTGAGAACATACCATCCAGCTGTCACTGCGCCCGCCTCGGTTCACGAGCCACCGGGTGATTTGACCGGCGGCTTGAATAACCAAAAGGCTGCAGAAGCCCTCTGCAAGTTGGAATACAGGGGTAGACCATCGCAGGAGTCGATCCCAGTTACCCAGGGTGACAGTTTCAACCAAGCCATCCCGACCGAAGAGCCATTCGTGAATGGAGCTATCTTGCGCTCGGTTCCCGCTGAAGGTGCGCTCCACCCACCCGCTGCTATTCTCCGGGTCGACCGAAAAGCGATTCAGGGACCAAATCAACAAGATTGGAATCAGGATCCATTGTGTAGAGCGAATGACGGCGACGAGTGAGGAACGGAACCATGAGCGTTCAGGAGTGATGAGGCGCAATATCGAGAAGAGGAAGTAGAAGGTCGCGAGAGATAGGGAGAAGGCCAGACCACATGTCTTTCCGCCCACGTCAAAGGCCAGAGGGATAGAAGAGACCGTGACGACGAGGAACACGGCCGACGAGAAGACTCGAAAGAGCCACATTCAGGGAGGAGACGCGCAAGGGCGCGTAGAGCAAGTCGTGTTTTGGTGTTGTCGAAGAGAATGGGGAAGAGAGAGGGGGGGAAGGCACACACGATCGATCGGTTTTTTTTCTTATTTTCTTTTTTCCCCTTCCTCAAGCTTATCGTTGGATTTCACGTGGGGGTTTCAAGAGAATTAAGAAAAATGAACCCAGGACTAAAGAATAAGATGGGAAGAATTGTTTCACAGAAAGGACTTGGAGAAAAACAGGTAGAAAATAGATGAAGTAATAACTACTTGTACCATCTAAGTTCCAATGTTCTTTTTAGTACTTTGAATAGGTTTGTATTGCAACTCTAAAGGTTGTGGTGTCGTGCTAGGGCAGTGAAAGGCTACGGCGGTCAGAGCGCCATTAGATTCTGGATCTGAAAGAAAAGTACTAGTAGGGTTTAATTTCAATAGATCTAGTATGTATAGAATATGCATATGTCTATAGAAATAATCAAATGTTGTATATTAAAGAGTCTATGATCTTGCTAAGGTTGATAACGCCATTGATTTGATTGCTTATGTACTCAATACTTGATACTGTGCGGGTAGTACAGTAATATATCCATGTACCCAGTACTTACCATATCTGTCCTAAAGCCGGAAACAGAGTAAAGTTCTGATAAGAAAGTCATGTTTCTACTTTACTAATGTACAACTTCAGTATTGTCTACTAGTCTGGTACTTCTACATTCTCTGTACACTATACATAAAAACCCTCTTGTACCAGAAATTACATTTAAATTACTAAAAGATCCTAAAGCCTCAGAAACTGGGCAAACAATCAGTCATCACCTGAGTCTCATCAACCCTATTACTAAGCCCTTGTTTCCCGATACAGCTTGTCCCGCAGATAAGCTTGACCAGCCAGATCAAAGTAAATCATAATCGCCCTTTCCCTCTTCATACATGCTACGGTTCCGTACCTTCTCCAAAATGGCTGAAACTGTTGCTAAGAAGCTCAAGACTGCTCCCGTCATCGGCACTCACAAGTAAGTTATCCCTTTAATCTGCTGCGACTTGAACATCTCTTTACTCGGAAACAAAAAAAAGAGAGAGAGAAAAAAAAGTAAAAGAAACCACAGTAACTAATAGCTTTTAAACCAGTGGTCATTTCCATGCCGATGAGGCCCTCGCGGTCTACATGCTCCAGCTTATGCCCACTTATGCTTCCTCGCCGCTGATCCGCACTCGCGACCCGGCTGTGCTGGAGACTTGCCACACCGTTGTTGATGTGGGTGGTGTCTATGATGCTGAGCTTAACCGTTATGACCACCACCAGCGTACCTTCGACACAACTTTCCCCCAGCACACCACCAAGCTCTCTTCAGCTGGCTTGGTTTACATGCACTTCGGCCGCACCATCATTGCTCAGAAGCTTTCCCTGCCTCAGGACCACCCGGATGTCGATCTGCTGTACGAGAAGTTGTACACTGACTTTATCGAAGCCATTGATGCCAACGACAACGGTATCTCTGCCTACGACCCTGCCGCCATCGCTGCCGCCAACCTGGAGAAGCGCTTCAGAAACGGAGGTGTCACCCTCGCCTCCATTATTGGTGACATGAACAACCCGGACCCCACCAGCCCACCTGGCGAGGCCCAGGACGAGGATAGCCTCTTCGGCCGCGCTAGCAAGCTCATCGGTAACGTTTTCGCCCGTAAGCTGCACCAAGCTTGCCACTCATGGCTTCCTGCCCGTACCACCGTCAGCAATGCCTACCAATCACGCCACGAGATTCACTCCTCTGGTCGCATCCTTGTCTTCCCCCAGGGCGGTGTTCCCTGGAAGGAGCACCTCTACAACTTCGAGAAGGACGCTTCCAGCGGCGAGGGCATCGATGACGCCGCCCAGGTCTACTATGTTCTTTACCCCGAGAGCGCTGCCGAGGATTCCAAGTGGCGTGTGCAGTGTGTTTCCGAGTCTGAAGGCAGCTTCATCTCCCGGAAGCCTCTCCCTGAAGCTTGGCGCGGTGTCCGTGACCAGGATCTGGATGGTCTGATGGCCTCTCAGGCTGAGCAGGCCGGCAAGGAGAAGCTCCCCGCGGGTGCTATCTTCGTGCACGCTAGTGGATTCATTGGTGGCCACAAGACCAAGGAAGGTGCTATGGCTATGGCTATCCGCAGCCTTGAGTAATAATGAAATACAGCTTCCTGAAGGAGTACGAATATCAAAATTTCATGATGGGTATCTTTTGTGATGTGGAATGGTTATTATACGATGATACCAAAAAGTATAATTTTGTCTGGAATACAATACAGATAATGCAATCGAGGAATTGACTCGGTTATTTTTTTTTTTGGATGCAGTTCTCATACGTCTCCGTACACACAAGTATATTCTGATATTGTATAAATCAGGACTTTTTATTCCAACAGCCCTTGTATTTAGTGGCTATCGCCGGGGTGTACATGTACACTGTAACCTATACCCATGGATATACCAAGGCTGCGATCAACAGGGACCGCTCTTTTGAAGAATGAACCACAGGCTATAGATTGCCAGCGAATGAAATGATGTATGAGAGAGCCCCAAGAACATCCGCGCCATGGAAAGACCAGCCAATTGGTTCATTGAACGCAAAAGCCATGGTGTTGAAGGACATATTCAGGTAATCCTTGATGGCGTAAGGTCTGACCGATGATCCGTCGCTTGGGTACAGTAGTGGGCCAGGACTGGGAAGTAAGAGCATCCAGGGAATTGTTGATGCCCAATACTCTGCTGATAAGCTGATTCCGGGTTCTGCGGGCGATTCGTTTGCCAATGGCAAGAGACGATGAAGAAATGGCGTGGGAAATGCCATAGATATTGGGGTAGGATCAATGACGAACGCTCAGCGAGCTAATATCTTCGATATTGCCAGTCCCATCTCCAGACTTTGAGACATCTTTGGCAAGAGATTGAGCACCTAGTGGCTCTTCACCTTCGCCCATGGCTCGCTGAATGAGCTTGGCTTTGACCGCGGCACCTTTCAAGCGCTCGTCGGCGTCGTTCACGGCCTCTTCTGTATTGCTCATATCCAACGAAGCTGGGTCAACGAGCTCCAGTAAAGTCGCAAGATTTCTAGCCAGTCGGGCACTGTGCGCTGGGATCTTGGTCATTTCTTTGCTGATCGATGAAGGATCTAATGATAGGTCGTCGTCTGACTGATCGACTTGTGGCGTCTGTTCTCCGCATAGCTCCTTCGGCTTGGCATCAGCTAATCGCTGGGCCCAGACGAGTGCCTTTCCATACAGTCGCCCCATTTCGACGAATTTCTCAAAGCCCTTCTCGACTGCAAACACGCTACCTTCTGTGTAGCCGGCTTCGGCTCCATCGGCTACACCCAATTCGTAGCCCTCATTGTAGAATTGCTCCTCCAGGTCAAGGAGGCTGTCCAAGAGATTTGACTCCATGACTATTGATAGAGATTTGCAGATGTCACAAAAGCAAGGGGGTGAATATGAGTCAAAGAGGCTTGAAAGAGGGTTGATTCTAAGGAAGTTTTTTTTTTGGGCTGATACAGTAAATATGCGGGGCGCATGTCACGAGCTGATAAAGTAAAGCCCACTTTTTCGATTTTCCGGCTTCCCCCTCCATCTTTCTCATCTACAAACCACAATGGCGTCCACAAACCCAATTTTGCCCAAGAAGGGCGAGCGCAATATTCTAATTACTAGCGCACTGCCATATGTTAACAACGTGCCTCATCTGGGTAACGTTGTCGGCTCTGTACTGAGTGCTGATGTCTTTTCGAGGTATGACTCAAAACATAAACCCCCCACTTTGAAATGATCAAAGAAAAACTAATAATTATTGAAAACGAAAGATTCCACAAGGCTTCCGGTCGGCAAACACTCTACATCTGCGGAACCGACGAGTATGGCACAGCGACCGAGACTAAGGCACTGGAGGAGAAGGTGACCCCGGAGGAGCTGTGCTCCAAGTACAACAAGATTCACCAGGAGGTTTACGAATGGTTTAACATTGGATTCGACCACTTCGGTCGCACCCCGACTCAGAAACACACCGAGATCTCCCAGGCGATCTTCAAGCGGCTCGAGGAGAACGGTTTCCTGGCCGAGCGGACTGCCGAGCAGCCGTTCTGTGAGCAGCACGGTTCTTTCCTTGCGGACCGATATGTCGAGGGCGAGTGCCCCCGGTGCCACTATGATGATGCGCGCGGAGATCAGTGTGATAAGTGCGGTCATCTTCTCGATCCCTTTGATCTTATCAAGCCTCGCTGTAAGCTCGACGGAGCCACTCCGGTGCGTCGCGAGACAAAACACATCCACCTACTGCTCGACAAGTTGCAGCCGGAGGTCGAGAAGTGGGCGAACGAGGCAATTGAGAAGGGTCAGTGGCCTAAGAACTCGCGGGTCATTACTGAGTCGTGGTTGAAGGAGGGCTTGAAGGACCGTGGTATCACTCGCGACTTGAAGTGGGGTGTCCCTGTCCCTCTGGAGGGATTCGAGAACAAGGTGCTGTACGTGTGGTTTGAGGCTTGTATCGGATACCCCTCAATCACTGCCAACTACACTGATGACTGGGAGCTTTGGTGGCGCAACCCGGAAGATGTCCAGTTGTACCAGTTCTTGGGTAAGGACAACGTGCCTTTCCACAGTGTCATCTTCCCCGCTACCCAGATCGGTACTCGTGACCCCTGGACTAAGAACCACCACCTGAGCGCCACTGAATACCTGCAGTACGAGGGCGGCAAGTTCAGCAAGTCCCGAGGAGTCGGTGTCTTCGGTACCAACGCCAGGGAGACTGGTGTGCCCGCCGATGTGTGGCGTTACTACTTGCTCAAGAACCGCCCGGAAACCGGCGACACCTTCTTCGAGTGGCGCTCATTTGTCGATGCCAACAACAGCGAGCTGCTGGCCAAGCTTGGTAATCTGGTTAACCGAGTCATCAAGCTCGTCGCCGCCTCTTACGGATCTGTCGTCCCTGAGTTCACCATCCCCGAGGACTTCGCTCCTTTCCAGGAGGAGGTTACTACTCACCTGCGCCAGTACATCGAGGATATGGAGACCGTTCACCTCCGCGCTGGTGTCGCTACTGCCATGCGCATTGCTGAGGCCGGTAACGGTCTGATCCAGGCTAACCGTCTTGATAACGCGCTGATCGCGAATGAGCCCGAACGTGCCGCCGCCGTTGTCGGAGCTGTCCTGAACTTGATTCACCTGCTCTCCGCTGTCTTCTCCCCATACATGCCCGCTACCGCCAAGTCGATTCTCGAGCAATTGAACTCCCCAGTCCTCTTGATCCCTACCCTTGACGAACTCAAGGACGGCTGGAAGCCTACCAGCATCAAGGCCGGCCACAAGATCGGCAAGGCCCAGTACCTGTTCTCTCGTATTGACCCCAAGAAGGCCGAAGAGTGGCGCGAGGCTTTCGGTGGTTCCCAGGCTGATCGCGCTAAGAAGGCCGAGGAGGCTGCTAAGGCCGCTGCCAAGAAGGCCGCTGCTAAGGCCAAGAAGCTCGCTAAGAAGGAGAGCAAGGCTGCTGGTGGTGTCGAGGCCACTGCTAAGGGTGGTGCCGAGGCTCTCGATGTGACGGCTTCTGGATCTACCGATGAGGCTGTGCAAAAGGTTACCGATGGTGTCGCACAGGTTACTCTCCCCACTTCGTGAAAGAATCGCATGAATTGAGCTTCAGCCTTTTGCTTTGTATGTGAGGCTGGAGTGGCTGGGATAACGACCAGCTATACGGAGTGAGTTTCAACAACTGCGGCGCACGACATAGAAGGTTTGGGGGTCGGGGTCATGGTCTTGGTCACGGTTGGGGTTGAAGTGGGCTTGGTCTTGATATACTTGATTTACGACTGGCATGTCGATCATGCGCATGAATCTACGAGAATTGGTGTTTATTTATGCAAAAGAGGAGTTTCGTTTCTGCGCATTTTGATTCTTTGGTTGGTTATTTTATATGTGTACATCCCTTGTGCATGGCGAAGCTCAACCATCTAGATGTGTCCCGTAAAGCCTTCTATCTCAACATTAAGGCGAGGATATAGTACGTTAGAAGCATAAGCTATGCGTCCATTCAGATTGAATTGATGTATTTTCCAAACTAGTTGAGAATTGCATTTTTCAAAAGAAGCCAACATTGAAAGTCCTCGTTGTAATACCGATTTCTATCGCTTTTATTTCAAGGGCTGGAAAAGATGCTAGAAATTGAACAGTACCTACTACGTAGGATAGAAAGAAGATAGAGGTTTGAAAACATTCCCATTCGCAATTGTCTTTAAAAAGAAATACATACACGCCGATATGATAAAAAGTTTCATTAAATGCTCATAGCGCCAACTGCTCCACGACGCGGGTAGCAAATCCGGCCCCTTTCCCTTCGCTTGCAAACTTCTTCGATTACCGCCTCTTAGGGTTTGGGCGAGGCTTGGTTTCATCCGGTGCAACGGGGTGCAGCATGATCTTGCTCGTGTTCGGCTGGGTATTGCCCATGTAGCCCTTGCTCCAGTCGTAGCTGACAGCGTAGGCAAAGATAGTTCCGTCGTGGTTGAAAGCGGTGCTCGAGATAGGACCACCAACAGCCGGGTAGCCCTTAAGGCGGTGCTTAGCATCCTTGTCCCAGAAGTGGAAGGTACCGTCGCTACCAGCAGTGCTGAATGTTCCGTGGACTGGGTGGAAGCGAATGGAGTTGACGGAGTAGATGTTGCAGGTGTCGCGGCTAGTGGCTGGGGTTTCACGATGGCACTTGAAGGAGAAATTGGAGGCGGAATCCTTCTCCTCGACGTACTGGATGGCACAACGGCCCTCGATACTACCGACTGCAAATCCGGAGGCGTCAGCGAAGCAGCTGACTACCCGCGTCTGCCACTTGAGGGGGGACTGTATGGTCTTGTAGATGTTGGTGGGATTGTCGAGGTTGACGATGTTGATGTAGCGGTCAGCCGTGCCGATGACAAGCAGCTTGTTCTTGACGTCCATTGTGTACACGCGGTTCTGGCATTTAATTTCGGCGATGGAGGTTTGTTGCCGCAAGTCCCAGTATTTGACTAAGCCGTCCCATGAACCTGTCACCAGAAGTGGTGATCCGCCCTGAGGGCTAGGGAACATGTGGCAGCTGCGAATCGGAGCCTTGTGTTCCGCAACGGTAGTTGTGGCATTGGAGCCGAGATCGAGGAGCTTGGCGAAGTTGTTTGTACCTGCACCGACCACCTTGGTTCCATCCTAGAGGGAAGATCATGAATGTTAGATTATACCAGGACTGGAGGGGCGGGAGGAGTAAAGGCATCAGATTGACTTACCGGAGACCAACAACAATTCAGAGCGGGAGCCTCTACGTCCAACATTGCCTTTCCTTCAGTCTGACCGGAGGAAGTGACTTCATAAATTCGGACCTTGTTGTCCCATGATGCGACAGCCAGATGATTACTGGTGGGCGAGAATCGCATATCCGAGATACTATCCTCTGGGGGCTGATTGAGGGTGACATCTTTGGAAATGTCGCCAGTGGTATTGGTCGCCCCAGACGAAGCTGTCGTCGCCGCAGCGGGAGCACCGAAGAGGGACATCGAGACGGGTACGCGAAAAAGAGCTCTTGTGGGTGGTTTTGAGGATGGCGAATGTGAGAGAAAGTAGGGAGGAGGAATAGATTCTGGTCTCTTTTCGCGAGCGACGAGCTTTCACGCGGAAGGAGGTGGTGTATGAAGAGAGAGAGAGGGTGCTGAGAGCAGCGTGAAGAGAGCTGGAAAAAGTGACTGGCGTGGATCCGGCAGTGATGTTGATGCAGAGGCAGAAAATTTGACCGCCTTGGTGGTTGTTCACCAAACTAGAAGAATTTGATTATGAGATCCAATTCAATTGAATTTCAACCAAAGATAATTTGGTATTTCAGATTTTGTTTAAATTGATAATAAATGCACAGTGCTGACATGTGACTCACTGAATTACCCAGGAGCTGGTGGAAGGGCTCAGAAAGAGAGGGAAAGTTACAGGGAATAACAGACATCTGGAAGAAAACACCTCCTTAAAAGGAGTTCCCTTCTCAGTATTTATATATATATACATATGTATATTTTTTCAAACAATGTTTTCCAAGTTTCGAAAAATAGTAACTAGTGAAATGATATTCAATGTTATGATATATCATGATATAGCCTTTGAGGTGATCTTACTTAGTATATCCATGGCCCCGGGGTACATAGTAGCATAGTGAGATATCAATCCATATGTATATCACGAGAGTTTCAACATTTGAAAAACTTAGATTATAGAGTATACATTGGGTATGTAGATGTCTTAAAGTCCGAGGTCCAGGGCTCTCCAGATGTCTATTTGAGGTACATATACACGTGAATATGATACCCGTGCACCTATAGGTGGATGCTTTTAAGGCCGACACATTAGGTACGGGAGTACTTATAAGTAGGATCTGTATTGCTTTTTTTTCTAGTATTTTCACTGATAAATCCATAGATACAAGCAGATATATATACTTCAATGTTACTAGGTATGTACATGGCTCAGGTGGCTTGCTTTGTTTCAAAGGTGTATAGAATATAGGTATATCTGACTGGCAGTGTAGTGAGACACATACTAGTAGTTGGCTCTGTCTAGCCAATAATATATGACAGGGGATATTCCATCCTTTTATACTAAGAAGACTTTCTTTTGTATAATATTACCTGCAGGGGGTAGGCTCAAAGGTCTAACCAATTGATGCCTTGATTGGCTTAGGTTATGTAATTTGTCAAGGTTACATTATATTTCTTTAATAAGGAGTAAAATATTGTAGGAATGAAACTTGATATGCACGATCATGAGAAAATACTCTAAGACTAAAATATTTACTATTGAGAGTTGTCATGTAGTCTATTATAGCTTGCGTGTTCTGCCATTGTTCTATAATTGCCATTTCTAGCTTGTATGTGAAGCCTGAGAACTGGGATTTTTATTATGTGGAGGCTCCATGCGTTATTATGTATGGGCTCTTTCTTAACCTTCTCTACTTGTTCCAATTCTCTGCTAATCTCTAGATGAATTGAAAAGTGCATTGAAAAAAAAGACAGAGATTACTCCGTAGTCAGATTTACAATTACAGAAGTACTATGTATATTCCAGAATTATATGTGCAATTATGTGGCTTGGCCCGATGTGGGGAAGGATCCACTCGGGGCCCCGGAGGATCAGCATTGAGCTCGGTGGAATGAGCTCACATTGCAGCTCACTCTCACACTCTCACACTCTCCTAGGGGCACCATTCCAGACAGATTAGAACAGAGCATTGAAAGCTTTACCATTGGTGAATAATTTAGGAATGAGAGATTAATTGAAATGGCATGTTGGGAAACTGATGGGCTGATGATGTCAGGTGATCGTCCAGACTGGCCTCGAAGGTTGTTTCACATAACACGGTTTCAAGTTTCTGTTCACAGCCATGGCAAAAGGAATTCATTGCATTCAACTGTGAAGAGTTCAATTCCCTTCCGATCACCTCTGATCATCTTTCTATATTTTTCTGTTTATTTTTTTTCGTTTGTCTCTGGAGAAATAAGTAAGAAATAAAGGTGGAGTAAGAATGCGGGGTGCAGCAACCCAGATTGGCCCACTCCCGCTACCTGATGTCAGTTGCTCGTGTGATCCGGGGATGCCGTGTACTCGGAGGCAAAATACGAAATCATTCCCTTGGGATTTGTTCATCTGGTCGAAATGAATTAAGAAAAGATATAGGTAAATTTCACAAGGGGAGAAAAAACTGTAGGTTAAATGATATCGAGTCAAAAAGGCCATGTGGAATTGAAAAGAGGGAAAAAAGAGGCAAAGAGCAGTAGTGAGCTGTTCCTAGAAGTACAAAGTACAGTATACAGAATGACATCCTTGACTCGAACCCCCGCTTCTTTCTACTGAGGTCACCTGCCCACCCCCTCTTCTCTCTCCTTTCTCTTCTCTTTCCATTCTTTCTCTCCTTCATCATCCTCAACTGATCCCCAAATCTATCAATCATGTCTGTTCCACTCACCAAAGTCGATTCTGCCGTTGCTGGCTTGTCCATAGACGAAAAGCCCCAAGCTCCAACAGAAACTGAAGTCAAGAAGGAGAAGAAGTCCAGGCGACTCTCACACCAAGCTGAAGATGTCTGGAATATCAAGGACCTTGGTAACGTTATGTGATGAATCATCTTGTGACATCTTCACTGATGCATCTGATAGAGGAGCAAAAGATCGAAATCACCCTACCCATCGAGACTCAAAAGACTGGATGGTGTGTCTCTTCTACATGATCTGTTCCTTCTCATCCCCTCAATTCATTAACCAATATCCCCCTCACCAGGAGACTCAACACTTCACCAAACACGGTCGAGGACAAAGAGATTCTCAGCCTAAAACTCACAAATCCCCCCGTCAAGAAGATTGACTTGCATTTCCCATTGGGCCTAGAGGTCACCGCTCGGAATCTCAAGGGCGTCACAATCAAGGATGCATTAGAAGCAATCCACAAACAATTCAAGAAAAAGGTCCGTTAATCATCCACATCCTCAACATTCTCTACAAAACAGATCACTGACTGGGAAATTCAAATCTCACACAGGCTGATGACGAGTTGGAGAAACCTTTCCTTGCTGGTTTCGAGTGGGACAAGGATGAGTGCTGGACACGCTTCATCGTGCACCAAACCGACAAGAACACCGCCGTGACTCCAAGTGATAACTCCAAGAAATCCAAAAAGAAGAAGAAGGACGAAGAGTAGATCGTTCCAAATCCGATCCTCTACAAAGTGTACCCTTCCCCCCCCTCACCCCTCCTTCACCTTCCGGGTTTCCGTTTGATGGTTTCAACTCCAATCTTCAAAACGACAAGGGTCAAACTCCCTCTTCAGCTCTTTGTTTTTGTTGCCACCCCCATCTCTATTCCCTTTTCACGTGATGATGTGACGGTTTAGCCTTACCTTGCCAGATCTTTATCTTCCTGATGGACTTCTCTGCAATCGCGCATTTCTTCCCGCCTCCGGGATGTAGAAGCAAGAATTAAGAGGGCGCAGGGTGAATTGAAGCTTTTTAGCTATTACTCTATTTTATCTTTTATTTCTCTTCTATTTTGTTCTTGGATCTCTCACCTGGTCATGTATCTTGCTTGCGTTTTCTTATCCAACTCACCCTACTACTTACCGGAGCGTTCGCAACTTGGCTAGTTCCGAATGTTCCTTAGTTTGACCTGGGTGAGACCTGATGCTTGGAGATGTCTCCGGCCTCTATTCATTCATTTTTATATTCCACTCAGATTATCCAACTAATATTCACTGAGTCACTTTTTTCTCCCGATAGATGTAAATTTGTACATAGTAGTTTCAAGGTGGAGTTGGGAGACGTCGGGAGTGAGCGTTGCGCTAAGCATAAGCCGGATCCACTGGGGCCCACAACCCGCGTCTTAGCACCTTTTTTCTATGTCATCCTCTTGTGTTTCATGCACGCTTAAAACTTATAATTCATGTTTCTGGAAACCTTTGGATTTTTAGGGCGTTCGGAAATCCGAGTATTGTATGTAATTCATTATATGTCAGCCACTAGGTGCTGTAAAAATATTGGTATGTACAATCGTTAAAGAGAGAGGGTTGGAAATCCAGAGGCCGGACGGCGGAAACAACAGGAGCAGGGCTAATATAGATGCACAAGCTCGAACAGAAACAGTAAAGCCAAAGGTCGCTAGATCAAAATGTCATGAGTAATCTTTCGATAAGAAACAATAAACCAAAAAAAGAGCCAAAAAGGCGGCAGACATTAGCGGGAGCGACCGGGCTCCCGACTGCCAAAGAGGGCCAAGACGATCTCGTCGAGAAGAGTAAAGGCCAGATGTGTGTTGAGGGGTTTATTATTCAAGGTAGCAAAGAGCCGACGGGAAGCAGCTTGGGCATTGGCACGGCCAACAACGCTAGCAGCCAGATCGGGGATAAGAGTGGCCAGGACGACGGTGGCCTCGGTGCGACTTTTGTGTCGGTCGGCCATAGATCGTGGCAGGAACTTGCGCAAAATACCACCGGGCCACATAGAATCGCGAGCGATAGCGAGGTATCGCATCATTGACTCGTCTTGGAATAAAGAGCGAGCACTGTCCCGCACCTTGCGCTCAATGGTACCACCAAGGAGTTGGTGCAGAACGACAACAACGGCCCGGCCGCGCAGCCAGTTGTTTCCGCGGTTCAGCTCAAAGGCCTCTAGGAAGAGATCGCAGACAGGCTTGATGAAGGGTTCGAGCTCACGGTCTTCGAATGCATTCAGCTCGGCTTCGGCTTCGGCCGTAGTGACGGCATCTTCAGTTGCGAGAGCGGGGTCGTGGGCAGTGCTGGTGTTGATGTTCACCTGGTTTGTGGCGGCCGAGATGAGATTCTGGCCTGCCGTTGACAATTGATCGAGCACACCAAAGTTGCCGAGGAAGTCGTCCATGCCATCGGCAACGGAATTATAAATGCGCGTGACGAGATCCTTAGTATCACCTTCACTGCTGCGTGAATCTTCTCGAGGCAGAATTGCCCTTTGGGAGAGAAACGCACGCAAGTCACGGCTGCGGCAAACTTCGGGTAGATGAAGCAGTTTTTCAAGATATCCCTCTAGAGCTTGCCGCCGTTTTTGAAGGAATTCCTTTTGGAGCTTCATGACCACGCGCCGGCGAGGGAATTCCAAGTGGCGAACTGAAGGATAGTTCAGGCGCAGCTTCTGGTGAAGCTCGTGGAATTCACTGTAGCGACGAGGAACCGCCCAGGAAGCTGCAGGCATCTGTTCACCAGCATTTCGTCGAACTTCGATAACATCTGAGTCCGAGCATTAGCATGAATTCAAGCCGAGAGAGAGGGGGTAGGGGATGAGATGGGTTCTTACACGTTGCGAATTCCCGGCCATCCTCCTCTTTGCCGACCATGATGGATTTGATGCGGACTGTGGAACGCCCGTATAGACTGTTATCACTTTCTTGGATGATGTATTGCTGGCGTTGCATCTCCTTCCGGTGGACCTCGCGTTCAATGCTGGCCTTAGACTTGCGCAAAATTCTCAACTCAGCCGTGTTATTCGTCAATTCGGCCTTGCGGGTCAACGCGTCGACCACAGAATCTTGCGCAGTCAGTTTGTCGATTTCGGTAGTCAATACCTCGATCGCTTCAGTGAGTCCAAGATCGCCTGGCGCAGCTTCATGGACTTCGTCTGCTGGGTCCCTGTCTTCGCCACCGACTGGTTCCTCGTACTCATCTTCAATGAACTTCTGTTGATCCGGGAAAAGATCGTCGTCAAACACACCAAGTCGTGATGCATGGTGGTCTACTAGACCCAGAGATGCGATGCTTTTTTTCGACTTCTCATTGATGCGTACGTCAGCTCGCAAGATGTCGGGCGAGCCACGAGTGGTGATTTCGGATTGCCCTCCAAAGAGGGATGAGGATGAGAGATCACTCCCCTTGAGGTCCTCTACTCTTGGATTCTTGGGCTCGTTGATGATAATGTCATTGAGAGCGGCTTCCATGGTTTCAAGAACCTGGCTTTGGCTTGTATCATTATCACCATTTTGTGAGTCTTTCCCTAGGCTATTGGTAGACATGGCAAGCTGATCGGTATCATAGTCGTCATCAAAAAGATGTGCCGACCGTTCGGAATCTATAGATCGTCGAGGTGCATCGTCGTCGTCAAACAGCTTGCCCATGCCTCGCACATCGCTTGATGAAACAGCAGCTCTGCGAAGGTCCATGACCGGCTTCATGGCCGGCTGTGAGGATGTCCGAGCAGTAATAGGAGGAAGAGGCCGCCTCTCTCGGGGCTCAAGAGTAGCTGCTGGCGGGGATGGAGGAGGAGCTGGCTCATTGGAGTTCGACGCCTCATCTGACGCAAGATATTTCCAGTACAAATCTGACTCCTTGAACTTTGGATAGTAGACAGTCTTCATATGTTCAAGCACATCTGACTGGGTGGTCAGGACCACAGTTCGAGCTTTGCGGTATTGCTCTGGAGTTGCTCGCTTGCCCGCACTTAGGAATGTTTTGACTGTTCGACGCGACTCATCGGAGACCTTGAGTTCTGGTTTGTTGAGATATGTTTCACTAAGAAGCGCCAAATCATTTCTATCGGCAGTCGTCCATGTCACTGAGGCCGACGCAGTCTCGTCTCCAAAGTCATCCTCCAACGGATTTCGAAATCCGTCCACCACTATCCAGAACTGGACTAGGGGCATTAATCTTTGACGGTCCATGAACTCCATGAAATATGATAAACCAGCTGCATTACGCAATACATCTACCAGAGAAGACTCATGTGATGTAGAAGAACTACCATGGCGAGTATGTCTGGACTTCACAGGAGGCATATGTGAGGACTCTCCTGGTACAGAAAGTTTGGCGACCTTTTGATCCAGAACCCTTTTACCCGTTTCCAGGCGTCTAAGGTAGACTTGATCTTGCCCTTCCACCATGCTTTCTCTCTTCAACTGGCTAGCAACCAGTGCTCGAAACCTTCGAGCATCAGATAAGTTGCTGCAGCGTCTTATCGCTCTGACAAAGCGCTCAAAGGCCCTTTCGTTATCATTTGCTAAAAGCTTAGGGAACGGTTGCCCCCGCTTAGACTTGGGGGCAGGAGATGCATGCTCGTCGAGTGCAGCCCGTAATTTGCGGACGGTTTTCCTATCTTGCAAAGCCGAGCGTCCATAAGCCTCCATCAGCTGATTCCACGTGTCGGGATCTGACAATGCCGTCATGGCTGGAACAAGAATCGCACAAGCGATGATCTCACGAATCAGGACAGAAACGGTCCTGCTCCTTAGCACGCTCTCTGGAAAGAGCTGGGGGAGTAAACCCACGGCAATCTTTCTGAGATATTCTTGCTGTACGGTTTTTTGGTCAACAGAGGAGAGACCGACAGCCGGATGAAGGCGACCCTCGCGGAACTTGTTGGCAATCGCCAAGTCCAGCTCCTCAGATTCTGTCACATTTCGACTCAGGTTCCGTCCGCGGACGGCGCGCTCGGCTATATCGAAATCTTTGAGGTGAGAGGTCAAGATTGGAAATATGCGGGACACGATCAATGAGATCAGGTCCTCGGCGAGTAGTCTATCACGAAAATTCTCCAGAGCAATGCGAATGACTTTATCGATTTCATTTGCAAAGATAGGACTTGGACTAATATTTTGGTACCAGGATGAGACAAAATCCCGAGTCACAAGAGACAGCAGTTCGTCAAATCCTTCGGACACAACAAACGACTCAGGATAGAGGGGTCGGGGTCGGTATCGTGTAGTCTTTCGCACATTGAAGAGCTCTTTCCGCCAGTTATTGGGTTTGATGAATGCGACTGAGACCTTTTTCGGTAAACGGGCTCTTTCGGTTTGGTTTCGCGTCGTCAAGAGTAGTAGGCCTAGGAAAATGGCGCAAGACAGTGCAACGCCCAAAGCTAGTGCCCATCCCAGATAGCGCAGGATCGGCAGCCAGCGCACTACCAAGCCCCACGCGATAAATACACCAACGCTGGCTATGAGTAAATCTCGATTTTGAAGGGCCATTCTCCCCAAACACTCATGAGAGCTCCAGGTCTCATGACGGCCAATCGCCGCAACTCAAGAGGGGGGAGCTTGACTGGACATTGAAAGAACCAGTGCGATAGATAGAGCAGTTTACCAAACAAACAAGTGAAAGGCAACAATTCCGATCTCGATGTTGAATTGGAGATGGAATTTTTTATAAAAGTAGCTTTGAGATGCAAAATGATGGAATGATCGCGAGATGGAATCCCGTGACTGCGGAGAAAACGTCACTTTGTTTACTTAAGCTCACGCTTGCGATCTTCCGTTCCTGCTGTCCTCAGCCCAATCTTCCCCCTCTTTTTTTTTTGGCACACCTTCATATTCTTCCACCCAAATCCTGTCTTCTTTCAAGGACCTTCACCATGGTTGCCCTTACTGATATTGTCGATTTATCGTCCCCCTCACTTTTGGGTATGTACAAAAAGTCATCGCTTTTCTCCGCATTTTGCATGTGATGCCGGAACTGACCCTTGTAGTGGCTGCCGCTTCGATTGCCTTTAACCCAATCTTCTGGAAGTATGTACTGAGTCAACAATGAAATCTCTTTGACACACGTAAGCTAACTATTTCTTTCACAGTATCGTTGCCCGTGCAGGTTCGTTGATGACTCGAGCCGTCTACTCGTGCGAAGCTAACCACCACCAGAATACAACAACCATATCCTAACTCGCATCTTCGGAGGAGCTTACCGCGGATGTTACGCCCTCGCCTTCGCTATCTTCTCCCTGGGTATCTTGCGTGATCATGTATACCAGGTTGCTCTGAATGAGCAGCCTTTCTATGCTCCTGTCCACCAGCCCATCATCGGTGGCATCCTGTTTGCGGCGGGCTCCGTGTTGGTTTTGTCTAGCATGTGGGCTCTTGGTGTCACTGGAACCTACCTTGGTGACTACTTTGGCATTCTGATGGATGCTCCCGTCACTGGATTCCCCTTCAACGTGACCGGCTCGCCGATGTACTGGGGAAGCACCATGAACTTCCTGGGTGTCGCTCTCTACAAGGGTCGGGTCGCCGGTCTCCTGTTGACTGCCCAAGTCTTTGTGCTATACTGGTTTGCTCTGCGGTGGGAGGAGTAAGTTTTGACTATCTCACCTTATCCTTGAAGGCATAAGTTTACTGACCCATGACTGAACAGCCCATTTACTGCTGAGATCTATGCCAAGCGTGAGCGCGAGCGTGCCAAGAAGCTTGGAGGCAAGAAGCAGTAAACGCTGCACATGTACAATAGGGTTGGCTGGGACTTTCAACATCCACAATCCGCACATGACACCTTCTCGATCAGAACGAGATATATCCCTCCGCCTGTATCCCGTCACCCAGAAATATACTCCTTGTTCTGCGGGGATGGGATGGCAATCATCCAGCACACGGATACATCCGAATCTTCAACGATGCTGGAACCAAAAAGTAGACGATAGACATTCGCTTTCGCCCCCGTGCCCAAGCATACCAGCGACTAGGGCTGCAGGTTCCGCAGGTTCCACCCTTTAGCTATTTCCCTTACGCGACTCCCAAAAAAAGACATCCACCCATTGCGCCCAACCACCGACCCATCTTCCGGTTTCCCCAATGCAGTACATAGTAGGCATCTTGCTATATGAGACTTCCACGGTCAAGGAGAAGTCAGTATTGCTCCCGGTTCTTCCAAATCCAATTTTTGTACAGGAGAAGGCAAGCTCCATGGATAGAGAGAGACTTTGCAGATCAGGCTTGGAATACAAAGAATCGAAACTTTACATGTGCCAATCACACCATTTCATACTGTAGATCCTAGCTAATAAATGCAGCATATGAAGCGGAACGAGGAGCATCGTACATTAGTACGTCCTACAACTTGTGTGCCTCCCCCGGATCCTTGGAATCTTCTTTATACAAAGCCTGCACATTTAATGTTCATCGGCGTAAAATAATCTCATCATACGAAATCTGGAATTGGGTGTTTGACAATTGGCAGCTGAGATAGTTCCATATGTCAACTTGTATCATTGGGAGTGTATTAATGCAACAACTCTATGTATATACGCAGAAAGATACAGTGGGTCAATTAAGAAACTTGGAATGAATGAAATAAAAAGAAAATGAGAGACAAGATTTTATTCTCCATTGTCCGAAGGGTATCTTGACACCGACCGTGGTCCAATGCACAACACGAGTCATTCCGCATGGACCGAATACCACCAACACCACGCTATGAGACTGAAAAAGGGACCGAAATAAAAAGATAAAGAACAAAGCAATTGACAATGGCAAGTGGGAGATCAGGGGGGCAATTGCATGATTATGCACGTCGCCCGCGACCTCGTTTGGCCGTCGTCGTTCGACTATCATCCACTGTCTCCACTTCGTCTTCGTCGGTCCCTTTTTTGAGATCCTCGCCTTCCGCAAGTCCCCATTTCTCACGATCGTACCAGTCCTCGCCGTCACTCATCTCACCCACGTGGCCCTCAGCCTTGCACCATTCGAGCACATCGGCCTTCATATGGCAAGCCCGGAACAATGAATCGAGCATACGCTCGAATCCCCGTACCGTCTCTTCCTGTTTTTGGATGTAAGACCATAGAAGGCGACGAGTTTCTTCAGCCTCGGTGGCAGGAAGGCCGAAGTTCGCATCTGGGCGAACGTTTTCAGGGATAAGAAAAAGCGGGTGTGGGGTGAGAAAGGTGCTGGTCATATCCGAAGATAGAGATTGGTCTTCATCTTGCGGATTGGCTGCATTGGCCTGCGCACGGGTCGTCATACGCCGGGGTGGCTCGGGCGATGAGCCGTCATGCATCTCAGCATCATGCTCAGCATCATCGTGTATTCCGTTCAATTCCACGTTTGTACCTCTGGCATCGGCCTTCTCTCCATCGCCAGAGGTGTCCATTTCTTCTGCTTTGTCATTGGCAGCAAATCCCCCGTTTTGGCCGAAATTGGCCCCGTTCCCTAGAGCGAGCTCGTCTGCATTCTTGGGATGGGGTGGAAGGTCGTTCACCGTAGCATCAGCTTCCTCTGATTTGAGTGCCTTGTTGGGTTCCCTGGTTTCAATGCTCGCTGTTGGTTCTCCAAAGCCAGCTGGGTAATCAGCCATCTCCGCATCATTCTCTACGGTCCGGGGTTCGCTCCCCGTCCCACTCTGAGTATGATGCGCTTCCATGAATGCCGTAGACGATGTCCCGGGTGCCCCGTTGGTATCGCCGTTCGCAGATGAAGTTTCGGGTCTGCTTGGCTTTTGTCGTCCCGTGGCTGCACGGGCATGCTCACCCTCAGCCCTAGGCTCAAAGATGTAACGGTCTTCGGGAGTTTCCACGGCGCCGCAGGGCATCCAGCCGGCGTCCCCCAGAAAGTTGCGGTGAAGATTTCGGGCACGCCACAGGAGAGCCTTTTCCTGGCGCAACTTCTCTTCGACAGCGGCTGCCATTTGTTCCAGGGCCTGCGAGGTATACGCCTGGGACAGCGAAGGGTGGGAGGGGAGTTCGGAGGGGTGTTTCAAGGGACATAAAAGGGCTGGATAAATCACACTGGTAAGTATACGAAGAAAACGTCAATAATAAAGTATAAATGGGATCACTGACTTTCTAGTGCAATTCCCGAAAACGGGTTCTCTTCGGCCGCCGCGGTATCAGCCTCAGAATCTTCATCTTCCTCGTCAAGTTCATCCCCCTCTGAATCGTAACGGGTAGGATTTCGTTGTAATATATGACGTGTGTAGCCGGCGTGTTCGACCTTCTATTCACAGAAATGAAATGTATGTGTCAGCTCAGTGTTCGAGTCTTTCCGGTCGCCACATTTGCGCGCGCTGGGAGGCTGAATCCTATGGAAAAACATACCTCTCTGTAGAATTCTTCTGCATTGATATAGCCCATTGCTCCCTCACGAACGTATTTGGCGTTTACTTTCATTTTATTACCACGATTCGTGGGCTGCATGATAGGATCATCGGGGACAGAGTCTGCGAGGGTCAGAACGTCAGTGAAAAGATCTCATTGTAGTAAAAAAACAATATTGACATACCATCGCGTTCTCTGCGCAATGCTCTCTTCATCCCGATAATTGTATCGGCAATCAAGGCTGCCTGAGTCGCCATGGCTACGGGTCTGCGACGGGGCCGTGGGATCAGACACGTGGGAACGGGCGTAAAAATGGGGTTTGAGGGGTAAAATCAAAGGAAATGCTTTCAAATGCCAGCAAGGCTTCAAAATATGCAATTGGAAATGAACAAATTCAAAGATTTCACAGGGATTACCCATCCGCAAGAGCGGCACAACTGGATGTGACGAAGCTCGGCGGAGAAGCTGCAACGCCCGATAACACGCTAGCCGTTTTGGGAAAGACGTGTGATAAAGGGCCTGTGCACGTGATTTATCTGCTACACAGGCATCAAGGCCAACACTTGGGACATTTCGCCTCATTGACATTTATTGACTCGTAGAGGATTTTACATGTTACCAAATGACTGAATCATAGATGAGTGATGAGTTAAGTGTAAAATTTCTTCTAGAGCCACCAAAACATTCAAAACCTCAAACACAATAGTTATTTGGAACACGCTTATAAATCGCATGCAGACCCCGCTGTAACTACATATCCAATCTTACTATGCATTCATGACAGTAGCAGGACTACTATTTACTCGATAGTCTAACCCCAGACCGATTGCTCTGAAATAAAACATTACCAGATCTCTTTGCTTATCATTGACCGCTTCAAGAAATTCCTTTAAGCCCTTCCTCGCCTCAAAGCAAAGCAAAAGGCGGAATGCCTACTACATAATAATGCCAGGGCTTGGCACTGCCCCTCAAGCATCTAGTGCTTCATTAGTCTTAGCTCTCAATTTACTGCTGTCACTCATGGTTGTATCTCCGGGTAACAGGGGTGGGAATAGCGGCTGGGGCTCGCCGAGACCCTGGACTTTTTTTTTCTTTTTTTTTTCTTAGCGCTCCGTATAGAATGGGTCATCTTAACCGACGAATTTACTAATATCCACAACATTGAAGTATACTAGTACATATCACAAATTTTCTGGACAAAAATTCGATGATCAATGTGAACTAGCGAAATTTATCAATCTTCTGCTAATACTCACTGACATAGAACCAGAGGTACTATTAGTACCGAGATCTTGTGGATTCAGAAGATCTTCAACGTATGTGCATTGGATAATACTATACAGCTCTCAAACCAACCCTCATTTGCCCTTTCCCTCCTCGATTGGCTCGTAGATAGTATGGAATAAAACACAGATCCCTTCGCTCTGCGATGACTTCCGTTCGAGGTTGAACTGCAATTTGTCTGCTCCAATCTGACGTATCTAACTCACCCGCAAACCCATTCACCGCAACAATAGCAATATAAGGGTCTGGCTGAGATCGAAACTCTTCTAGCAAAGATACACTAGGATCAAATAAGGTTCTCTGCGCTCCTTGCATTAGCCCTTTTCTCCGCATAGCTACACGTGGATAGCCTGTCTTACCTTGAAATGATTTGATTCCCATGGGTGATCAACGTCTTCGACACAATAAACAATCGGTCCCCGCCTGACGTATACAACGGGTTGCAACGTGAGAGGATTAGGTCGAATTACTTGAGGTTGCATGGGACACGAAAGGCGAAACTGTGTGTTTTCTCGAAGCCATTCGGTGCTCAGAACCAGGTATCCGTTCTGAACATCTTGGTTCTCTGGGGAGGGTGTAATCTGGTTTTCGAAATTAGTTTCCCTCCAAAAAAAAACAGGTATATGAAGATTGTAAAATTTCTTACTTCCCAAGATGCTGCCCACCCAGGAATCCGTAATCGTAATTCTAGGTCAACTGGTGACCCAGTCGTTTGGATATCAAATTCAACGTCCCCATTCCATGGCCAGTCTGTTTTCTGTGTGATTGTCACGGCGGAAGAGGAGGTTTTGAGATTCAGCGTCGCCGAAGAGTACAGATGCACATTGACAACAGCACTCTGATCCCTGACCTTGTGACTCCAGAGATACCCACCAAGGAAGCCCAGTGTTCGCGTGACATTGGGTGGACAACAAGCACACTCGAACCACTCATGGCGCTGTGAGATATCCTGATCTGAAGAAGCCAGTTGATTCACATAAGTAAAAGCTTTCCCGTCCAAGCTCATGCCTGTCAAAACTGCATTATAGAGACAAAGCTCCATAATATCCGCGTAGTGGCTATCTAGTTCGATCTGGAATCGTTAGCAATCACCAATTCGCATGAAGTTGTCGAGGGAGTATAATAATACCTGCAGTAGCCTCTCAGCAAGCATCATGACTCCTATCGCTGCACATGTTTCGGCATAACATCCTCCTTCATCAGTACCTTGGGGTAGGAAGTAGTCGATCCCAAATCCTTCCCACTTTTTCATAGCCCCAATGCCTCCAGTCACATATGACTTCTTTTCAACCATATTGTACCATAGTCGATGCAAGGCTGGTAGAAACTTTTCCCCGACTTCACTGGTTGGTTGGCAAATTCGAACTAAATCTGCCACCGCTGTCAGAAGGTACATGGCACGAACAGAATGGCCTTCAATTGTCTTCTGGTCAACAATTGGAACATGAGCTTGTTGATACCAGTAACTTCTGGCAGCAGGGAAATACATCGGTAAATCATGCTCGCTTTCTCCACGAGCCTTTGCTTCAATGTCATAGTAATGGCGTTCTTCTTTTCCACCCTTCGGATTTCCTCTCTCCTCAATAAAGAATTGAGCTAGCTGCAGATGCTTTGGGTTTCTCGATATTTTGTACAAGCGCAAAAGAGCCAACTCAATCTCTGGGTGGCCGGGGTAGCCGGGAATCTGGTCTTCTTGAGCACCAAATGTAGCAGCTAGAAGATCCACATACTTTAGAATTGGGGAAAGCATTTCATCATTCTTGTAATGAAGGTGGTGGGCGAGGGATGCTTCAATAAGATGGCCTGCATTATACCTAATGTAAAGGTGATTGTTAGTCTTTGGCCAACAAACAAAGATAGGGCTTCCAGGAGAATATTACAGTTCATGCATGTCGCGCAAATTAGTGAAGCGCTTCCCTGGTTCCACCACAGAATAATGAATGTTCAGATAGCCATCTGGCTTCTGAGCTCCTCGGATCATTTCTACCAACTCTTTCACAGCCGCATCGATCTCCGTATCAAACTGATCCATAAGCAAGTAGCAAGCACCTTCAATCCACTTGGCCACATCGGAATCCCAGAATTGGTGATTGGGAATCGGATACACCGTAGGAGGAATAGAGTAGCTAGGATGCCACTTCAATTTGAACGCCTCATATCGACCGGTTTCCTTGAGCATGTGAAGCTGATGCCTCAATGTCTGAGTGCGAACCACTTCACGGCGACGAGCCCAAAATGAATTCGGTGCAAATTCCGTTGCAATAAAGCTCTCTTGCGGATAATCCATGGTCACTATGAGCCTTCCAGATTGTGAGATAAAAAGAAGAAGAGAAAGAAAGAAAAGCTTGCCCTCCACTTCCCAGATAGCCCGTTCCTTATACGTGCCTCGGATCGGGGAACAACCCCCTCGTCGGAATAGAAGATCGGAGTTTGAGCGAGCCCGTTCCACCCCACCCGTTTTCACGGTGAAGTGAGAAACCCGTGATGGATCTCCGCCGGTACATGGAGTATACTCCGAGCGGGATGTCCGTATGGCAAGACTCCGGTGGAGTTCCGGCGGGGCGTTCTCTGCCGAACACCAAAGCCGGGGTAGATAGAAGCTTATCCAATGACTCTTCAAACCCCACATTCGAAACCCGCTTAAGCTCTGAAGTTCTGGGGATCCCGCATGCACTCCAGACTAAACATCTGACCTCGATGTGGGGTCCCGAAGCTCCGGCTTTGCATTGTGTATATATACCACCTGGGAAGATCATCCCAAATGCTGTGGATTTTGCCCCGTTCTCAACTTCTGGAACTTGATCACGCGTCCTTTCAAAATGGGCATCGTAGAGAAGTTTCTTCCTAAAGATGACCGGTAAGAGCTTTGTGATTTGCTGCACATGTGTGTATGTTTGTTTTTTCCTTCCTTGGACGGTAACTCAACTAGGTCTTTTCATGCTTGTCCAGCTTCGCGGCATTGCTACTATATGGCATGGTGTTTTCGACCTGTTTCAATGGGTATGATGCTGGAATCATGACAGTCATTTTGGCCGATGATCAGTTCATCAGCTACTATGGGATCAACGCTGCGAAATCCGGTCTGGTGGCTACGATTCCTTGGGCCATGACAGGTCAGTTTCTCTATTAGCGATAGCCAACCTACTCAAACGATTTATAATGGTGTCTAACATTTCTGATGTGTATAGCTGTGGCTCAAATATACCTAGGAGGTACACTTGCTGCATGGCTAGGACGCCTGTGGGCTTTGCGGATTTCCATCTGCATCATGATCATTGGAGTGTATGCCACCTATCTCAAAAATAAAAGAAAAGGAAGTGAAATAAAAGAACCACTCGAGGCTGACTCTATAGAATCATCGAGGTCGTTCCAAATACCTTCGGCGTTTTGATCTTGGGTCGACTTTTAACGTGAGCTCTTCAGATCTCAATATCGATTTTTATGTTTACAAACTAATTGTGTTAGTGGTCTGGGATTTGGCTGTGTTTATATCGCAAGCAATCTCTATGTTGCAGAATGCGCGCCCACCAAGCTCAGAGGCAGTTTCGTCGGCACCGTCTCCCAGTTTGGCTACCAACTGGGTACTCTCATTGCCTTCTGGGCTGGCTATGGGATGTCCTTCCACAAGCACCCTTACAACATCGCATGGCGTGTGTCAAATATTGTTCAAATTCCTATCGGAATAGCCTTTATCTTTGTCTCATTCTTTTACCCTGAAAGCCCACGGTTTATGTTGGAACGGTACCCTGAGACACCTGAGCGAGCTATGAAGGTTCTAGCCCGGCTCAGATCAGGCGCTCCCACGGATGAGCGAATTCGTGCCGAGTTCCATGAGCTCGTTGCCTCTCATGAGTTCCGTCAACGATATGATCCGGGATACATTGGTCTACTCAAAGACAAAAAGATGCGGAAACGTCTCGCATATGGCTTCTATGCAGCAAGTCTTCAGCAGGTATGTGGTTTCCATACTGTGAGTAGATAGAGCAGACACTGACGACATACCCAGGTTGGCGGTATTGCTGCACTCACCATGTATGCCACTCTCATTTATGAGAGTCTCGGATGGAACTCCGGTTCGCAGGCACTGGCTATCAACGGAATCCAATCTTGTCTTCAGCTGCTTATTGTGCTGGTGAATACTTTCACTGTAGATCGATTTGGTCGACGCAGTCTTTTGATGGCCGGTTTCGCTATCCAGACAGTGGCTCTGTTGATCATGGCTTCTCTCTGCACCGCATTCCCTACCAATGGAAACAGATCCGCCGCCATTGCGGAGGTCGCTATGTTGTTCATTGTTGGTTTGACCTATTGCTGGTCCAATGGTCCCATTGCACCCGCCATCGTTTCGGAGATCTTCCCTCAACATGTTCGAGACAAGGTGAGTTTAAAACATAACCCGACAAAGAAAAAGGGTGCAGATGCTGATTCCATTCTTCGTAAAAGGGGTTCGGCTTGTCAATGCTCGGCCAGACATGCTGGCTTATCTTACTAACGCAATCATGGCCTTCCTTCAATGATAAAGTCGGAGGGAAGAGCTATTGGCTGCTATTTGTTCTTAATATGCTTGCCGGGGTAGGTTGTTCTTTGCGTCTTATTTCGGTAACACTGCTGATTAGCTTCTAGCTTTCTGTCTTCTTTATTCTCCCTGAGACCAAGGGAGTCTCCCTGGAGCGCATGGAAAAAATATTCGGAGGGGTGGATTATGTCGAGGCAGGCGAGTGTGAAGGGGGATCGGAGAAGATCGAAGCTCGTGCGCTGGGAACTGAGAATATTAATGAGAAGGCCCCTACCACTCATATAGAGGGTACCCCCGCCGTTGTGTCAGGACCGGAAAGATCCCTGGCCTAATCTATAGTCTTGACGAGTTTAATGTCGCAGGGAATGGGTTAAAAATGATAGTTTGGAATTTGTCATGATTGCTCTCGTCTAGTCGTGATGCCAATGCGAGTACTAAATTGAAAATATGCATACGCCACGTCAATGCAAACAGGCTTTTAAATCATTAAACCAACCGAAAAATCCATGCAATATTCATCTTGACGGTCGCCTGGTCAGCCCAAGACCAGCAGTCAATGTATCATCCAAAAAAGCCTGACCCACGGTGCTGATGACCGGTAGGTATGATTATTTTCACGTCCCCAAGAAATTGGGATTTGGTGACAAGTATTTTAGCATGGGTGTGGTATGTGAAGTACCAATGGGCCATTTATGGGCCAAAAAAAAAAGAAAATGAAAAGAACGGCCAAGCTGCCCAATCTTAGATGTGTGATGATGTGAAGTACCGCTTGATGGCTTGATCGAAGAAATTATCGGTGACCGAAAATGTCCATATACTCATCATCTTCCTCCTCCTCGTCATCCTCCTCTTCATCCTCCTCACCATCTGATGCCGAACCGTCCGAGGATTCTGCCTCATCCTCTTCATCGATTCCTGAGGGGCCCTCGGCTGATGTATCGCCGGCGAGGAATCCATAGCGATCTCGAAGCTTCTTGCTAAGATAATTGAAAGCACCATAATCTGTCTCATTGTCTGTTCGCGATGGTCCTCCAAAGAAGGGCGAAGATGAAGGTTTCTCGGATTCTCGTTCCCGGGGGAGGCCAAAATAGTTACTGACAACCGGGGAAACCGCACGGCCGTGGGTCATATTGTAGGAAACAAAGCGCTGCTCGAGTCCAATGGGTGTTGGTACACTGAGTCGTGACTCAGATACTGGGTTCGTGTTGAGGTGAAGTGCTCTCAATGACGTTGTCGGCTCCTCACTTGCATTCAAGGATGATGATCGTGTCCGCGGTGGCGGGGTGGATTCACTGACACCCTCGTCCGCAAGTACCGCAGATACGTCTCCATGCAGTAATCGTATCTGCGCTGTGTTGTAAGACTCGCACCTGTATTCATCAGCTTTGATTCTATCATATTTGACTCTCAAAACTCACAAATCACATTTCAAACCAAGCCAGTGGTATTGAACGACTGATTTCGCGCTGCAATCGTTACAATAAATGAGACCTTTGGTGTCCTTGAACTCGTCAGGCATGGGCTGGCTCTCGATTGTGCGATCCAGATTTCTGAACGTCGATTCCATGTTGGTGATAGTCTTGTTACAGATTGGACAGCGAAAAGAGCTTTTCGAGTATTCTCCTAGGCATTTATGATGAATGCTATGGCCACATCGCATCACTACCACTGTTTCTGGGGAGGTGAACATATAGTCGCCACAGATGGGGCAATCACATTGGGTCGATCTTTCAATACACCGATGTGTGTCCTCGATCGAAATGGGCAGACAGACGCAGCAAGTCTACAGAAGAGTGAGTATTACAGTTAAGGCATGTCGGAGGAGGATCCAGCTTACCTTGCAGTGGAAGAAGTCCTTCCCAAGCCCCTGGCCAATCCGACATATACCACAATCATTGCAGTGATAGATACTTTTCTCACAATCGTTGTCCCAGAGTTTGCAAATATCACAATAATATTGCGCACTCTGTTCACCACACTGCCTACAGTGCTGGTCCGCAGGCTGAGGATGGCCACACAGCATACACAGCATATTTTGCGTATCTCGGCGAACCAAAGGATGGTCTTCAACCTCGTCATGGCAGAAACGGCAAGTATACCATTTCTTACAAGTGAAGCACTGGAGTTTAACATTCCGAATATAGTGCTGGCAACCTAATGGCACCCCGTCCAACTCTTCCGTATCTGGGTCCTCGTCGCCTGTCTCTACCACAGGTGATTCAGGCTCAGCTCTCGGTGCATATGTAGGCTGCAGATCTTCGGCCGTAAGATTGAACTGGCTTTCATATTGGGGATTGGACGCAGCGAGTGTCGGACTCGCCGGGCTCGAGTCTGGTGATTTTATTCGGGGGGAAAGTGGGCTTGCTGGCGCATCCAGGCGAGGAGAATTAAATGTTGGAGAAGTTGGCGGTACTGGTCGAGAGGAGTTATAGCTCTCTGTCATGAGGCAATGCACCCTTCGTGCCTTTTCATTGTTATCGAGATCCAAATCGCGTATGGCATGGATTTTGTTCCTGAGCAATCCCATGCCATCATCCGCTGGTAATGAAACTTTCTCCTGCTCATCAGTATCAAAAGTCGGGCTTGGGCTTTGTTGAGTGTTGTCCCTTGTTTCTTGTCCAGGCCTCGGGTTGGTAGCGGGTGACCCGTTCGGTAAATCAGTCGGCTCGTCATTTTGGATAGACAAACGTTGATGATCCGTTGAATTGTTGAATAATGTGGTCCTGCTCGCTGCATGGGTTCGTTCTCCGGGTATGAGTTCGTCCGTCACAGGTCGAGTGGCCGACAGGTCTGCAGTGCGGCCATCCATGTCTTTCGGTAAGCTTGGAAAGAAAGGAGGGGTGGGCAAAGTCCCCGCATCTCCGGTATTGGATTCTGTTCCTCCGCGGTCGGAGTTTTGGTCAAGAAAGGTGGGTTCGTTGAGATTACTGGGTGAGGATGACTCTGTTGGTCCGCTTCGAGGAGATTCCGACTCCGGTGGAGCGTGGCGGGGAGGTGTGCGGGTAAGAAGTCCGAGGTCAGTCAGCAGCGAAGAGATGAAGCTGCTCATGAAGGGCTAGGGTCACATCTAGCAACATCCAAACAATATTTCTAATTGAATTAAAGCATACAATCATAAGATATAAAACCTTCAATGAACAAAGATTGAAGGTCATGTGGTTAGATGATGATTGGTGGTCTTGGCCACAGCACGGTTGGCATGTGATCGTGCTGAATCATCGTTCAATGTTGAATCAATCAATTAGACTGTACAACGACATCACACAGTTTAGTATGGACAAGAATATTAAGTACAAAAAAAAAACAATTTGCATAAAACATGGATGTCATTTATGATTCCACGGGTCTATGGATTCCAAACTTAAGAAATAAGCTATAGAATCAAGTTATATATATTATTTGTCGTTAAGATTGGCGACAGTCCAGAATGATATATCATGATATTTAGCTTTCGATCAATCCAGGCATGCAGCATAATTAGTTCCTATCCATAGTGGATGCGGAGACCCCGGGAGTGTTCATGCATCGCAATGAACAGAAAGGGGAGCTTCGAGAGCAACGTCATCGGCCCTGCTTTTTCCCTTGTCGGGGTGTCATGCCGGGTTCAAAGAACACTGACATTCGAGGCGTGGATTAACACATCCAAGCAAGTTCTGGTATGAACTTGAGTGGAAACCCTTACTCCTAAATTTCAGAAGAGTGGAGGGTTGAGAAGGTATCCATATTCCCATATTGGGAGAGTTGCTTTGGCGCCCCATTTGTGATTTATGCCCAAGGCGAGGTACGGGCGCCTGACGGAGGATCTTTGGTGCAGCGAATCGGAAATACAGTGGATCTATCTCCTCACTTCAGGCATGTCCCCAGACTCTCGTTTAGGCGTTCAAGTGTCAAATTATAATGCTCGTAAGCCTTTTTGCGGAACCGATCCTCTACCTTTCCGAGACCTAGAACCTTCAATCTGCAACCAAGTCAGAATCAAGCATATCCCGTTCTCCACCGCTATTATGGGGCCACCTACACGCGTGAGTCTCGGGCAATATGGGGTTGTTCCCAGTATCTCGCTAGCATCAAATTCTTCACAATTTTATGCTCTAGGCCCCGTACGTCGGCAGCTCGTTCCAAAAAGAGTAGGGTGTTGGCGATCTTAGAAGGGTCGAACTCGGAAGTGGGGGTGTGAGTCGAGCGAAAGGCATTTCGCATAGTAGATCGTAAGACATGCCGGGCAGGAGTAGAATATCGAATGGCTTTGAGAGCACCCCGATAGAGACTTCGGTATGCATGAAGTATGGGTTGATGGGAAGGGACCGTCATCGCTGATGTGGTGAAGAAGGAGTGGAAGAATCAAAGGACTTGAAAAAAAAAAAATATGCAAAATGAATAATACGTAGTATGTAGCAGGCAGCTATAAGTGTATTACCAATGTTTTCCATATAGCTGTCGCCGCTTTTATGAAGTTCAGAGAGAGCGCGCCCGGAGCTCCATGCGCGCAGGTCACGTGGTGATATGTGATATACCAAGAAGGGACTAGCCCCTGGGGTTATGCTCTAAGTCATGTACTAAGTAGTACATATCTCCTATAGACATAGTACTGCCTCGTACTCTATCATTCATATGCAATATAGGCGCCCAGTCCCAACCTGAAATATAGAGTACAAGTCCTTGGTTATTTAAGAGTCGATTTGTCATTTTAGAAATATTGAATGCCCTTACCGCTTACTTATAGCAGAGGAATGAATACCTTGAGGCTTGGTATACCATGGCGTACACCCCCCGCCATCTCTAAATTTATGTATTCTCTCTGGCAACAAGACCGCATATCTACTTCATATAAAGCAGCAAGAGGCGAGCACTAAAGTAGATGTATGCAGTGTACTGAAAAACAATACAGATAATAAGTACGGATACAGAGAGTATCAACAATCTAACTCGCGGAGCAAATCAATCTTGCTGCAGCCTCAGGCCCCACTTTCCCCAAAAGGAACAGGTGACTTTGGGCCGCAACACTTCTATGCCAATGTTCTCACTCCCTCACTTTCTTCAACTCTTTCCCCCGTTGGAAAAAAATTAGGGAGGGAAAAAAAGGGAATTTCCAGAATTTCGGGCAAACTTTACTTTACCGGTATGAGTTGGCTCCAATCAGTTTTTTGCATCCGAATTTCAATCAGATCCGATTGTGTACGGAGTCTCCACACCAAAAAAGTGGTGGTTTTTATATGAGCTGACCGCCCTACCTTGCGATAGTTCCATTCCTCCCTGCGATTTCCTCTCCCTCCGCGTCACCCCTCCGACCCGGAATCATGTGCTAGACCTCCTCAGCTGGTGTGGTGCTGAGTACCAACCGTTGGAGGTCAAACATAAAGAATGGCCCGAGTTGTGAGGAGAGCTGCCTCGGCTGCGGCCTGGCGCGCCCCCAGTCGGGCCATCGAGAGGAGAGCTCGAAAGCACAAAGTGATTATGGAGTCGGTGACCCAAGAGAAGAAAAAGTTACGAAGTGTTGTGGGTGTCCCTCTGGATATGTACGGTTTCGACACAGACGGAAGTGGCCTGACAATCTATATAGATCTGTTTTGAGGCGAAAGCACCCACGGGCTATACTTTCATACCCGCTGGAAATCCGCTTCTTACTACAGCTTGCAAGGAACGATGTCGGAAAGAAGGCTCTCAAATCTATGCGGTTTCGGTGAGAAGGACAATCATCTCTATAAGCTTGGACTTGCTTTTTAGGACGCTGCTCATTGATTCTAGACAACCCCTCATCAACACACCCACAACCTCTCTCAACATGTCCACCGCATAGGTTATCATTTCCCAAGCACGGTGGTCGCAGCAGTATGCTCGGAGCTCGGATTGTATCTCACCAATACAGGAAAGGCAGTCTCCCTCCACACCGTTGGCACTCTGAAGGATCGTCGCCCATCAGACTCTGATGTTTCCCAAGAGGTGATCAATACAGAAGCAAGGGACGCGATCAAGGATCTGTTTCCCAACGTCCCAGATAAAGATCTGTTTCAGATAATCAAGACATCATTTCAAAAGGTATGTTCAAATACAACCCCCGCTCGCCAGTTGTCAGATAGAGGATGCCTGACATCTACGATGTCAGGGTCAACGCAAAGTTGGTACAGCATCAGAATTACCTTTAGCTCGCCGAGCACAGTTGGCAGTAGTGGCCCATGTCCGCCACCTCTACACTGACTATGACCGACTTCTTAAACAGGGGTCATTCCAGGAGGCCAGATCTGCGGTCGAGCAACCCACTTTGGCCAAAGTTGTTGCATGGCGTGGTGATGATGAGAATGGCCAGACTCAGCTTGAAGATGTTTTCCGGGAGGTCATCGTAATATCGGATGATGAAGACAGTGAAACCGAGGAAGAATCGGCCACTACTGATACCCTGGACTACAGTGTGGAAATTTTGTCGAACACGCCCAGGACCCATGAGATTCAGACTCAACCCATAAGTGCAGATTCTGTACCCATACAGGATGCCACTCGGGAGCTTTCCGAAGAGGCGCCACCTGGTTTCCGAATTATCCCCAAAACTACTACTCAAAGCACCATCAATCGGCGAGGATTTAGTAGATACCAAGCCTGGAATCGTGCTTTGCATAGATACCGTGCTGAAGCTCAAGGCACCGAGCAAACTCGGCATGGTGATGTCTCTCCGGAACAGCAAAGTCCTCGATATGCGAAGCGACCTGCTGCCACCCAGGAAAGTTTGGAGCCCATACGGCGCCGAGAAATTTCTAACCTTCCTGTGGAACCCACTCCCAGACCCATCTCAGGCTCTCAGTATGCTGAACAACCAATTCAACGACTGCCTCCAGGCAGGACTCACGTAGGTACTGTGGACAGACGTGTTCTGTTAGAAGGGGAACGCCCATTCACTCAGCTCGGGACCATGGGAAGGCCTCCAGCACTAACCGCACAGAGACCACATGAGATACGCCTCACGGAAACAACCCCTCGCTGGAACGTTCATACCAATCACCCTCAAGGTAAACTTCAGTCTATTGTTGATCCAACGCGACTTGAAAGGGTTCCTATGCCATCAAACGACCGATTCAATGCCCCCGTATTTGTGGGTGGTCCCAGGGAGTTGCAACAAAGCAATGAAAGCCAATTTGGTCCAAGGACTGAACTCGCCATGCCCTTCCAGGCCCGACCGGGGGCAATCTCTCAGGATCAAGTTCTCCCTTCCATTGAAGCTCCTTGGCCCTTGGAAAAACGGCGAACGGAATTCCGTTTGGAGCACTTGACTAAAAGAATGTCGCTTCGGTCCGTAACCCCAGTTCAACCCCAAGGAGAGAATCATGGCAATGGATCTGGCCCAGGTAGCCCGGAAGATCAAAATTGCAAGCGGAGAAGATTGGCGTACTACGCTGGTCCTCACCCGGACTCCCGTCCTGATACTTGGAATGCAAGACCTACTGGAATCCCGGTTCCTGATGAACAGGGTCCAAGGGTCCAGTATCGCCGCGATGAACTCGGACCCGAGCATCGTGCACAGGACGTGCAATATCTGCGCCGGGACCACCCCCCTCCAGGTGAACAGCCTCTGCTTATAGGACATCAGCGTGAAAGACAAACTGGTCCTTTTATTCCGCAGGTCATCAGCTTGGATTCAAGACGGGATTTGGACCGCACACACCCCATGGATTCATTGGGGCATCTTCCTATGCACCCCTACCAGCCTTCTACTGGACAAAATGGCATGATGACAGCTGGCGATCGAACATTCAGAGCGACGCCAGATGTGTCTCGCCCTGAAGTTCGCTCGTACTATGGCGATCGTAGCCCCCGCATGGAGCATATCCGTCACTCAACCCTTCAGGAAGTGCGCCCCTCCATCTGGAACCCTCGTATTGATGGTGACCGTCCCGTGGCCCATAATGCTCCCCACGGAAAACATTACGCTGATGGCTTTGTTCGCTCGGTGGATGTTCGCGAGGCTCGCGAGCTTCGTCCGGTTGACTATTCCCTTGAGCGCCCAAGACTCCAATCTACTCGCGGGCCAGAAATCTCCATCCAACCAAGCAGGACCAGGATCCCTGACCAAGTGCATGCCAAGGATTTTGTTCAGCCTCGGGCCACTTCGGAGCAACGCCTCCCAAGTCCCCTAGTGATGCATAACTTTTACCACCAGACATCCAGCTATCTAGACACTGTTTCAGGGAATCGTCAGCCTCAAGGACGTGTACCCACTCCCCGGGAAAGACGGCCTGGCAGCGGACTAAGCACCACGCGGTAAGCCTTCTATATGGGACCGCAAACAATGGACTCGCGCGCATTCTTCTGGATATCTTTTTTCTTCCCTGATGTACACTAACATGGCTTTACAGACGCGTGCATGATCCCCGAACCTTTCAGATGGCGGAACAGAATCGCCCTGTCTATGTGCAACGAGTTGAATCGCAGCCGCCTCAGTATCCTATGTCAGATGGAAGGCCTGTGATCGTCGTGGATTGAAGAATCTTAATGAGGCGTTCTTTATCAGAGGTGTTCTCTTGTTTTGTTTTCTTTTTTTGTTGAGTCATGGAATTCCGGCGCTTGCATTCTGTTATCTTTTGGTCCTGTTTTCCATGATACCCATCTGCATGATCTTAGAACGCCTGCGTTCATGGGACTTTTAACAAATACTTCCCAACGTTTATGGTCTGGAATCAGACTTTTTTCTCCACCCAAGGTTACATACAAATTCATGTAAATCTACATCTAGCATTGAGTAGTTGTAAAGATGTCCCGGTGTTGGGATGCAAAAGGAATATTGCGCTTATTATGAGAAGCTCCCTGTCCTAGAATCAAACCACCAACATGATGTCGCCCAGGCCAAAACCGACTCAATGCTTGCTTGTAATATGATATAGCCTCTGTGCATGGTTTCAGGTCCAGATTAATCAATCACATGACAATCCATTTAAACACTCTTAGTCTCGCCATCCGCTTCGCCGCTGTTCACAGTCTTGCCCGTCTTCTTGATTGCGGCCAGCACGGTATCATAGGAAACAGTAGGCTCGGTGGAAACGGTTGCCGTCTGGGTTTCGAGGCTGACGTCGAAGGATTTGACACCTGTATTGGAAGATTAGCTTCTAGCTTTATTCCGGACACTTGGAAAGTGGAAGAGAGATTATTGAGGTGCTAAAGTACCTTCAAGTCTCTTGAGAATGCGCTCGACGGCACCGGAGCAGCCGCCGCAGCTCATGGACACATTAAACTTGTACTGGTGGTCGGACATGATTGAAGATAAAAGATCGGAGATTAGGAGCGGGGAGTGCGGGGGACTGAGATTCGGCAGCGGAAAAAAAAAATAAAGAGATGTGTGGATCGGAGAAAGTTGGAGTTTAGAGATTCAGATCCAAATGATGAATATGTAGGAATAAATACGAATCATAAATTGGAAATGAAATATAAAAGAAAAACGGAGAGGTTCGGGGATGGAAAATGTATTTATAATCCACATAGTTTTGCTGCGTGATCCATCCCTTCCATTGAGCCATTTGTGCTATTGGGGTTGGCCTGTTTCAGGTGGACTTTCAGCCTGCACATGTGTAATATAAGCACAGAGTATTCACCAGCATTATCTTACATAGTAGGTCTTATATTAGAATATGGTATATGAATAGTATTCCCGAAATTGTTTGATCTTATATTTTGTTTTTTTATGATATTGTTGATATATTGATGGGCTTCGATACCCTAGAAACCTCCCTTCCTCTTCTTCTTAACCTTGAGGCTCTTTCTCACTTCCCGTGTCCCAAATAGTCCTCGTTCGATCTGGCTCATGGGGAAATCCCCGATCGAGGGCTGACTGCTTGCCAATGGTAAGCGTTGATCAGGCTGACTACCCCAGGTTCGAATGGAAGGGGCGCTGGGTGTGGGTGGGAGGGGTGATGCGGTGATAGTGGGGGTTTGCTGCGACAGTTGTGACGATAACTGTGATAACTGTGATCGCTGTAATCGCTTCTTACGACGTCGGGATAGTTCCTGAGCCTCCTCGGCCGAAGAGACTTTTCGCCATTTGTAGGCCGAGGGATCAGTCCCCACCTCCCATTGGGACAGCATGTTGGTGATATTTCGAGGCAAGGGACGAGGGGGTTTTTTGAAAGTAGTGAATGCAGAGAGACTACTGTAGGCTGCTGTAGATGATCTCTCCTCTTCTGGAGCTGGCTGGGAGCTTCCATCATAAAATGCTGTTATTTGGCTCGATGGAAGTTGTGAGGATGCTGGTCCTTTTGCTTCAGGCAAGGCAGAACCAGCTAAGGTAGCACTGGTGGACCCATCTGGCTGCGATGGTTCAACGACCTTGCGCTCTTTGGAAATTCGAATTAATCTTGCCAAGAGAATATCGAGGGCGATACCACGAATGATTCTCTCCTTCATCCGACGAGTTGGATTGGGTATGTCATGTGGGATGTTGGCGAGCCACAGTTCAACAAGTCGGTCATAAGTCTCCAAGAAATCCAGACTTGACTGTTTCTCTTGCGAAACCACTGGCATGCCTGGGAACATCTTGGAAAATTGCAGTGGCAGAATCATGAAAGGGTGATCAATTTCAGGATCTTGAGTCTCTTGAAGGACAGTTGACACGAGGCGCTTCAAGTCGTACGCATTTTGATCAATATCATTTGATACTGGTCGACCACCGGTAATCTCAAGCCTGGAAAAAGTTAGTCAATGATGGGCCCAGAGCAGCCTTTGTCTTAATAAACTCACATTGATTGACTGGTATGCCAGTTTTCAACACCGCCAATTATTTCGCTTTCTAGGTTTCCAATGATGTGATCAAAAGTCGGCCGAGACCGCTCTAATTCTGCTTGAGCAGCACAGCCAGCGATATCCTCCAAGGCAAGTTGATAGATGGGAGTCCAGTTCAAAGTCCATTCCAAGTCTTCGTAGGTAGATGTAAGATCGGTTGATTGTTCCATAACTCGGGGAGTCCTTGTAGACTCATCCCAGTCGTTCACCACGAAATCAACGTCAACTTCATGGCTTGGTATATTGAGATGGTGTTCACTCGCGCGAAGGATATGACGGTCCTTCAAGCCATTTTCAATTTCCATGCCTGTGTCCTGCTCTTCTTGCAAGCTCTGACGTAAGCCCTTAAAAAGTGTTTCATGTACGGCGAGTGATGAATCTATCCAGAAAAGCTTGATGAGACTCATATCCGGATTGTGAAGGGTTGTTCCAGGTGCAGGAGAATGATCGACTTCTTTGAACAACAAGGTCATGCAACGGAACCGTTTATTAAGAGAGTCCTTTAGTGCTGATTGCAGATGCAAGTAGAAAGCATCTGGACCAACGAATGGCTCCGTTTCAGGGTCATTAACCAAGGGACACGGGAATATTTGTAGAAGCTCCGTGACTCGGGAGTACAAGGCGAGATACAAATCTGTTTTGTGTTTGGGTCAGTATCGTAACAATGAGCAGAAGGCGTGTGGACATACTGTCTCTGATTAATAGATCACTGAGCATCAAAGTTGTGTCATTAGCATCTCGAAAATGACGCCTGACCAGGGATGATTCTAGAGGTAGCTTCTGGCCATCTTCATCTAGAGTTGCAGTTTTCAAATCAAAATGCAGCAGCCGATATGATGTGAGAATAAAGAACTGTGAAAGGTTTTGAATGTTCTTCTTCACGTCTATGACCCATTCCGGTTGACGACCCATCCTCAACTGGATGGCGCGGGATCGAACATTCTCTCCCTCTATCTGGAAAAGCATGACAGATTTTCGATTAGCAACCAATATTGTCGAGAAATCCACATATTGAATGGATCCCCAGCCATCGTCCTCAGATCCATCGGCATTCATTTGATCAGGTGTTGACAGCGAGCCTTTGTGGCAGAGTCGTGCAAAACCATCCGCTGTTCGTCGTTTACGACGGGTTTTTATTTCCCAAATGCTCCAGTTGCCCATGGTGTCAATGATAGCTAACTGTTTCTGGTACCAAGGGTTGAATGCTACATCAGCATGCGGGAAACCGCCAGTATCCGAGTTCGATATCTCGGTGACGGGGTTCGCGTCTAGGCGAGAGTTTCGTAAAGAAGAGGGGATCATCGCGGGGTCATCATGACGAAGTTGCATATGTCCTGGGTTGTGGTGATATAGAGGCCGAAAGACTGCGGTCGACTCTAGGAGGCGAGCAGCCATGTAAGTAGCTTGGTCGTCATCCTCGAAGGGTCGCGAAAAGCAAATTTGCTGGATCTGAGCTCCTTGTGTTGACCATTCGGTGGTTTCTTCATTACCAATGGATGGTACAAGTACTGTAGACTCCTCAAGTGGCAGCTCCACGGTATCCTCAACTACCACACGTAGTGAGATGACGTTCCTACACTCTCCAGTCACAGCCGCTGCGATTGGGATATGACTGGAACCCTCAATTCCAAGAACTGACGCAAATCCCAAATCCAGTAGCGTTGATATGGGTGAATCAGATAGCGGCAAATTGTGGGAGGAATCTTTGCGAATGGAGGACCAATGTACACCTAAATCCGGGTGTGCCTCTGGGATCGAATTCGGATTGGGTGGTCGGCCATACGGTCCGAATAGTTTGCTGCTGGGATTGTGTTTGGGCGATTCGATCACTGTCTTTGTCGCTCCTGTATACGAGATTGATGGGCCTGGGTTAAGCGTTCGAGAGAAGCTCCAGGATTCGGTCTCTGTGGAGTAGAAGATTTTCCCCAAGTGCCCATAGTGTAGAGCAGGGTCGAATTTATCACCCATCGGATCTTGCTGTGCTTCTTGCGAGATGCGCAAGACCCGGCCAGATCATGTCGAGGGTAGGGAAAACCAAGACCCAATTAAAGAGGATGGAGCTGCGTAAAGTCGCATGTCATATAGTGGAGTTTTTTTTTTTGGAAGGTCCCTTATCGATAAGAACTCCATTACTCCGTTGCGCCGCCAACCCAAAACATTGACCTCTCACATCTCTTTCCACGCGTTTTCGAGGCAATCCAATATTCATTCATCGCGTCAAACTTCATTGCCTCTACCACAAATCATGACGTCCGCATTTGATCCGTCGCTCTCAACGAGTGGCATGCGCCCTCCCCTGGCCTCGGCGGATGCGCCATCCATGGCCGACTCCTTGCCTAATATCAACTTTGGGTTTGAGGACCTGCGCAACCGCATGGCACAATTCACTGTGAAATTCGATGCGTTCATTGAACGAGGGCGCAAGCAAGTTCTAGAGGAGAGGAATCAGTTTCATATAAATCTCGCTGAATTACAAGGTAGGTTGATGTATACATCGCTTTTCAACCCCTCCATCCCCGCTCTCATTGCCTAACTTTTGAAACAATAGAGGACGAACGGATGCGACAGCGTGATATTGAGATTTTGAACCTCAAATCCCAAACTCATGAACAAACTCTTCAGAAAGAAGCGGCCGAGGCGGCTGAAATGCACGCTGCCATTTCCTCCATCACCATGCAACGCGACTCCCGGCTCGCAAAGCGGGACCGTCTCAAGCAACAAATTGCAGAGACTCGAAAGGCAATCAATCAAAGGCTAGAGGCACAGAAGAACCACGCAAAACAACTGGATGCGCAATCTCGGCTCAACAACCCAGAGTTAGAGTTCTGGCAGGATTACCTCTGTTTACGGATTGAAGGGGCAGGCCGTGAGGACCGGTTGAAATTTGTTTACAGTCACGTTGTAGAAAAGGACTGGGAATCGGAGGCCTGGTTTGAATTGGGAACCGCGAGTCGCGATTATGAGGTGTTTCATACCCGGCCCAAGGTCGATCGTGAGGCTCTGGAACGCGAGGTCGATCTTGTCAATGAGGACCGGGACTTTGGCGCTTTCCTCAAGCGAATGCGCAAGTTATTCGTGGAAACCATGAATTGAAGAAAGTTTATTGGGGTGTATATATCTTCTAAGACATGGAATTCATGAGTTTAATGCTAAAGTGTTACCATTTTCGCCAGAAATTATCAAATACGGGCCACCGGTACATGCAATGTTTTGCTTCTTCAACCTCCAGTAGCCTCGCGGTAGAAAGCAAGGTTTTGGCTTGCGCCGGCGGTCACAAAGGCTGCTGATCTTCCGTTACTGGGCAGCCACTTGGCGCTCCATAAGGCCTTTTCGGAGTAGGATTGGGTGGCAACACACAGTTTTGTGTCCATGGACCAGACCTTGGCCTTGCCATTGAACGAGCTGCGCAACAAGGTAAGCAATAGGCTCTGTTTGTTCAAGGGAGGGGGGTTTGTATGAATTACCTGCTGAGAAGGTACTCCCCAGTTGGGCTCCAGGAAAGGGACAATACCCAACCATCATGGCCTGAGAGGTTTCCAATCTGTTCCCCGGAGGATGTGTCATAAAGAAGAATCACATTGGAATCTCCAGCTGCGGCCAGAATCTTCCCTCCGGGAGAGAAAGACACTGATCGAACTGGCTTTACCAAGCCTGCAAATACTGTTAGCAAAGTCTTATAGAAGTCTGCGAGCCTATGGTACAGCATGACTTACCGGACAGAGAGAATGGCATCCGGCCTGTTTCGGTGCTAAAAATGTAGACAGCTCCATTTTCATGTCCACTGGCAATGAATCGGCCATCGAGAGACTAGAGCTGTTTAATAGATATGACATGTGATGAGAATTCTGTGGGGACTTACCAGGTCGATACAAGTGCCAAAGCTACCCTTGGTTTCATGGTCTCGAATTTGGGTCCCGTTGTCACCTAGATCCCATACTCCAATTCGGCCATCTTGAGAGACACCGGCCAGATACTGTCCGTCATCTGCCAATGCCACTGCCCATACTCTCACTTTGGCTAGGCTGGCTATTATTTGGTCAGCATGGTGTATTTAGACCTCTCATATCAATTGGAGATAAAGACGATACCTGAAGAAGCCTCGTCGTGAGACCAGTGGCCTTCTTGGCAAGACCAGACTTTTAGATCGCCTGCAAAGCCTGCACTGACGGCACGAGAGCCATTGCCATTGGTGACCACATGGTGGCAGCCCAGAGGGTGAGCTTCTTCAATTGACTGAACTAGCGGGAAGTCTGCCTCTGTGATGGAATGCACCTTGAGAGACGGCGCGCCCGATGCAGAAAGAACATGTTTATCCGTTACCGCCAGTGAGAATATGTCCACGGGGTGCGCTGAGTTGAGCGATTAGCTTCCCCGTTAAGTGTAGGCTGATAACCGTGGAATAAATCAAACGATGATCACTCACCATTGTCTGCGGAGCCCCACGTGAGGTATTGTCGTGACTGTTGCATGTTAGCCTAGAACTTGTATTCGATATGGGTTATGCTAAATACCATTCTTTGTTTGGGAGCAAAGAACGCAGTTTGGAGCTGGCGGTTCGCGGTTTAGGGGCGGCGGTTCGTGGTGTTGGAGGTTTGGCAAGGCGGTTCGCGAAATGACGTTCGTCCCAATTGCCCGCATTCCGCCTCGACCCCAGTTGACTTTCAACTGCTTTGTTTTTGGAGGTACATGATTTGCTCTTACTGTCTCTCGATGCTACTCTTTATTTGCTATGAGATACTTGATAATTGGGAATTTGTCGGAATTGATTGTCAATTGACTGGAGGTCATCGGGACCTTTGGAATAATACAAGTTTTCTTTGTCCCCCACGTAACCAGACGCCGGGTGCCATGCAGCAGATCGATTGTATCTGCAGATCTCCCAAAAAAAATCAAAGAAATAACTTCTAGAAATACACAAATCATTTTATCTTCGCAATTGAACGAGTCAAGTATACTCGATCACGCGATCATAATCCTCTATGATGGCCACTTTATGCGGTTTGAACGGGCTCAGACCTCCACGATTGCTGGATATCTATTCTCAAAGTTAGCTTCACAGTTCCACCTTGTTTTGCTTCCTGTCCCTTCTCCCTTTCTCTTGGAGACTCCATGCACATCAGCAGGATATGACATGGCGACTCCGGTGAGAAAAGATTCTCTTCCACCCACAGACACAACGTACCTTTCACGCAGGTGGGACACAGCAGATGGGCGCGCTTGATCTGACCGCAACCCGGGCACTTGTTGAGACTTTGAACATCCTTCAGAGCTTTTCCGGCCATTTGACGATGACGCTTCTTCATGTGTGAGGTCTTCTTCTTCGGGACGGCGCGGAGGACTGAGTCCCAGAGATCGGACAGTAGCGGCGGGATAGTGATGGAGATGGAAGGCAAGGCGATTGCGGCGGAGAGGAGTCCGAATCGTGGAAGCTGAGGAAGCGCCCTCGAGAGTGGAAGGGACAAGGCCATGGTGTGAATGGGGGTTGTGAACCGTGTGATATGTCAGGTATATATGGGGAAAGAGTGAGGTTCGTTCCTTCCTAAAAAGAATCCAATTCGGTTTGCGCGTAAATACGCTAGTCCCAAAGTGGTATAGTGTCCACCCCTGAGTTGTCGATAGGGAAAGAACAACTTAAGGGGCTTCAGGACCTTTGGATTGTTTCTTCTTGAGGTTGCTTTTGCTTTCGGGGAAATCTTGACATTCGTTCTCTTTAATATACCCCTCCCCTCTTGCAACTTTTCCATCTCCCCACACTTTCTCCCCTCATAATGGCTGCCGCTACCACCTCTGCCACGGGTCAACAGCCCACCGTCTTCCCCCACAGCCATGTCGGTTTCGATAGCATCACCTCCCAGATTGAGCGGAAGCTGTTGAAGCGTGGTTTCCAGTTCAATGTTATGTGTGTTGGTACGCGCAGAACCTTTATTTACTACCCAATGATTCATATAGGTCACTTCTAATACTCGTAAACAGGACAAACTGGTCTGGGCAAGTCCACACTGGTCAACACCATCTTCGCGTCCCACTTGATCGACTCCAAGGGTCGCCTCACTCCCAATGAGCCCGTGCGCTCCACCACCGAAATCCAGACCGTCTCGCATAGTACGTTACAAATCTTGGAGAGGAACCTTTTGAGCCCAAAGAGATTCGCAATGGCTCACGGATTCACTAGTCATTGAGGAGAACGGCGTGCGTCTCCGCCTAAACATCGTCGATACCCCCGGTTACGGAGACCAGGTGAACAACGACCGCTGGTACGAATACACAATATTTCCCCCCTCCTTGGATTAGTGATGTTCTCCCCTCCCGCTAACACGACATCAGCTGGGACCCCATTGTCAAGTACATCAAGGATCAGCACTCCGCATACCTTCGCAAGGAGCTCACAGCTCAGCGTGAGCGTTATATCCAAGATACTCGTATCCACTGCTGCTTGTTCTTCATCCAGCCTTCTGGTCACGCGTGAGCCTTTCCTGCAATCCGATACGAAGCTCCGGTCTTCAAGCTCGAACCCCCACCAGCTAACGTACAATGACCATCCAGTCTCAAGCCCATCGATATTGTTGTTCTGAAGAAGCTCTCCGACGTTGTCAATGTCGTCCCCGTTATCGCCAAGGCCGATTCTCTGACTCTTGAGGAGCGCTCAGCTTTCAAGGAGCGCATCAAGGAGGAGTTCGCCTTCCACAACTTGAAGATGTACCCCTACGACAACGGCGAGCTTGACGATGAGGAGCGCGCCATCAACGCTCAGATTAAGGTGAGGAATTTCTGGGGATATCCAAATGGTGTATATTGATTGGGACATTGGATATTAACCCCGAACTTGTAGGACATCATTCCCTTCTCGGTTGTCGGTAGTGAGAAGACCATCGTGGTCAACGGCAAGCAGGTTCGCGGACGTCAAAACCGCTGGGGAGTTATCAACGTCGAGGATGAGAACCACTGCGAGTTTGTCTACCTGCGCAACTTCCTCACCCGAACTCACCTCCAGGATCTGGTGGAAACCACCAGCCAAATCCACTACGAGACCTTCCGTGCCAAGCAACTGTTGGCCCTGAAGGAGAGCAGCGCCGCTGGTGGCCACACCGGTGGCAGCCGTCCCATCAGCCCCTCGGCAGACCGGGAGCTCAGCCGCAACTCGCAACGTGCGGCCATGAACGGATACTAATTCCGCCCATCAGATGGCGTTGTATTTGCCCATCTTTGGTGAACTGAGTGATGTGTAATGGTCACCTCTGGACAACATCGTTCTGAAAAATTACCTTTCCCCTTAGACGGGACTTTGCAGATATCCCCATTTTCCTTTGCGTCTCCTGTTTTCCTCCTCTCTCCTTCTCCCCATTTCGTGTGGATGAATTCCGGCTTTTTTTTCTTATTACCATTTGTATTGCAGGAGAAAGTCTTTTGGTATCCAGCGCTTGTGCTATCTGGTTTCCTCCATGTACTTAGTTTCCTTAATTATCCCTGACGAGAAACTCTTATCGGTTTGCATTATTTTTCTTCTTTTCTTTCAGGTCATCTGCTACTTTGACTTTCGCATACATACATATAAGGTATATACTAAGTATACTCTTTAGTTCCTGCTCCTAGTTGCATGTGTACTTAGGCTCATTTCGACCCGGGTGCAACGCTTGCCAGCCTTGCTTGGTCCAGAATGGAATTCGCGTCGAACGCCCTAGTCTGCGGGTTTCGAACAGGACTGGGCAGAGAGAATCAGGCACTTGTGCCGCGATGGCCATGTATATTCATGGATCTCCTGGTTAATATTCAAGGTCCAGGGCGGCTACACCCATCGAGCGACACAAATTGCCGGTAGATAGCTCACCGCCAGAGAGTATGTATATGGAAATCCCCAAATATACTACTAGTACGTATAAAGAAATTACAAGAATTTAGAAAAGAAGCATAGGAATATGTACCAGGACAAGACCTGTGGAGACGGAAAGTGTGGATATGGAAAAATAAAAGTAGTTGGTGTGTGGTGAAACTACCAGTGGCAGAGATTGCCAACATTTGAACTATTTTGTTCGAAACTGTACTTCTATGCAAGAACCAAACGCTTCACATTATGATCGAGCGGGCCCGGGCCCAGCATGACTTCCTCTTCTCGACGCGCTCAAGCTGCCCGCCTCTGCTTCTTGCTCTAAGAAATTGGACCATAGCTCCGCTAGCGTTTCCTTGCTGGCTGCTCCATTGTCCATGAATTCGGCTAGGTTGGGTGTGCTGGGAGTCCGTAGGGGAGTCCCGGGAATCCGAAGTTTGCCAGAACTACTTGAAGCGCCTGGTCGAGCGAGCCCAGCTTGTTCTCGTTGTTCTGGATAGATTTTTAAGCGGGTACGTTCGATCAAGTTATGTAAAGAGTATAATGAGACTCACCATCATCCCAGCCCAGGAGGGCTGCTATGAGCTGCAGGATTTGGAACTTCTTGGGATCCGATCGATCTAATGCCAGGAAATGCAGTAGGTGATTGGTCACGATATATCTAGAGAGAGGTTGATCAGTAAGGAGTACTCTAGGAAAATCGCATACTCTTGGGTACTCACCGATCCACGTTATCTTCTGGTTTCCCCTTCTTGAGGAATCGCAGGGCCTTGGTGAGGTGGTCGTTCAGCGTGACTGCTTCATGACGCAGCTTTCCGATGAGAAGGTTCTTCTCCTTCACTTCCTTCTCGAAGGGCCGCACTCGATCCAGCTCCTCCTGTGCGGATCGAATGTTCTTGTCTGCATCGTTGGCTTGTTGCTGTGCCTCTCGTAAAGATCGTCTCAGCTCCTCCAATTGAGAATCTGAACTCTCGACCAGCTCACGAAGCTCCTGTTTCCGAGCTGCTTGGATCTCTTGCAATGCTCGTTGCAGACCATCGACAGTAGATTGCTGAGTGTCGCGATCATTGGTGGCTTTTTCGTAGGCATCGCGGAGGTTAGCGAGTTGCTCCTCGAGGTCAACAACTTTTTCGCCCAAGTTCTCCCGAACAGACCGTTCCTCCATGGCAAGCACTTCCCAGTTATGCATGGCTTCCTTGGCCTGTTCGAACTCGGATTGCAGATAAGACTCCTGCTCGAGTAATTCTTGCTTCTCTTTCAGCCAATTCTGCTGAGACAATGTTGTCCGGTCCCGCAGCGTCGCGATCTCTTTAGATTGCTGAGCCGATTCATCGCGGAGGTCCGCAAACTCCGTTGACTTGGATTCGAGCTGTGACTTTAGATTTACGTTCTCGTCCTCTAGCTCCTCGATCTGAGATCGCGCTTGGGCCAATTCCTCCTATAAAGATTGTATGAGCAAGAATTTGAGAAAGTCAGTACGAATTGAGTCAATGCACGCACCTCATCCTCCTTGAGACGCTCTCCCAGTTGGGATTTAATGATGTTCACCCGCTCCAAGAGCTTCTGGAACTGAGTTTCTGCCTGTTCCTTCTTGGACTCTGTATCTTCCAATTTCTCCTGTAGAGTCTCTGTTTCTACTCGGTGTTTGGACTGGATCTCTTCGAGTGATTTCCGCAGGTCGGTGACTTCGGCCCGGAGGGAGTCTCGGTCTCGAACCAGCGCATCGAAGCGGTCTTTGGGCTCTGACTCGGTCGCAATCTTGGTCGCGGCGGGTTGGATATCTTGCGCCTCGCGTAGTACATCACCGGATTCGTCACCATTGGCCGATTGATTTAGCGCGCTGCTATCGGGTGGAGGGGCATCGGTGGAGGGGTTTTCTACATCGTCGCCTGGTCCATCGGGATCGTCCTGAGATCCTTAGCACGGGAGTTACATTGGGAGTGAGGGAAATTCTGTTGTAACATACCTGAGCTGTATCCTCGGTCTGGTCAGGAGCACCTACCGACTCGGCATCGGCCTGTTCGGCATTCTCCTTGGCTTTCGCAGCCTTCTTCTTGTTCTTCTTTGATTTCGCGCCTGGTGGGAGATGAGTGGAATGTCAAAATACAGGAGAGGGGGGGTGTGTGCGCGCACCTTGGGACGAAGAATTATCAGGCATGCTGGGTGGTTGTGGAAGGGGACTTGTAGAACCCGGGATTGAGAAGGGAAGCTGTCAACATCTCTCGCTGGGGCCCTTTCCCGCCCCCCCGGGAATCGCGATGATTAATCCGTCAACGTCAAGTGATAGTTAACCAAGTATACGAAGTATCAATTGTAAAAGAAAATTACTTGTAGCTTTTTGCTATGCTTCTTAATTAAGGGCTTGGATAGCCAGATGGGTTATTGTTCATATCATATGTAATTAAATTGAGTAGTTGTAGGGAAATTATACTTGTTGACCTGCATACTATACATGTCGTACCTGATCCAGTACACCTGAAACGCATATATAGATAATCAATGATAACACTTGACTTGTCTCTATTCTTGATCTCTATCAACTGGAGATGACAGATTCATTCCCTTCTAATTTAACTATTTGTCATACATAAGCTTCTCAGTCATCTAACTATGTTATTTAATAAAACTTCAATCAGTAATATGCATACGTATACTATACGCAAATGATAATATCTGGGCTAGACTAGTACAAAACCTTGAGAACAATATTCTACTTGCACCGCTCAAGCTGTAAACATTGAATATAAGTATATACTTGGGTATATCACTATATTATGTATGTACCTGGTTAGAGGTTTCATGTATGAAGCGCATAGGGCTGTCAACATAGAATGATCATGTCGAGCATGAGCCACTGATGTTGAAGCTACTAGTTATCTACGAAGCGCATAAATTGATTATAGACGCCCAGGCAAAGGCTTCGGCCGAACTCGAAAGTTTAACTCTCGAGGTACCTTGACTCTTTACTCTTTGCTCTTTCCTCTTTTCTCTTTCCTTGCATGTTCCGTGTGCTCCGTATAGCGGATCGGCTTCAGCCACGTATTAGAGTTGCGTGTGGAGTCTTCACATCCGACTTCCGTTTTTTTTTTCTCTCTCTTCTTATTCTCATTCTTTCCATAACTCCCGAAGAGAGAAAGGCACAAAGAAAAGTTTGCACAGGAAAAAAGCCCAGGCGAAAAGCTTTTTATGTGGGGGAAGCAACTGGACTTCAATTCCGGCGCAATAGCCTGTCTGGGCTTTAGCTTCCTTTCCGGTCGGTGCGAACCGTTCAACTCCACTCCTGGCAAGGCGAACCTGGGCTAAACGCTCCAACACTGTTGCTCATTTGCCATCTAATTTCCGGAATGCAGGTTTGGCCTTGAGGGTGGCATGATCTCATATATCCCAGCAGTTCGTTCTAACCTTAACGAGAGGGGCTCCATCGATCGCGCCTCTATCGAGAGACATTCTGAAACGGTCCGGGAAGCGCGAGATCAACGGAGATGACCTAGAATGAGTCTCTCAAGGAAAAGAGTGTTTTCCATAAGTGGAGATAAGGTCAGAGTGGATTAGAGAGAGTAAGTGCCGAGTACTCCGTTTGGGAGTATGTCTGTGTGTATGAGCAAGAGAGAGAGAAAACACAAACACGCAGAGAACCTCAACAGCCCACAGCTTATGGGCCTTGGTGGACAAGGAGTTCGACCTGCGATGAAGACCTTGTCCTTTTCTCTCTTTCTTTTGGTATCTCTTACATCATCGTCATTCCCCTCGGCTGTCTGTTTCCAAAAAAAAAAAATATGAAAAGACAGGATTGAAACATGGAAATTGCCGAGGTCACGCCATTTCTCTCACAGGCAAAAAGAGCTCTCAAATTTTTTTGTTCCCACTCCGATGCAAGCTAAATGAAGCTATGCGGGAAAATCATGGTCTAGTGGAATAGCCGGACGAATCTAGGGAGCCTCACGAAGCAGTGGAGTAGGGGAAATTTCTCCACTTACCTGATGCACCGGACTTGTCACCATTCTCGTGAGTCGGATTGGCCCTTCCAATCTTAAGGGCTTAAGCGATCAAAAAAAAGGGAAAAAGAAAAATGCAACAGAAAAAGGACGAGAAATAGCCCTTGAAGGCCGTGAACGAATCAGAAGCACGAATTACGTGGACTCGACTCGATCCCCCCGGTCTAGTTCGATCCTAGACCCATGCATGTCAATGATCCAAGTCCTTTGGCACCAAAAAACCGTTACGCCAGTGAAAAACGGTGTAAACGCTCTTCCACGAACGCCAACTTTGCACCCCACTTCAGCTTCGTCTTTTACTTTCTCAAATTACGTCTCGTTTTCTGTCTTCTTCTCCATTTTTCTCCATTTTCCTCCAATTTTTTTCACAAAGATTGAGTGATTTTTCTCTCCTTCCAATTTCAGCCCATTTTAGCGGAGTATACCCCTGCTCTTTCCCACCTTCTATAACTGTGCAACCGAGAAGTATATATATATATACGAAAGATATACGAACTAAATTCCTAAGCTGTCCGAGAACCTTGACACTTTGATAATCTCGGGTTTACTGAGCCGACCCTCCAAACACCCCCTTTCCCTCCACTTCCCTAAAACCCCCCTCCTACTCCACTTTGACTCCATTTCGTGATTGAAAAAGAACTCGACTTCTCCCTGGTCGCATGTTGCTTTTCCACTCTCTGTCCTTACTCTCGAATCCTTGGGGGTATATTTGAACTTCCCTTCAAGGCCTTTTTTCTCTCTTTCTCTCTCTTTTCTATTTTTTGTTTTTTTTTACATCATATACACACACATATATCTATATACATCCTGATATATACATCTACCTAATACGACCGAAGCCTCTTGATCAACTTCATCATGCCCGACCCTAAAGATCAGGCAAGCATTCGACAGGCCTTGGATCGCGCCCGCTCCGGTGAACTACCTGTCGATGCTGCAACCTCCAGAATCCTCGAGTCCGCCATCACCGATCTATGGGCCCGAATTCAAGCACAACAAGACACCATTATCTTGAGTCCGGACGAATTCGCCTTGTTCAATTACTTTCTAGAACGCTTTCGAGTCTCCCAACACGCAATCACCCAACGCGTGGTGAACCGGTACTGGAACAGTTTTCATGATGCCAATAATGGCAAGAAATGAAAGTCTTTTCTTCCAAGCAAATGGAAAAAAAAAAAAATCACAGCGTGGATGGAAGATACCAGCTGCATTCGATCAATCCGTGACTTGCTTGGTTTGGGGGAAGGCCCAGTATGGGCACAATACCTGCACATTCCAGAAAGTTTCGGAAATCATGAGGTTCTGCAGTGACGTTATTTTTTTTTCTCCCACTGCCGACCCTATGTTATGCACTCAGACGAAGCCAAGCTATGTCTGACTTTTCCAGTGCATTCCGCATGTCACTGTTACCACACCGACAGTTTCCCCCCCCCCCTCTCTCCCCCTCCAAATCATTACAGGGGGATCTGTCCTCACCCCATTGGTCATCAACTCGGGGATCTTGGGAGAGTGGAGCAGGGATCTGTTTTTCCCGGTTGGTTTGCCCCAGTCCTAGCGAGCCTAAGAGGAGGGGGGTTGGTTGGGGAGGACATGATGCAGCCCGTTGCGCTTCCAGCGGGAAAACGGGGGTATGTATGCATGACTGACTCGTGGTTCCAGTTGGGACCACATGCATTTCAAACGGGGCATCTCCGCATAAGATTCAGGTTCTTGCATCTGGGCACGTTTCCAGTATGTTTGCTGGAACTTGAACATGGATATGATCATGGATTTTTTGTATAAAAGATGGGATGGGGGAAAGGCGCAAAAAATGAACATTGAATGAGGAACCTGGATCTGACATTTAATTTGGAAAAGGATGTGGAGTGTGACGCTGCATGGACCCATTAGCAATTCTCCGACTGGTGTTGATTTGGGCAAAAAAATGCACAGCCGTGGTACTTTTGATCTGGTAATTTGGGGCCTAAATCCTGAGAGAGATTGATTGGTGATAACATGTATATTAATGTTAATTTTGCTTTTGCTTTTATCTTCTCGGTACTTTATATATAGACTTGTACAAAACTTCTACTTCACCCGAGTCTACCTGGCAAAACTCCACATGTCGGATATTCGACTGAGAAAATCCACGTTTAGCTCTAAAGAATCCATGGATATATCTGATATGAGTCAATCAACCAGATGCCAATCAATGCAAACAAAAAACCTGGTCTGTCAACATTCCTGCAGGTTGTGGTACATGCGTTGATGTAGAAGCAGGCCTGATTTGGACTGCCACCGCTATAAGAAGCCCTACTTAAGTAGTTCTATGCGAGCTACGGTTGAAATACTTGATTCAAGGATGTCTGTGAAACCAAGCCTTGGAGGAGAATACTTCTGATCGCCTGATGTTTGCTTGGTAACTTTCCTGGATTGTTATATCAGGTACATGTGTTCCCATAGGAGACATGATTTACATAGCAGCTTCCACCATCTTCACACAGGTGCTGATAAACGGACCAAACACAGCACACCGTACCGGTCACGCACTAATCATAGGTTAGTACTAAGATTGATCGTAAGATTGATTGTGGGCTCCTGTGAACTTACAATGACCAAGGTCACCACAAGTAAGATCAGATTGCCCGAGAACGCAATCATCTGTTTCTGGGTCAAGAAAGACCTGTACCGATTCACATAGAGCCCGAATAGACGCGGAAGACTGGAAAAAAGCCCACCGGTGGAGAAAAAGCCCTGTGGATTGCCCTTCTTAGCTTAATTTCAGCCATAGCCTGAATGGGCAGGGAACATACCAGCTTAAGCATATTCAGGTACTTGTAAACCGCGACCTCATCTGAAAAAATATACGATAAGATCCAAATCTCGACAAAGACCACCTGCCATATTTCTTGAGATGCAAGATATCCCCTATGCTTGGAAGTAGATCCGCAGAGCACAAGGGCCAAAATAAACTTGACTGCAAAATGCGCGGCTGCCACACCCCTAATGATGGTCTATGTATAATAGTCGGGTTAGTACGTTAGTTTTCTGAAATTCTATATCCTGCAAACATACTATCGGCACTGGAACCCCACACGCGATAGAAATATGCCGAAACAGTCTCCCCACAGAGATGAAGGCAGGAGAGCTGATATCGTCGCCCACGAAGAAATGAGTAGTGATTGCCGAGACCTTGTACATAATCACTTCACAGGTCTGCACACTTGCAAGGGTCCGCGGTAGATCGGCCGAGTCCCTGGATTTCAAGAAAGTATCCGAGAAGCTCACATGGCCAGCATACGCAAATGTGACTCCGGCGATGAGAACGCAGCCACGGTGAACTGTCGGATGCGAAGGAAATGGCTGTAGATGGAGGGAAGACAGGTGAAGGGAGACCCCGATTGTACTTATCAGAACGCCAAGTCCCTGTACTGTGAAGCGGATCGGTAGATGGCGAAAGGATGCCGGCTTGGTTCTTGAAGCTAGGAATGCCATCGATGCCCCAATGGTTGAATACAAAATCGCATACGAGGGGTGCTCTGTGAGCACGTTCATTGTTATGCAGCAGATGAGAACACGGGTTCCCACTAGGAGATCCTTGGCTTGTGCCATGCTGGGCATTTGGGTGAATGCTGGTTTCGAGTCGCGGAGGCTCACATTGAATACGCACCTCTAATGAGGTATTTGCTTGTTGTTGTTGTTGCCTGGCGTCTGAGACGGTGGGTGTTCAGCGAGAGCTGGAGACGGTGTGAGAACTGCGGCTGCGATTGTTTTTGGAAATGCACGGGAGACTAAGAAAGGGAGACTAAGAAACGAAGACGGTTGGTTCAAAGGTGGTTGATAATGTCAGGATTAGAAAGTAGAATGGCAATGGAGGCATAGGGGATTTTACTGTGCCCACTGGGTGTGGGCTCTGCATTTGACTGTATACTGTATAGAATTCTACAGCACTGGCCTCGAAAAATCGCTGGAATAATCAAGTAGACTAACTTCTATTTGTACAAAACTGGATCCGTTATTTCACATCTATTTGTTGGCGGGGGATGAAGCAGCCAAGGCAGGTTCAGCGCCGAAGGCAATTGGGGAAGTGACGGCATCACTCTTGAGAATATCCGCTGGGGGTTCTAGAAACTTGTTAGTAAAAATGACACAGATGATTCAGGGACAAGAAAGGGCTAAAGCTTACCAGTTCGGATGACAGCCTTGTGCTCAACCTCGTCGATGTCCTGGACACGGCCATTCTGGACATCCTGGCGAGTCAGGCTCTGGAAGTTCTTGGGGAGACCCATAGAACGGAGGTAGGACATGGAGTCCTTCCATTCCAACTCCTTACGCTGGTTGCTCCAGTTCAACTCCTCGGCCATCAAGTCAATGACCTTGGGCAAGGATTCAAGAGCGGCCTCGGCGTTCAGGAAAGCCAAACGGGTGCGGCGGGCAATGACATCGACGGCGGTCTGAGCATACTCGTGACGGATAGCATAGCGGACCTCACCGTCAACGAAGGGGTACAAGGCCGAAATGCGCTGACCGCGGACGGGGAAACGAGCATTGGTGGGGGAAGAGAGAGCAGCCACTTGCCAGGCACGGTCACCGTACGACTCGGTCAAGTGCTGAGCAACATCGGTCTCGAGACCAAAGTGCTGGATGAGGTTGATGAAGAGGGTCTTTGAGAAACCGTGGGCACCGATCAAACGGACCTGGTGGGTCTGGCAGCTACCGTCCAGAACGGCACCATCCGCGACCAAACCACTGCCACCGACACCACTGATATCGGGAACAGCGGCGGGCTCACGGGGCTTCAGCTTGAAGGCATCAATGGCCTCGTCGACGGCCTCCTCGGCCATTTGACGGTAAGTGGTCCACTTACCACCGGCGCAGGTCAACAATCCCGATTTGGAAACGGAGATCAAATGGTTGCGAACCAGTGCCTGGGAGCTGGTCTTGTTGGGGTCACGGACCAAGGGACGGATACCGGACCACGCAGCCAAGACATCGCTACGGTCAACGTTGATATCGGGAGCCAGGTAGCCACGGATCTCCGACAAGATCCAGTTAATGTCCTTCTCTGAGGGTTCGGGGTGACGGGAGATCTCAGCGGGGGCGTCGGTGGTACCGGCAATGGTGTTGCCCTGCCATGGCAAGAAGAAGATGACACGGCCGTCGGAGGTGGAGGGGTCAATGAGACCCATATTGGAAGGACTGTAGTATCCAGGGAGAATGATGTGCACACCGGAGCTGGGGGCCACAATTTCCTTGGTCTCGGGCTCGTCCATCTTACGGATGGAGTCGGTGAAGGGACCGGTGGCGTTAATGATACCCTTGGCGCGAATGGTGAATTCCTTGGTCTCTTCACCATCCTTGCCGGGGATCACGTCCTTCAGGGTAGCTCCATTGAGCTGACCGGAGGCATCCTTGGTCAATCCGGTAACTTCCATGTGGTTGACGACAGTGCTACCGTAGAGAGCAGCGGTCATGGCGAGGGAAACGTTCATTCGGGAGTCGTTGTGCGCACCATCTATCAAAAAAAAAATCCCGGTCAGTTCTCGCGATCGTTTCAAGGCTGCTGAGGAAGTAAAATGTGATTTTTTTTCTCAACTTACCATAGTAGACCATAGCTCCAATTACATTATCCCGCTTCAGCATGGGGAAGTTATCGATCGCCTTACTCTTGGTCAAGAAGTATGAGCTCTCGATACCCTCGGAACCAGCCAAGAGATCATAAGCCTTGCAACCAGCCCAGAAGTAAGGAGCTTGCCACCACTTCTGCAATGGCACCATGATGGGTAGCCATTGTGAGAGATGGGGGGCTGTGTTCAAGAAATACTTGCGCTCGCGAAGTGCCTCCTTCACCAGCTTGTATCTGCGCAAAGGACGGGTTGTCAGAAAGTCGTCCTTTTTTCCTCCAAAAATTCAAACACGCCAATAGAAAAAAATATTTCCCAATATTTTTTTTTCGTGTCGCATTCTTTCCAATATCAAGGGTCAAACTCACTGGTTGTAATCTAATTCCCAAAAGGCCTTCTCCAAGTAACGGACACCACCGTGCACGAGTTTGGTACTCTTACTGCTGGTACCGGCACTGAAATCATCTCTTTCGACCACGGCGACTTTCAAGCCACGGGTGGCAGCATCCAGAGCGATACCGGCACCGGTTGCACCGGCACCGATGACCAACAAATCATAAGATTCCTCATCCTGACTGCGCTTCAAGTCCTTGATCTGCTCGATACGCGACTTGATTGTGGGGAAGTTCGGGGGGAACCAACTTGCCCTCATGGTAACCGGGTGGGGGTACAGCGGGGGCCTCGAGACCGGGGATGTTACGGGGACGGTAGGAGATGTAAAGAACACCGGCTCCGGCGGCGGCTGCGGCGGAAGTATAGAGCAGCGGTCGCAAAAGTCTGCGCGAGTGACGAGCGGCCATTGTCCGCGGATATGTGCTTTTTTTTTCGATATGAACGAGAACGGTGAAATTAACCAAGAGCTTCAAAAAGAAAGCTCACTCTTATCCCAATTGAACTAGGGACTTTCTCAAGGACACGTTCACCCTGTATTAGAGATGAGAAGGAGGTGGTGGAGAGTATGGGGGTTGGGGGAGGGGAGGAAAGGGGAAGAAAGGGGAAAGGGTTGGGATAAAGGTGAAGATGAAAGGAAAAGGAAAAGTTCAAGATACGAAGATAAAGTGACTCAATTGTCCCGAACTTGATTTGGAGTAAAGATTTGCGGAGTTGGGACAAGTTCACAGGTTCGCTATACCTTCCAGAAACCGGTTGAGTACCTGTACAAGGGAACTGCGTCATTCGGCGGCGAATGAAAGTGATTGGTGGATCTTCGCAGTTGACCCTTTTTGGTTCAAGCCAGTTCAGCCAAATCAGCCAAATCCGCCAAGTCAAGCCAAGTCAAGCCAAGTCAAGTCCAAATCAAGTCATCCAGAATCCATGATGTGATGGAATTCCCACCAATCAGAAGCTTACGTCAGACCATCCGGATTCCCACTCCGGGCAATGTGACCAAGAAGAGTTTTTTTATTTTTTTATTTTTATTTTTTATTTTTATATATTTTTTATATTTGTTAGTTCTTGTTCTTTTTATATATTTAAAATAGGTACATCTTCAACAGGTACAGTTAAACAGGTACAGAACGATATAACTACTATCATGTATTTACTTGATTCGTAATCAATTCACTAGCCACTTAACTAACTATAACTTATATGTCTATATACTCCGTAGTATATATCACCTCACCGGAGTACTATCCTCCTGAAGCTACCCAAGTTATTCCGTACAAAGTCCTTACCGCCCGGTCTGGATTTAATTGCTTTATTGGCAAATCTCTGCATGGGCAGCTGACTTGCGGCTCAGCTCCACTCGATCGCGGGACCCGTTCAATTGAATCCACTGCAAAAGGGAAAGGGAAGCTCCATCCTTAAAATCAAGGTCACACGGCTTAACCTGCCTTTCAACTGGAGATCAAGTTTTTTTTCTTTTCCTTTTCAAATGTTTCTTTTTCTTTTTCTTCTTCTTCTAAAGCAAGTGCAAGGTTCAATCTCACATCGGACATACCACATTTCTCATGTTCCACGTTCAAACCCCCTTGTGGAATGTCAGGGGCATTCCTGGATCATCAGGTGGGCCACTACATAATACACAAATAATGCCACTCCTTTATATGCCCACGGGCCACAGGGAAGCTCTACGAGTGGAGTAGGAAGTGGTTGATCCACTAGTACATACATTATCTTGTGCACTAATGCCTTTCTTTTCCTTTCTTTTTTTAGACCTATTTGTTTTTATTCTTTTAACCTTTCCACCACGGACCTAACGTAGTCCACAAAAGGAGGAAAAAGAAGCCAAGGGCGTTGATTACTCCGAAATGGAGTACGAACTAGTCCAGGGGAAGTCGGGAAGATCATTTTCTAAAACCCCCCCACATGCACATGTGTTATGCCCCCATTTTGTACCAGTTGACGTGATACTATGTATCTCAGCTATTAGGGTATGTATATTAGTAGGTACTATTGATTGAATTTGGTCGTTCCCATTATTCTATCGGGTTATTATATATTGAACTAGCGATGCACGGACAATAGCTCTGTTCATTGTTAGAATATGTTAAACTCCGTACTCTACATACACTATACAGTATGAATATCTACGAATAATGTCTCCATAGAAATTGTAAAAAGTGACCTCAGATACACTACCGAGTTGTCAACTGGTATATACATATAGAACAAGAAGACCTGGATACTCCCCGAACCCCGATACCCCAATTGAACCTTGGAAGCTCACAATTACATACTCTGTTTCTTAGTATTGACTCGCACACAGAGGGAGAATAAATCATCTATGTCAAAGGCCGAGTTCATTATTATGTCAACTGCTTTTTAATGTAAGACTGCGCATGGTTTCCGAAAACAGCGGAGGTATTCCGTGCGGAACTCGGCTGTCGTCACTTTTGGCTGGCGAAACTGTGGGGTTAACCAACCAGATCCCCCTACTCACATCTGGGGTATTATGACCTAGACACCGCTCACATCCAGTAAATGCCATCGGAGTACGGAAAAGTTCCATTGTAAACAGCCGCGGACCACAAGGTCGGAGGAGTGAAAAACAACCAGGTTGTTTATATAGATCACCATGAAAGCCTTCCTCCCAACAGAGCAAACATTTTAACACCCACTTCAAAATGGCCATCCTATCGACCCTGTCGGCCTTACAGTGGCAAATGGTCCAGAGCCCATGGCAATCCTTGGGTATCACCGCCTTCTTGCTCCCATTCCTCTATATTATTCTGAACGAGTTTATTCGATCATCCGCCCGTGTCAAGGGTATGAAAGGTCCCCGAGGCTTGCCGTTGATCGGAAATCTGGCTCAGATCCGGGTGAACGCTGCGGAGCAGTATCGCATATGGTCCAAGAAGTTTGGGGCCGTGTACCAGATTCAACTAGGAAACATTCCAGTCGTCGTCGTGAACTCAGCTGCGTCCGCCAAGGTGCTCTTTGGCCAAAATGCCCAGGCCCTAAGCTCACGACCAGAGTTTTATACATTCCATAAAGTGAGCAGAAATATCAAGGATATCAATTACCCCATCGCCCGTCTTCATCGACTAATCTCTGAGGGAACTTGTTTGATAGATTGTTTCCAACACCGCAGGTACCACCATCGGAACTTCGCCTTATAGCGACTCCCTGAAGCGCCGCCGCAAGGGCGCTGCCTCCGCCCTAAATCGACCCTCAGTGGATTCATATGTCTCCCACCTGGAGGTTGAATCAAAGGCTTTTGTGGAGGAATTGTTTCGATATGGCAAGGGTGGGGCGACGCCCGTTGACCCGATGCCTATGATCCAGCGCCTAAGCTTGAGTTTGGCCCTAACTCTCAACTGGGGAGTGCGAGTGGCATCACAGGAATCAGAGCTCTTTGACGAGATCACTCATGTGGAAGAGGAGATCAGCAAGTTTAGGAGCACCACGGGAAATCTGCAGGATTATATTCCTCTCCTGCGATTAGATCCGTTCAGCAGAAACTCGAAAAAGGCTGCGGAGATGCGAATCCGTCGTGATAAGTACCTGGGTGCTCTTAACCGAGATTTGGATGATCGGATGGAAAAGGGAACTCACACACCTTGTATTCAGGCCAATGTGATTCTGGACAAGGAAGCTAAGTTGAATACCGAAGAACTCACCTCTATCAGTTTGACCATGCTCTCGGGGGGTCTGGATACCGTGACCACTCTCGTTGCTTGGAGTATTGGCTTGCTCTCCACGCGCCCGGATGTGCAGGATAAGGCCGCCAAGGCTATCCAGGAAATGTATGGGCAGGATGAGCCCATGTGCTCAGCTGATGACGATCAGAAGTGTGCCTATGTTGTTGCCTTGGTTCGAGAATGTCTTCGGTATGCTTCCTTTCCTTGGAATAGGAGCAGCAATATTTCGATTACTTTTCCTTTTTTAGTCAACTGACCTCTGTTATTTTTTTTGAACCCATACAGATATTTCACAGTGCTCCGACTGGCCCTGCCCCGAACTTCAATTCGGGATATCACCTATGAAGGGACAGTGATCCCCAAGGGCACGGTCTTTTTCTTGAATGCCTGGGCATGCAATATGGGTAAGTCTTATTGACGGTTTCAGATCGTTCCCCTTCATCCCCTCTACAATTATCGGGAGATTTTCGTAAGGCTGAGATTTGAAATATATAGACCCCGACGTTTGGACAGACCCGGAAGAGTTCCGACCGGAGCGATGGTTGGAGCAACCCGATGCACCATTATTCACGTACGGCATGGGTTACCGCATGTGTGCCGGGTCACTGCTTGCCAATCGAGAACTCTATCTGGTCTTCATGCGGACCCTGAACAGCTTCCGGATTGAATCGCACGAGGACGTTGACTGGCATCCGGTCCATGGGAACTCGGACCCCGCCAGTCTAGTGGCCATCCCCCAACGGTACAAGGTGCGGTTCGTGCCCAAGGACGCGGCCGCGTTGGGAAAAGTGGTGGCGCAATGAGAGAAAGCCACGCGATAATATGACGAAGCGTCAGGTGTGGAGACGTCACGGACGTGGCGACTTGGAGGCAGAGATGATGCCACGGGACGATCAGGTCCGGAGTGGAGTAATCCACTACCAAGAGTACATAACTACAAACAATCTACGATGATCGTCTTAGATAATTGGATTCTTTTTCTTTGTTTCTTGAATCTTCAATTCATGCAAGGTTTGATTATTCTACATTCTGTAAATTTGCGAATGAAAATCATAATAAAAAAGGGGGTTGGACTTGAAAGTTTCCCCCAAAATTGCCAATTTCTCCAAATCCCATGGAACATTCTGGTCCAGTGTATGATGCGCCCTATTAAATCCAACGCCGATATAGCACAGTAATCTCAGATCGCATATAATATAGAAGAGAGGGGTATCAGGTTCGTGTGAAGATGTGGGATGAAATCAGATCGAAGTGATTCCAGTCGAATTCCCACTTTGCGTTGTCGTGAAAGATGGTGATGAAGGATGATGAGGATGTTTGTTTTTGGATTTGTTGGGGATGGAAAAAAAGCAATGACGCCTGGAATTTTTTTGGTTTTCCCCAAAAAAAAATTCATGCAAATGAATCGCTCAAGATGGAGACGTATAAAGATGTAGAGGTAGATGTAGAGATGGAGGTCGAGATGGAGAAAGAAGTTGTAGGGTATAATCAGGTGGTTGTCAATCGTCGTTTAAGGTCTCGGACTGGATCAAAGGAGCTAGCATAATCTCGTAGCTCATCTTGTAGGTGATCGGAGAAGGTAGAGTTGGAGGTATGACTCTGAAGCGAGGTGAGAGAGGTTTGAGAAGAAGATGCAGATAGACTGCGAGCCGATCGGGTTTCCGGCTGAGAGTCAAGGGTCGAAGAGCGTGAATGGGAGGATTTTCGAGAAGATTCATCATCAGGGGTTGGACGATCCAACTCGGCAAGACGACATGATTGAGAGCAATAAGGACCTCCAAGAGTCTGTCGGTCACAGGCCAGACAGAAATCTAGAGACCATTCGGTGGACATGATTGTAGAGAGGAAGTTTGGAGTTTGGGTTGATTCTTGAATGCAAAAGTCAAGGTTGAGGGAAAAAGAGAGATAATGAAGGTTTTTAAGAAATTGGAATTAATGCATCACGAGAAAATAGGGTAAATAAACGAATACTGAGAAATCAATCACCTCATTCAGCTCAGATCCACCGAACATGCCACTAAAGTGTCATGACCTTATGGGATCCACCTATCATGGCAATTGCGGGGGGTTGATTATGTCGTGGCTCGGGCGCTTAAGACGAAAAACCGATGGGAAATGGCAAAAATGAACGGAAACGAAGAGAAATGACAAGAAAAAACCCTCAAATATTAGAGCTAAACCAAGCTAAACCAAGTCAAACCAAGCCAGTCAAGACATCATTTGAGAGGGAATTACATGCGAGCTGCAGGAACCTGGAAAAGGCAACCATCGGCCATGAGTCTCCCCCACTTGAATCGTGTCTATTGGTCCAGTTGGCTAAAATTGTGAAATAGTCAAAGAGTTAAACAGTTGAATCAGTCTGAATCAGTCTTAATCCCTCCATAATCCCTCCATAATCCCCTCAAAAAAGTCCGTCATCTGCACGGTTGAGGCCTGAGCGTCTCCAGGTGCCTGATGGTACATTGATTCTAATCGTACATTCAACCAAAACTGCCTAGTCCAATATGCAACTCTTGTTCCTCTTTCCCCTCCAAGATAACCTTAGCTGCAGATTAGTCCTAACAGGGGTCACGCGAGAATCCCTTAATAAATGCGGGGAAGAAGTAGAAGAGATAGACAATCGTCTTAAGGGTATCCTGTAGAAAGATAGAAAAAGAAAAAAAAAAAAAAAAAAAAAAAAAAAAAAAAAAAAAAAAAAAAAAAAGGAATAGGCCTCCCCCCCTCCCCCAATGACATAGAGGTTCGTGCGAAAACAACAAAAAAGGATCTGATGAGATAATCCCAGTTGAAGATCCAAGGCAACAAAACAGAAGGGAAATTGTTTCCCTCTAATAAGAAACCACCATATAAATCTGCTTATCTTGCCTCTTTTTTTTCTTTATTTTATTTGCCCTGAGATGGTCAAAGGTCCCTGACCCTCCAAGTTCCCCAAAGTGGCTTGGGATGGAGATGAAACTGGAGCAAACTCAGGAGAGGGGGAAAAAGACAATCTTCATGGCGCGCGTGTAATAGGGAAATATGTTGTGTATATTTGCCATGCACACCAGGATTGTTGTTATGCCTTTGTTTTCATTTGAGCTTGATATGATTTGCGATTCTCAGCTTTCATTCGGCCTGGTCAGGGATGCGAACCAAGGTGGCTGGTAAGCTAGAGTCATTTGGAGGGTTCTCGGTTGTTTCCGGGTCATGAAGTCCACCAGCTTTCTCTACATCGGAGTTAGTGGGAATGCAATCGTTGATAAGCCTTATCGCGCAAGCTTACTGGAGGCGAGACTAATGGCGCGCAGTACATTGTCCCAATTGGCAAGCACGCATGCAACGGCTAAAAAAGAAAAGAAAAGAAAAGTAAAAATCTATATCAGTTGCGGGGCACACTCGGCCGCCGAGGGGGGCATTGGATAAAAACACTCACCTTCAGTACCATCCTTCAACGTGGTTATCTTGCTCTCGAGCGCCTGCATTTGCATAGCGAGTGTCCCGCTTAGATCACGGAGTTGGCGGAGATTCTCTAGTTCGGCCTTTTTGGCGGCAATGCGGGTAGTCAGAGCTGAGGAGGGCTGAGGATGACGAAGTCCCCCTGGAAGCATGGAAGTTGGTCGCGACGAATACGCCATGATTGGAATGTGGCGCGTTTTCAAATGATACAACTCTTCGGGGGATGTTTGGGCGATCAACGCGGAGAAGTCAACAGCATTGAAATTCTGGTTAGGTAATCAGTCAAATCAGACAAACAGAAAATCACGGGATCCACCCGACTATTAGGTGCGCCTCTCTTCAATTTGTTACCTCAATTTGGCTGGCAGAACGGTACAGTAAGTATCAATGTATATACTATATACTTAGTACTTAAGATACTAGGTAACTAGCAGCTATTATACGCAATACTTAGTACCTTCTTCCACCTAACTCTTCAACTGCCCAGCACCTACAAAGTCTACCAACTATGGAAATCATGTGACGAAAAGAAAACCCCCAAGCACCCGAGAATTACAGCATACATCCAGGGCGGTGAACAAAAGCGGTGACTAAATCATGGTAACATATTGAGGAGAGTCTAAAGCATGCACTAGTCCTAGTTTGGACAAACGTCAACAATCGTGTTTACATGGGAAATCACGGTTTCATCATTCTCATTGTTTCACCCCCTCTGTCTTTCCCCCTCCCTTTTCTTCCATCTGGTGGCCATAGACCACCATGGCTCGACTTAATGATTATACGGCTCCTCCAGAATCTATTGAAGCCCGTAAGTTTGAAGCGATCCCATCCCAATCACTACGTCTCTAATGCGAGAGAATCTTTTCCTCAAAGTCAAACGAAGATTTGTGCGACAAAATAAGGAGATTGCACGGGTCAACTCCATGCAATCCCTTCGAATTCGAAGTCTGGAATCCGAAGTTGCCCATTTGCTTGCAGAAAACGTCTCGTTGCGACAACAGGTGATCAATGTCACTCAGGAGACCGAAAGGTTGGAGGCGGCGAAAATGCTTCATGCTGGGGTTTATGATATCAAGGCCCGCCTTGATACCAAGTTAGCAGAGCTCAATGATCTTGCATCGGAGCTAGGCATGCTTCCTCGCAAGGCTGGGAAGCTGGATAAATCCGACACAGATCGTCCGAAAGCCGCGGGGTTGCGACCGCAACCTATGGACCCGGATTATCCTGGAGTGGAGGATGGAAGGTTACCTGCCATTCTTGAAGACAAATGCTACCCAAAGCGAACGCTAGAGTAAGCTACTTCTATCACTCGCTGCTTCTTATCAGCCATTTCGGGGACTATCACTAATCTCTGATGCAGAGTGCAAGAAATTCAAAATCTCGTGCAGGCCGACTCAAGCCCCGCTCAACCTATTTCTGATTTCGATCTAACACAGCAGCCCACTATGGTAGACAGCCCATCACCAAGTCCCCCCGAGGTTCATGAAATCCCACCTGAGACCCAACTGAACGACGTTTCCATCCCTGATCAATTCCTTCCGTCTACGCTGGAAACACGCAAGAAAAAGAAGAAGGTCGACTTAGTAACTCCTATGAAGGAAGATTCCGTCCCGCGGGAACAGAAAGCCCCTGGGGTCAGCATTATACGGCCGGCGAAGTCAGGATCCAAACGGAAATTCAGTCCAGACGAGGATGGAGCGTTATTGTCCGGAGATGGACTTCCAGAATGCGACGAGTTTCAATTCAGCCGACCTAGCCAGAGCCCCCGGAGGTCCACAGACTTCTTACAGGTGATACGTGAAACTTCACCCACGAAAACTCCTGTCAGCATTAAACGTGGATCGGCCACTGGGACTATGAAACGCAAAGTTCTTGAACCAAGTATGAAACCCCAAATTTGCAGCTTAACTTTGTCTCTCACATCTGTGCTGATTCACTGACAACCCATAACCAGAGAGCTCCAATGTCAGCTTAAGCTCGCCCAAGAAAGCTCGAGCATCGTTGAATCCGGACAATAAGCTTTCGTTGCCAATCGCCGGAAATGAGAATATCGCGTCACCCCAGAAACCGAAAATCCTCGAGAACCCCCGAGGCCGTAGCTTGAGCCAAGCCGCCCGTCGACCTCGTCAAACTCCTGATTCTCAAAGAGACAGACGCTCCGAGTCCTTGATGCAATCCGGTCAACCGACACCCGTTCTGCTGAAGGATTCTCCAATAGTCCAATCGGATATCATGGCCAGTACTGCGGATGCGGCTGCAACATCTAGAACCTCGCGACGCCGGGGAGCAGTGGTCAGCTATGCAGAGCCCAACCTGCGTGACAAGATGCGCCGCCCAACGAAAGAGATGATTGATGCGGTAGCAAGAGATGGATCTCGCAGATCCTCAAGCTTTCTGCTTGGTCCAGAGAGCTTGGGTGAAGCGGGTGATATACCTCGGGGAGAAAAATTAGCAACCAGCCCCTGCCCACAACCAACCAGAGTCTCCGTCAACCTAGATTCCGCGCAAGAACTCATTGAAATGTCCTCTAGAGATGAGGCATCACAGAAACTGTTGGAAACAATGTCTCGCCGAAGGCAATCACGGCGGCATTCTTCTAATCCAAAAAGCACCAGCACTCGCGATACATCACCAACAAGGGATGTCTCGGGAACCGAGGAGTCTCACTCTCCGCCAAGTGCAAGTTCGTCTTTCATGCAAACGGATGGCTCGCTAGAAAATGATGACTTGACTTGGAACAGTTCAGCCATGGACATTGGTCACCGCCGAGAGACTCGTGTGGCGGCTAGACGGAAAAGCATGATGGTTTAAAAGGAGACAGCGAATCCGTGGCTTGACGTTCATTTTCTTTCTTTCTTAATAATCCTGTATTGCATTTTTTAACTGCGTTTGTTGCAGTCATCATACAGATACCCCCATTGGCGTTTACATCTTCTTCAATTGACAGGATTTGTTGTGTTTATTCTAAATTGGCTGGTACACAGTACATGCTCGAATTTCTGAGCATTGAATTAAAGAGATATGGAAGGCAACAAACTTCATATAGATCAGTCCGCAATGGCCTCAAGAAAGCCTTGCCATCTATTAGACCGGGCAGGTGAGTCGCATAGTCATCGGACATGACCGCACTATATGATGTAACCTTAAGAGTTCGTGAGCCCCCTGGTTTGAGGCCATCTAAGGCATGTTGTTGGACACCTTGTTCGTCGCGGGCGGGCCTTTGTGGGCATATTTTCTTTCTCTGGCATAGATAAAATCATAATTTGGCGTATGCATTATTTTCTCTCTGACCACGAACGCAGAACAAAACAAGTTCGTACTAGAAAGATCCCTCAGTGGAATTTATTTTGGCTAGCGTCGACCACTCATGTTGTTCCTCGAGATGAATTCTTAGATGATCGCGGCATCTTCTCATATGCGTTCGGACTTGGTTTTCTCTTTGGTTTGGAACGGCGGTGGCGATGTTGTGAGCAGGCATCTGAGCCCTGGTCTTGCGATTGATCCGATGAGCCCTCCTCCCCGGCCGGTTGTCGTCCTCGGGGATGCGAGTGAGGTTGATTTGACCTGTTTCTGCGACGGTCGGTCTCACTATCGCTGTCTGAATCCGAGGAGCTTGAGGACTCGGATTCAGAGCTACTCTCGCCCACTGGCCGAGCTTTGTGGTAGATGCAGCATACTAGGAGGGGGTTAGGGTAATTTCTTCTCCAGATGGATGTCTGGGAGCGGGGTAGGGTGAGATTGTTTTGCACCTTTTGAACTTTTCCTTCCCATTCCCTCGTTGTCTACGACGTCTTCACTCCATCTGATCCGTCGAGAGGAAGATGGCTCCGGTGTGACGCTGGGAGCATCCTCACCCCGCAACCGAAGGGTCCTGCCGGAGAATTGGAGGGGCGGGTCTTGAGAGGTTTCGGTGCTTGTTTGGCGTTGGGCGTTTCCTGGCTGGCGAGTTCGAGACATAATGTAGTAGGATGTGCTCCTGCTAATAGGAGAGATTTGTGAGGGGAAAAGAAGACAACTCTGGGCTTAATCTTTTTTTTTTGGCGTTGAGGTTCAAACCACGATAAGTAATAAAGCCGATAAGACTCTCACCGCCCGACACCGATTATGACGCGTGTTCTACATATACTACTCGAATAGAGTGTATGCCGTAGAGAGTATAGACATATGACATACAGAATATGATTGAATCAATCACAATTTATACCAGCTATTAATTTCTTTGATTTTCCCTCATCCGAGGTATTCATTTTTTGGTCAATAAATCAGAGAGGTCAAGAGAGATAATGGGGGGAGAGATTATCTTCTTTCTTTTAAGAGATATCAAACAAGATCACCTTGACAAAAGTGCAAAATACATAGGACAAACGGGTGCATGATCAAGCTCCCCGCAAACAAAAAAAGACTTCAAGAAAGCAAGTGGTAGGTCTATGGCGTATGCTCCTTCGCAAAATGCGGAATGGTTCTTGGATGGTTTACAGCTCATAGAAGGACCAGCCATCGAGGCCGTCATTCCTTGAAATTGATGTTGAACCCAAAGTCCTTTCAGAGCTATCTGACACCAAACGGGGAATCTCCGACCGTAATTCTTGGTCGAGTCAAAGCTCGTCTTCTTGATCCATCTCTGATGGCTTCAGCAAACCTCCGACCTTCATAGCGCGGCTCCTCTCGGCAGTCTGTGCATCTCGGACGGCCTGCTCCCGTTCTTCGGCATAGAGTTCAGCATTGTCATCAGAGAACTCCTTCAACGAGATGAGGAAGTCACGCAGATGAGTCTTGAACTTGTTAAGGTCATCAGTGTAGGCGAAAATGCCAATCACAAATTGTTGAATTTGTACCCTGCTACTGTTAGTATCATCTTGGCTTGCCGTGTTGATCAGAGGCCGCGGAAAGGGTAACATACTCTTGTAGGTTCTTGAATGCATTCTGTAGCAAATTGGCGACATATTGCTGAAGGAAATCCTTGTTCGAAGTGCCAGCGGGGGCCTGGTCGGGAGTGTAAATAGGCTCAGAAATCTTTTGAGATTCAATAAAGTAGAACATGCGGGACAAAAGCATAGCCTGAGATTTAAATCCTGTAGCAGTATACACAGTTAGTTATGCAGGATGGATATGAAGGAAGATGAATGCCTTTGGAGGGACCTTTGGCGAAAGGGAATACATACCAGCCTTGTGATCGCTGTCCGTAACAACGAAGAAAACATCCTGGAGAATGGGGATGTAGAATTGGCGGAAGAAAATAGTTGCAGTCTGTACGTCAGTTTCGGCCATGTTATTCATCAGTTCCAGACACATGGTCAGACCCGTGTTCTCGACCTCTCTGTTGTCATGCTTTGATGCCCACATGCAGGAATCAATGACAAACTTGAACTGAGCGCCATCGAGCTTCAGTAATGCCTGGAAACAGTACAGGTTGATAGCCTGGAGTAACTTGAAGAACTGAACACGGTGCTCGGGATACTCGTGGAAGTCCTTGTTGATCATTTCTAATGTGCAGGTAAACACACTGTCCATGATGGCAGGGATCTTGTCTTCCATCAGATTCTGCGACCCAGTATGAGATCAGGTTAGCTTTTATGTACGACATGAATTCTCTCGCCTTGTTGGGGATAGGGGGAAATCAACGTACGTGGAGCTTGTGAATAATGGTTGTCATGACGTTCAAGACTTCTGCTTCACGTGCATCTGGCACATTGCGGTGATAATCAATGAGGACTGCTTCCAGAAGGGGAGGCACCATGTTTGCATTGACCATTTCGAGATCATCCGACTTCTCGACGTAGGTATCAATAAGTTTCAAGATTTCCTTCTTGATGGTGCGAAGACCGCGAACTTTGGGTGTCTTGGGGGCGATTTGTCCTATGCGAACATTAGCATGTCGGTGGTCCCATTGAATGATACTGGTGGTTGAGGAGGGAGGGCTTACCGTCGCTGGCAACAGCGTCGTTGATCAATTGACTGGAAGCGCGATACATATTCAACATATCATGGAAGATGCGTCCAATCTGGGAATAGAAGTAAGTCCCGATAGATGAGCAAGCTGCAACGTTGGTTTTCATAATATTGCCAATGATCTTGATAGTGTTGGCATCTTGAAGAATCGCTGCGTTCTGATTGGCCTCCGCAATAATTTGGTCCCAGGCTGAATTGGGCAAGGCCATGAGGCTTTCAGTCAAACGATCCTGAAGACTCTTTTGGCCCTGTGCAGAGATCATGTAGCCACATGCTTCGTAGAATGTGTGAATTTGCTGGGGAGAAAGGTCCATGGTGATCTTTCTCATGTTTCGGACGATCTCCTCAATGAAAGGCTCGTTCTCTCCAGGTTGGAGAGCCACAAAGTGGCGTCGGCACTTGTTAGCGATCTTGATGAATGTGTCACAAGCCATGTCCTGAACACCCTCGTGTGTTTCGTGCATGAACTCAAACAGCTTGTTCACGACAGTCTTCAGGAACTTCCAGTGGGCCTTTAAGAACCGGGGGTATTGGCCCACAATGTACATAATATTACTTGCCACCACGGCTTTGTTGTCCTTGCCACGTTTTTGTTCGGTCAGACCTAGGAGGTCCTTAATGACTGTCACCAGGAATCGCTTCTCTGTTTCCTCGTTCATGGCGCCAGAAATTGAACCAATTGCCCAACAAAGGGTATTACAGTTCACCCAGGACCATTCGTCGCCGCTGACTTGCTTCGCCAGTTTGTCGATCATAATGGTCTCGGTGTCAACGACATCTAAATGCGTGAGGTAGACCAAGCACTCTCGGATGGTCTTGTAGAGCTGGATCGTGTCACTCTCCTTGACGAATTCACGTACAATCTCTCCCTCGTCATTCTCGACGATCAATACCTCCTCCGGGCGGACCATCTTCTCAATCATGACCGTGCGAAGGTTCGAAAGAACGGTTTCGTATTTGTGTTTTCGGAGAGGGTAGTTGGCGAGGGTACTAGGGTGAGGCGCACCTCCGTTTGCGAGCCCACTTACACCCATTGTCACAAGGGGGTTGATGTCAGTAATTGGGAGTTGTTGCATTTCTTCGTAAAGTTCTTGCACCAATCGAGTCCAATAATCCAAGCAAATCTTGAACACTTCTCGATCGTCAATCTGACTGACACGGATCAAATAGAAATGGGCATGAGTGAGATAGTCTTGGTTGGGTAGCTTCTCAATCAGCTAATGATAACAAGAGTTGTTAGCATTGAACCGGGAGGGTGGGGGGACTTGGGCTATGATCAATTCACATACGTCAAGGTGGGCACTGAAGAAACTGGACAGGAAGAGGGCCAAATTCGAGACAAACTCCTGATCTCTGCCGTTGCTCTGCGCATATGTTTCTTTCAAATCCATAGAGAGGGGGATCACGGTGGCGACGGTCGTCAGAGTCTCAGTGAACATGTGAACTAGTCTATCGTCATAGTTATACGGAGCGCCAATTTGCAAGCCGCCAATTTCGGTAAGGCACTTGAGGGTGACGTTTCGGAACTCGGGGGTGCCCAGGAATCGAGTCAATAGGGTGTTGATAATGGAGGTTTCGAAGATGTAGCCGAGGGGAATCCAGTTCAAGAAGCGCAAAAGGGTTTCCAGCGTCGCCTTGACCAGACTTGGCTGGTTAGCGGTAGAAAGGACTTCAGAGCAAAGTTGGAAGATGGAAGCAAACTCCTGTGTCATGGAGGTCTTCAGGTTTCTGGCCTTGATCGACGTCATCTGGTCTTGTGAGAAATCAAAAACTTCCTCGGACAACAGGCGCAGAATAGCCATGTTGTTTTCACAGATGGAGAGGCTGGAATGGCAAGAAGAAATGATTTCATTGATGAAAGTCGGCCAGTTGTGCGGCCATTCCTGCTTCAGGATCGACACCAGGACGAGGTTGAGTTTGTTCACGAAAGCGCGTTCGGTCCTGAGCTTTTCCTCGGAGCCAGAGTTTTCGATGATAAAGTTGACAATGAAGTTTCGAATGCCTATAATGAGCGAGAAAACCCATCAGCGAAATGCCACTCCCCAAAACAACAGGAAGGCGAGGGAAATGAGGGGGAGCGCGTTTGACGCTACCTTGACACTGCTCTCTCGGCAGGACCTTCCATCGGGTCATAATCACATCGTCGAGAACTTGGAGAGCGATATCTGTTGGTGTATTAGTATGTATCGCGATCCGAGCTGCAGTAATAGACAAGCACGCACATTTGGTCTGGGGGTAGGACGCTTCCTGTAGAATGTTGCCCACGGTGACCCAAGCATCGGGATTTTGCTTGAACTAAATCGGGTCATAAGAATTGAGCTAGGAAGAAGGTGGAAAACCAAGCGGGCTTACTTCAGTGAGAGTCTGTTGGGCTTGTTTTTGCTGCGCACCGTCAGTTTTCAGTGGTTCTGGTCGATGGATTTCTACCAAAGAATTGCAGTAGGACTTACAACATCGCCCTTGCCTTCAAAGAAGGCACGGACTGTGCTGTCCAGCTCTTGTACAGAGACAGACATTCCGCGGTAAGGATTGGCGCAGTCGCCGGGATCACAAAGGTATCACAACAATCCCTCCCCAGTGAAAAGAAAAAAGAGGGGATCAACACAGGTCCCCCAAGAGAATAGTAATTGGTAGAAACCTTCTAGCCCACGTCACCGTTATGAATGAAGAGGGGAAGGTCTTGGGGGTGGCGGAAAAAGAGGGGGGAGAGGGGGAGATGTTACAGCTAGAAGGCTAAGGAGTGAGAGAGAGAGAAGAGGAGAGGGCTAGTGGGGTAGCAAAGATGAACTCTTGGAGGGGCTTGGAGAGTCAGCAGATTATGACTTTTGTCAGACACAAAGAGGATCACCGAAGCTTTCGCAGAAAGTGATCGACAGCGGCAAGCTCCAGAAAGCTGAGGCAAAATCAGTGTGGGATAGAAAAGATGGACTCATCAATACTGGCGGTGAAGCGCGTCGTTTCCTTCGAAGTTTGGAAGGGGAACTCGGGATCTTAGTCAGCCAAGCTCCGGGTGCTTCCCATGGTTCATGTGTGTACGCGATGACGATGTTTATATTGTTTGTTTTGGTATGAACTGATGAAATCAAGGATGATTTGACTGAAGAGGTAGAGAATGGGAAGGAGAGGAAAGGAAATGGAAAGGCAAGAGAAAGAGAGGGAGGTGACAAAATGATATGAAATCCAAATGAACTAAAGGAACATTTGAAGCAGTAGCATAGTATAACAAGATGGAAGATACTATAACATAACGAGGAACAATATTGTACATACTATGGACTTGGTGTTACTAGCGGAGAAGTATAAGAAGACTCGGGATATTTTTGTCTGGGGCTGAAGAATTAAAGGATCTATAGAGGGCCCAGACTTGATTATGCTTATGACGTTTCGAGTCAATACATTTAGGTACATATCTACTATGCACACCAGGTTAGTTAATAATAGTTAACTATTGCATTATTTCCGTGACTAAGATGGTTTAGGAAAAGTAAAATAAAAACATAATAATGAACCGATAGCCGAATTTGCTGTTGGGGGATAATTATCATAACTTATATAACTTAAAGAGGGGAAAGAGAAGAGAGTTTCCACTAAAGAGAAGGGGAAATCAAAGGGGGGAAATAAGCAATAATCACATGTATTATCGAGGTGTGATGGAAAATAAATACTAAAAATACCGAAATACTACTAGTATATAGTACGAATTCATTAATTCAATAATTCAAATTCCCCTTGACTTTCTCGTCACATGATTTGCCCGTGTACGAATTCCCAAGTACCGAGTAGAATATAGTTACAGTATGCGCGGCGGCGCTCTTTGTTATTAATACACGCGATAGTATATGTATGATTCGAATGGGGATATCCCGAAAAAAAAAAAATATATATATATAAATATAAAAATAAAAGAAGAAACAAAGAAACAAAGGTACTATAAATTGATTCCTCAAAGTAGAGACAATGTTGGGGGGAAATAACAAAACAACTCAGGATGTGACCAAAGTGCAAGTTGCAGCGCGCGGTGACCAGCTGATAAGCGATGCATAACCGCCCAATGCGCCCACGCGGCGCCAATGGCGAAAGTGGTATCGCGCGGGCTCCAGACCAAGCCAAAGCCGCCCAGAAGCCCAAAACTTGCGCGCCCCACCAGGACACGGGGCGCCTGGGAACGCGCGCCATCGTCGCTCCGGTCGTTTGGGAAATGATGGTGTCTCAGACCCGCGCACACTTCACCTTCCCTGAGCGCCTACGCCTTCCGATTGGTAGAGTATGTGACGCCGTCCTTGCCGATCGCGCGCCAACTTCTTCCTTTTGCCCATTTTCCCCCCCGGGTTACCTACTAATGAATGGGGTCCCTTTTTTTCTTTTTTTTCCCCTTGGATTCCGCCGATTGGGGGCCATTGATGATGTTGAGGGAGAAGAAAAACCACTTTCAATAAACGGTAGTGGGAAAAGAATATTGAAAAGGAAATAAAGATGAAGAGATGAAAAGATGGAAAGATGAGGGGAAGAGAGAAAAAGAGAGCATATTAAGTATTATTTCTATTATTTCTATTATTTCCACTCCTTCTTTCTCGACACTCTTACTCTCGCTATACTAATAATGTACCCCCCCCCCTACCATATTTCCTACATTATTTTTAGCCCCTCTTCCTTTTCTTTCTTCTCTTTCTCATACTCTTTTCCTTTTTCCCTTTCCCCTTCTATCCTCCTATCTAGTTTCCCCTTTACTCTTCCACCTATAGAGTCCAATTTCATCTTATCTTACTTATATCATTCATTAAGAAGGACTGGTCTCTCTTCTTTTTCAATCTTCTCTCCATCTCCGGTAATCCGTGCTTAGTCCTAGGGGCCGCACGGCAACCAGCCCACATCTCCCACGCCCCACCCCCAGACGACCTTACCGCGATCTGTTTGGGTAGTTAGAGAAAGGCATTCCGATATCTCTCCGGCGACAAAAGAGGAGATAGGGTTTGCCAAAGAGCAAGTGTGTGCGCGCGCAAACACCAAGTCAAACATAAAAAGAGAAAAAGAGAACAACAAGAAAGAAAGCGAAAAAAAAGGAACAAAGAATTGACAAGCGCGGGGATCAGAACACCCCGGTGTTCAATCTCGGTAACTTCCCGGCGCGCGCGTCTTGCGGGTGAGACCGTGGCTCAGCGCATAGCATTGACAGCGCAAAGTAAAAAGCGCAAAACACAACAGGAAAGACATCAAGCCAATCTCTTTGGCTGAGGCTTAATAAACAAAACAAAACAAAACAAAAAAAAACAGAAAGGGGTGGGGGGAGATTATATACATACAATACATCATGACGGCCATCGCGACGGCCCCAGTCATCGAGTCAGGAGCAGATGCAGGAACCGAGCACAGTCCATCCCGCTTTACTGCGGTCAATGGTAAGGACTCGTCCGTCCCTACCAAGATGAGGACTGCCAGTCCACCCAGGGAGAGAGCTCCCTCTGGACCAGATGTCCAACATAAACTTGAACCAGAAACCCCGGAGCGAGAGCACAGCGCCGAGGACCACGGGTCGCGATCGTCATCGCCGGAGGCATCGGCCCATGCACATAAACGCAAAAGATCCAACTCCTCTCCAGGGCATGAGTCGCGGAATCTATCTGAACTGGGTGAGATGGGTAAGAGCTCCACCGCTCACCCCACTGAGTTAGATGCGCCCCTCAACTCCAACGGGGTGGGTTCGGAATCGGTCTCGGACATGGAATCGACTCTCCATGGGCCCAACCGATCAGATGCCCATGAGTCTTCCCAGGTCTCCTCTAATGGACCATGGCCCGAATACGATACCCAGCTGGTGAGTCAAGCCCAACGGGCCCAGCAGATTGATGCCTCCGACGCTCAGCTGGTGGATGCGCTTCAGCGCGAGGTACATTCCCAGGACCCCAGTCACCGAAATATGAACGCATCTCGGACCACTCCTGCTCCTACGGTGCAATCTTCTTCGTCGCCGGCATACTCCTCAGAGCGACCGAACGGGGCGGTGCAAGTGGCACCCAAGCGCAAGCGGGTCTTTAGTAACCGAACCAAGACCGGCTGCATGACCTGTCGACGCAGGAAGAAGAAATGTGATGAGCAGCATCCAGCTTGTAAGTATCTCTATCCTCTTTTTGTATAAGGGTGTGAGAACTAACTTCCCCTCCCCCTCTCTTCTCTCTTCTCTCTTCTTCTCTTCTTCTCTTCTTCACATTTTATCTTCATCCTTCAATTTATCTTTTTAATTTCATCTCTACTATCCACATATACACAAGTTCTATCCCTTGTGGAGCACAAAAGGGTATAGCTGCTTAAATGTTAGAGTATTATGCTAATGAGTTATGCTATAGGTAACAACTGCCTTCGTGGGGGCTTTCTTTGTGAAGGATACTCGTCGCGCAATACATGGCAGAAGCCCTCGAGTTCAAAGACACCAGTACCCTTACAGTCAAAGGAAGGGTATCCCGAAACCGGTGGCCAGTATATTGCAGAAACACATCATGATCGGCAGTTGGCAGAGCACGTGGATTCACGAAAGATGAGACCAATTGTGGTGGAAGATGAGCGAACCGCTCCACAATATACTACCAGCCCCACCGATACAGCTTCCAGTCATCACCAATCATGGTCCAAACGATCGTGGCCTAACTCTAACCACCCGGGGCCAACTTATTCAGGAGATCATGCGACTAAAGGGGATTATCGAGAGATCGCATCCATTCATGACCTCCCTCGGGATGCTCCACCTAAACAAGATTATCCTGCGGTGGCTCCGATGCGAGAAATCACACATGGACCGCCCCCCAAGACGAATATGCCCCTACTATTCCAGGGAGCCGCGGCTCCTCCGGTCCCCACCACGGCGATGGATACAAATAGTCCTCAGGTACAGGCTCGAATGGCCCTAAGCATTGAAAATCAATTGTCTAGTCGTACGGCGGCGGGCATCGACGATACTGAGATGGACAAGATGATTAAAGGTGACCTCTATCGCCCATTTGACGTACAACTTGTCGAAGAAAGAGACCGATGTCGACGCGCACTTGCCCGATTTAACAACGCCTGCAATCCCCTCGGCGGGCTCAGTTCAAAGGAACAAACTCGCCTCTTTAAGGAGATTCTAGCTACCCAGCCCACTTGCACCTTGAAGCCTTCGAGTTCTCCAACCATGTCGAACCCGACAATGCGTCGCCCTGCTCCCAGTCTTGGGTCAGGAGCAATTGTGGAGTCGCCATTCACCTGTCACTATGGTCACTTCACTATTGGAGAGGACGTCATGATCTCTCACGACTGTGTATTTGTTGACGATTGTTTTATTTTTGTGGGCGCCCATACTTGGGTGGGGTCCAACGTAACGATACTTACCTCCATGGCACATTCCAGTATGCAGGAGCGGAAAGGCACGCAAAGCCGACATGAAGGTCGCCGAGTACGTATCATGGAGGACTGCTATATTGGGGCCGGGTCTACGATCTATCCTGGTGTGACACTTGGCCGGGGGGCCTATATTGCTCCCGGAGAAGTCGTTCGAAGTGATGTGGTCCCTTATGGCTTTCAAGGTTTCAAACCAAACTATATGTGAGACTTGAGAAATGAGATACGGGGGATACGGTTTTTATGGGTCATGATTCCCTATTTTTAGTTTATTCTTGTCTTGACTGTTCATTTTCATGTTGATTTTCTTTGGTTCTTCTTGTGATCCTCTCTTGTGATTTTGCTGGCCTTTTTTTTCTCTTCTTTTTGGTTTTGGTTTTGGTTTGTTTTTGTGATATTGAGAAACATGAATTCTGCGGCGCTCTGGGATAATTTTGTTTCTTGTCTTTAGTTGGAAACGGAGCCGAACGAATGTTCATGCAGTATATACATAATCCCCTAGGTTTGTTCAAAGGGGGCGTTTGATTGCTTTGGGGGAGTTGCTAGCTGACGATACAAGCTATTGAATATATGATGTCTGGATTGGATTGGATTATGATCAACGATAGGCATTTAATTTCATGATATGCTAAACAAAGGGGTGTACAAACTCAGTTTGTTTTTAAAGATTAGAAACGATATTCAAAAAAAATCACAGGGGTATCTATCTGCTGTTTTTTTGGGGACGAAAGAGAGGAGAGGAGGTAGGGTCATGGGGTCATGGGGGAAGAGAGGAGGAATGGCTGGCCCATTGAGAGCATTGTCAAGGCATATCGTGTGTACAACCCTCCACCTTAAGAGAGTGAACTGACAATAATAAAAGTCATATCAAAATCCTGGGAAAGGATAAGCGCCTTTTAAAGCCAATCCAGAAATTCCGGGGTGAAGTAGCTAACTACGATGCCAGCTCCTGCCCTAAGGATCCCCTCGGTGCTCTCAAAGGCCATAGCTTTCAGATCGAAAACACCCGCCTTCGCGGCGGCATGAATCATGGCAAATTCACCACTGACCTGATACGCCGCCACTGGAAGATCTTGGGCGAGATCTTTGGCATCACGAATGATATCCAGGTAGCTACTGGCCGGCTTGACCATGATGATATCCGCACCTTCCTTCATATCGCGCTGGATTGCCCGTCGAGCAAGCCCACGACCACCCGGCGGGAGTTGATAGCAACGACGATCGCCAAATGAAGGACATGACCCGGCTGCATCGCGGAAGGGCCCATATAGACACCCGCTGAACTTGGCGCTATACGACATCAAGAGCACTCGGTGTGCCAGACCCGCTTCGATCAATTTTAACTTGATTCCACGTACTCTGCCATCATTCATATCAGATGGAGCAACGCAATGGGCACCTGCGACAGCATAGGCCAAGGCAACATCAGAGATACGGTCCACGGATTGCGCATTGTCTAATGTGCCATCCTCACGAAGGATTCCACAATGACCATGAGATGTGTACTCGCAAAGGCAAACATCTGTTGTGATGTAAAGTTGGGGAAGTCGAGATCGCAGCAGTCGGATTGCTTGGACAACGGGGCCCGCCGGATCATCCGCGGCCGTTCCAAGGGCATCCTTTGCGGAGGGGTGCAAGGGAACACCAAAGAGCATGACCGAGCGAAGGCCCTTTCGGACTAAAGGGGCCAGGAAAGGGACGAGGCGATTGACACCACGGCGGTACTGATTGGGCAATGACGGAATTGGGGTCTCTTCGTCAGGGTTGTCGGTGATGAACAACGGGTAGATGAGCATTTCCTACAGAAGTCTTGATGAGATGGAGGATTTCAATCGTGTGAATAAAAGCTTAGGAAACCAACCTTGGTTAACTGTCTCTCCGCCTGCCATGATCGACTTAGCGGGTGGCTGTATCCAGCATGAAGCTGGCTAGAAATGTCACCGGAGATGCTGACACTCGTGGCGGTAGTACTGGTGTAGGAACGAGCAGTGCGGGATTGAGCATGCGAAATCTGCGAGCCCCGCTCATCCGCATTGGAATCCCGGAAAGCAATATCAGAGACTAGATTGGAGAATGACATGGTTCTGGTATTTGAGAGTTCCAGAATACAGGTGTGAACTGGGTTCGAATCCTGGGAAGAATTCGGTTTTTAATAATTGAAGATTGAAGTTGAGGGAAACGCGGGTTCACGGGGTGGCGGAGTTCGGTAATCTGTCAGCCGAGGTGCGGGTAAGGCGAATGGCAATCAATCTGATTGGTCAAGGAACACTATGTAAATAATCCACTATATGTAGTAGACATGAGTCATGTGATATTGGCATAAGTTACAATTCATGTTTACTTTTTCTCCAGCACTCCTTTCCCTTCCTGAAGGCATTGCAAAGATTTTGGGCATTTCCATCGTTTGTCCCAAGTTATCTCATATTCCCACGATAAATATGCAAACTCGAATGAACCCCGACGATGTGGCCTGGGAACAAGCCGAGGAAATATCTGAAAATTGGCTGGCTCAATTTCTCCAACATGACGTCTTGAGGCCGATCGGAACTTTTATGCTCGATCACAATGGAGGCATTGGAACCGAATTTGCTATACTCAGAAAGGGTTCTTATAATATCTCCTTGCGATTAAAGGACGAACATGTAGCATCTATTATCCGCTTGTCCCAACCGGGTGCAGTCTTTTTCCCCGAAGAGAAAGTCATAAATGAGGTTGCAGTGATGCGATTTCTCATAGACAAAACACCGATTCCGATTCCTTTTATTCAACTCTCGGGAACAAAGAAGGAAAGCCCCCTCGAACTGAGTCCATTTATCATAATGGATTATATCGAACATGACACGAAAATGTACGACGCTCTTAATACTCCAAGATGTCCTATAGAAGAGCGTGGAATTCTGAACCCGACCATCGACCAAGATAGGCTTGAAGTACTATACGGGCAACTAGCGGGTATCCTGCTACAGCTCTCTGCTCCCTCTTTGCCTCGGATAGGATCTCTTAATCAAATCGATGACTTCACCTAGGAAATAGCACGTCAGCCTTTATCTATAAATATGAATAAACTTGTCCGACTGGGAAGTCTGCCACGATCAAAGCTTCCTGATTTAAATACCACATTCACTACTACTTCGTCATATCTTGAAGCTCTTGCGAATCTCAATATTGAACATCTTGAACACCAAAGAAACAACTCTGTTGAGTCTGCAGATGACTGTCGACGAAAATTTATAGCCCGGCGGCTGTTTCGCAAACTCTCCAGAGAAAAAAAACTCAATAATACATTACTTGAGAGGGGGCCTTTCAAACTTTGGTGTGATGACTTACGACCTGCTAATGTACTTCTTTATGAGGATTTAAAAATTGCAGGAGTGGTGGATTGGGAGTTCACCTACGCTGCACCCGTTGAATTCTCTTATGCGCCGCCTTGGTGGTTGCTCATTGAAAAGCCTGAATACTGGAGAGAAGGTCTTGAGGATTGGACAAGAGTTTTCGGTTATCGCTTGAAGACATTCCTAAAGGTGATGAGAGATCATGAAGACGCAGCCATTCAACAGGGTCGGTTAAAAAAAGACCAGCGATTATCTGGTCCTATGTCTCAGAGCTGGGAGAGCGGGGATTTCTGGATCATATATGCAGTGTTGCATAGCTTTGCCTTCGATCTTATTTACTGGGAGAAGATTGATCCTCGTTTTTTTGGACCTAGTGGAAATCCTGACGGAGCATGGAAAGACAGGCTCGATCTGCTGAATGAGAAAGAACATGACGAGATGGAACAGTTAGTAGCGCGGAAGATGAAAGAGATGGATTCTAGGATTCTGGCATGGGACCCGGATGATTGTACTTTGGCGTTTCATCAGCAACTAAAGAGGAACAGAGAGGAAGCAGGTGAAGCATCTAAGATTCATAAAGGCAAGCATAATGAAGTAGGAAATAAGGGTAGCTGATACTTTGAAGTTCAGAGGCACATATAATAATTGAGGGCTTTAATATAAACTACTAGAATGGACTTGAGAATGAACATGAGAATTGACTTGAGGAGGGACTTGAGAATAGACTTGAGAGTAGACTTAAGACTAGACTTAAGAAGGTACTTGAGAAGGTACTTGAGACTGGATTATCTAACTAGGATCTTAGCCTCTCTTTCTTATTAGCTACTATGCTAATTTACCTAGAGAAAGAAAAGTAATATAATACAGTATTATATATAATAGAGTTTAAGGATTTAATGTATAATGTAGCGCTGAATATAATATTGGAGTTGAAAAACTAATATGAATTTGGAATTACTCGTAATTCAATACTTTTTGCCGATCAGAAAAGTTGAAATTGGGATGTGACCCTCCTCTATCGGCCGCCGCAGATCAAGTATATGCAAGGGCTAGGGTGTGTGTAAAGAGACAATTTTTCCCCGACACAAATGGCCTTCATGCGAATTTATTATCAGATTCCTATTACTGGGACTGAGGACGCCGATCTGGCCACACTAGCCCAACAAATCAAACATTTGAAACTCCTGAAGTGTGTGGTGAACTTGAGGCGTTTAGGCTGCTCATGAGTCAAGGGTGTAGCTCTGTCCCATGTTTCCTTGGCTACTGCGAAAAACAGCAGGGGGAGCATGACCCTGTTCCTGGAGGCTTTGTCAAGTACGTTGTGTGGGAGAAGGTGCCTGGGGAGCCTCTTACAGAGGAATTTTTCTGGAGCTTGGATCCTGCTACACGAGAGGATATCCGTGTTCATTTCCGTGCTGCCTTCGAGTGAGCTAACGCAAACCTAAGATAGTAGACTGGCAGAGCGCTAATACATTTAATAGAGAGATGCTACGTTGTGGTGTGACCCCAGAGATGCCTAGAATCTCTAAGATCATTTATGATCAGTCCACCGGAAATGTGTACGTCAAGGATCCTACATATATTAGAAACACTTACTAATTGCTCATGAGTCTAGTCGTATCTCAGGCCTCCGAAGAGGATGGCCAATCCTTGATAAACTGGAATGGGCAGACACCCGTTATGTCGAGTACGGGCTGGCCAATCGACACCACGACAAAGACTGGCCCTCTAACCCGCAGAAATGGACATATTAAAAAACCAGCCGTGTTGTAGTTAGTGAGTCTCAGAATGAGATTGAATCGCTTTTCCCCTTGAATATGTTCTGCAAGTCAAAGGTTTCATGTATCTGAACAGCTTACTTATTACTTGTAGCGGAAACGATAACGTGGATTTAATCTCTAGAGAAAGCACCCAATGATGATCGCCTGTTTGCAGATAAGACCGAGGTCAGTAGAATTTGTTCCACACTATCTTGGCATAACCCATCTCGGCGTGGTATTATTGACTACTCCATGATTCAACGCATTGCACCCTACATAAAAGAAACATCGCCTAGCAGAGACAGCATGGGGATTCTTCCGGTGCCTGTCGTAAGTGTTAGACGACCGGATTACGGGAGAATACTCGATCCTCCATGCCCCTTGGCTATCCACTAGCTGTCTGGTCCTCTTCTAGACAGCATAAAAATTTACCTACTGTCATGGGTGGCCAAATGCCCATATCAACATCTTCCTGTGTGAGGTAAACAGCCCTCTCTGATAGCTTTTTTGTGATTATCCATGAGTAACCAATCTCTGGTGGGGGCGAGGCGGCTATCAGGGAGATTCTGGGTGGGGAAGCCTGAAGTGGGGCCGTAGAGAGAGAGGCGGTAGATGTGGAGGAAGAAACAGCAGACGGCTGTTACAGGGGGTCGAATTTGAGAAAGGTGGTGACCTTAGTTCCTACCAGATAGTGGAGGAAACAGGAGTCGAATTTACTTATGGTGAAGAATCTGGTGAATGGGTGGTTTGAGAGGGGGATGATGATAGAGAAGAGATCTAATTAAACTGAAGGGATTTGTAATTATATAAGGTAGATAACAAGAAGGAATCCTAAGAATTATTAATAAATATCAAAAATATTTAATAGATATTATACTACTTATCCTTTACTACCTTACCTAATATAATACTAAAATAGAGCCTTTACTAAGTTACCTTAACTCTATATATAATAGGCCCTTAATAATATTAATAAAGATCATATATAATATAATAAATTTATAATAAGTCCTACTACTTATAAGTCTAATTAAATTATAACTTATAATTTTCTATCCTATATTAACTTATCTATATTAATATTCTAGAATTTAAGCCCTTCTAGATATACTAATAGATATATATTATAATATATTAGCTATAGATTTTATCTAGGGTAGATTATTATAATTTAGCTAAGGGTATATAATATTTCTATATACCAAGGATAAGATTAAATAAAGTTAATTAGTTTTAGTAGAATTAGCTAAATAATAATAGAGTTAGATAAAGTTATTCTTATATATCTAGGTATATCTAGATATAGGAGATATTATCTTATTATCTTAGTTTTTTTTATTAATTATAATTATATTTATATAATTTATTCTAATTATAAATAATAATTAATTTAATTAAATATATAAAAAAACTTTTCTTAAATACTCTAAAAATAATCTAATAATTACTCTTTAATCTATTTATAGATATATTTATCTATCTAGAATTATAAATATATTATTTAAAAAAAAATAAGTTATTATATACTTCTAAGATTAAATAATAATTGAATTTTTATAAATAGGATTTAATAGATCTTATTTAGAAATAAATAATATATTTCTAAAAATAATTATAATAAATTAAAAAAATTAAAAAAAAGATTATATTATAATTTATAATATTATAATTTAGCTAAGGATATATAGATTTCTATATATTATAAGTTAAGAATAACTAAGTCTTTTAGGTCTAATAGAACCTATCTAGATAATAATAGGTTTATCTAGATATTTTTATCTATAACTAAATAAATCTAGATATAAGAGATAGTATCTATTATTATATTATTTCTTATTAATTATAATTATATTCTTATAGTTTATAAATATAATAATAAAAATAAAAAAAGTAATTAAATTAAATATATATAAATTTTAAAAGAAAAAAATTTAAAATATTTCTCTTTTAATCTTTTTATATTTATCTATATTTATTTATATCTAAGATTATTCTTTTAGAATTATTAATATATTTTTAGGAAAAAATAATAATTTTATATAATTCTTTAAGATTAAATAAGAATCTAAATCTTCTTAAATCTTCTTAAATAAGATTATATATAAAAAATAGATATTAAGAAATAAATATAATTATATTAGATAATAAATAAAAAAAAATAAAAATAAAAAATTATATTATTATATATAATTAAAGAATTATTTTTTTAATAAAAAAAATTAATTATTTTAGAAATATTTATAAATAATTAAAAAAATATATTTTATTTAATTAATCTTAGTTAATAAGATTATTATATTTAAATTAAATCTTTATTTATTAATATTATATTTTTATATATAATAAAATAATTAATATTAAAAGATTTTAATCTAAATAAAATAATAAAATAATTATTATATATTTTATATTTAAGAATATTATCTTAAGCTTAATTTAATATATAAAAAAATATTTAAATCTTTTTTATTATATTTATTATTTTATATCTTTTTTATTTTTATAATATAATTTTATTATATTATATTCTTTTTTTATAATATTTCCCTAGGTTTTTTTATAAATTCTATAAATTCTATATTTTTTTATCTTAATATTATATTATAATATTAAAATCTTTTAATTTATTTAATAAGAATATAATTATAAATCTAAAACTTATTTTTTATTATAAATAATATATATAAATTAATCTTAATTATTATAAATAATATTATTAAATATATTAATTTTTTTTATATTATATAATTAATCTAGAGTTTTTTTTATTAAATCTTAATTTATAGAGTTTAATCTAAATATATCTTCTCTTATATTAATATATCTTTATATAATCTATTAAGCTTAATTAAGATAGATTAATATCTAAATTTTTCTTATTATGTCTTAGATAGTAATAATTCTAATTATTTCTTTTATTATCTTTTATTATTATCTTATTATCTTTAAAAACTTAATATCTTAATTCTTAGGCTAGAAGTAAAAAATTAATTTTAAAAAAATATATATATTCTTATAAAAAGAAACTAGGTACTAGAACCTTCTTAAGTCTATTCTTAAATCTATTCTTAAGTCTATTCTAGATTAATAGATAGGGGGAAAATAATAATAGTATAGGGTATATAGGTATAGGGCTAATTTAGTAGCTTTTTAGTAGAAAAAAAAAATATCTAATTATAGCCTAAATTCTTTTTTATAAGAATATTAATATATTAATTATACTAATATATTTTTAAATATTTAATTTTTTTTACTAGCTATATTTTAGTAGAAAAAAAAACCTATCCTAATTAGGCTTAGTAGATTATATAAGGATATATTAATATAAGAAGGGGGTATATCTAGATTAAACTCCTAATTTATATATAAATATAATGAATATTTATTTTAATATTTTAATATTATTAATTTATTCTTAATAAATCTTATTTAAGAATAATAATAAGAAAAAGAAGAATAATAAAAAAAAATTAAAAAAAATTAAAAAAAAAATATTAAGAAAGATAATAAGAATAATAAAAAATTAAATAAGAATAAGAATAATATAATAATTATATAAATATAATTAATAAAAAGATAAAAAAAGATTATAATATATTAGGATTTAGAAGAGAGGCTATCCTATAACCTTAGTATAATACTAAGATATAGTAATATATATAATTAAGAGTATATAATATAGTTATATAATATAATACTAAGAAGGAAAGTAGTTATATAATTAGAGGGGGCTTAATATTAGACTTAATAAGAGGAAATAAAGAAATAGAAGGAATAAGGGCTTCTAGAAGGAAGAAAGTATATTCGAGTTATTATATAAAGTATATAGTATAAAATAAGTACTAACTTTAGCTTAAATCCTATAATAAGTATAAGATTCTTATTTTATTTAAGTAAGAGATTTAAGTTATTTAAATAATATAAATAATATATAAATATAATAAATATAATTAATAAAAGAATAGTTAGTATAAATAATTATAATATTATAATATAGAAGGAAGTAATATATATAATAAGTATAAAAAAGAAAGAGAATAAGATAAGTCTTATATACTAATTAGTAGATTAATCTTATAATTAATTAATTAATTAGTATTTTTTTTTATAGAAAAAATACTAAGACTTTTTCTAATCTTATTATAATCTTATAATTATAACCTCTTAATTCTAATATAATCCCTTAGATTAAAGTATTAAATTATTTTAATCTAATCTTTTAATTTAAAAATATATATATTAAACTATTTAATAAACTTCTTTTATTACTAATAAATATAAGTCTTTATTATTCTATCTATAATTATATCCTTAGTAAGAATCTAAGTAATTATTAATCTCTTAGCTTATACTTCTTACTAAGTCTAAAGATAATAAATATTAATATATTTTATTTTAGTCTAATAATTAGAATATTTATATATAAATAAATTAATTATTTAAATATTATTATATTATAGATTAAGAGGGATATTAATATTAAAGTTAATAAACTTAAATAAGTACTTAATTTAATATAATTAATATATAAAAGATAAGATAAAAAGAAGCTTAGTCTTAATTATTAATATAGTAATAATATATTATTTATATATATATTATTTAATAAGATTTTTAAATAAAATAAAGATATATCTTTCTAAGCTCTTATAATTAGGATTATTAATAAAAGAAATATTAGAAGATATTATAAATATCTAATTTAATATTTTTATCTTAAAAATAAGACTTAAATCCTTTATTTAATATAAATATAAGATTAAATAATTAATAATAATTATTTATTAGTTAATAGATTTTATAAGATATTAATAAATTATATTAATTTACTATAATCTTTTATCTTAAATTAAGATTTAAGCTTATATTTAATATTAAGAGTATAATTAATATATTTATAATAATAAATACTAAGAAAATTATTAATAAAGGTTATAATTATAAACTTATAATTATTATAAATATAAGGATTATTAAAAAAGGATTTTAATACT